TGACATCCGTGGATCATTATGTTATAATTTGGACATTGTAAATCACAATATTCAACTAAAATTACTTAATAAAAGGAACAAGTGTGCTGGCTTTAGTGTTAGAAAACTGTGGTGTCCTATGCGACCTGACGTCACTGTAAAACGTCATCACAACAAAGAGCTGTGCAGTTGTCGGACCCTCCAATGAAAGGCTGCACATCTCACTACCGAGTGGCAGATTTTTTTCATTTGTACCAAGATGACTACACAACACTGAGGCTGAATCTTACATGTATCACATGTTAACAAAATAAAATTGGAGAACGACGGAAGTACAAAGACGTGGGCCTATTCCAGTAATGGTGAAACAGAGGCTAGTCTCCAAAATCGTGTCTTGAAAATAAGCGATTTAAGACTGCTCAAACATGCACAAATCACTCCAAAAACAACTTTGAGAGGGTAAATGAGAAGAGGAAACAAATATAGCATATGCTTAAAAACTCTGAAAAGTACATTTTTTTCATAATGGGTCTGCTTTAAGATCAAACTAATAATCACTCAAGCCTATAATTACTATACAAATTCGACAGTACAAACATAAAACAAAAATTTAAGCTCTTCTTGTTCTGGACAGTGTACAGACAAGCACCAAATGTAACAGATACATAACCTGCTGTTCATTAAGTAACTTTTGTGTCTCAACTATTTCAAATATTTCTAGCAGTTTTATGACACTGTAAGAAAGAAATTTAAAAAAAAAGATGATTCAATGGTAAAAAATGTTCACTCAGCAATCTCTCACTCACTCACTCAATCACTCACTCACTCACTCTCATTTGAAGCTAATTACTGGGCGTATGGGGTTACAGTTTGCACTCACGATTACTGCCTTTGAAAGGATCCAAAACAGACTTTGAGGAATAAACGAATAAAGGATTTGCATTACTATAATTTGCTTTATCTCATTTAAAAGGGTTGGGGGAGATGGGAGGGAACAGTCCCAGCTGATCTGTGGGCGTGAGTGGAGGTACACCCTGGACAATCCTGTTTTAATCACAGGTCTTAACATTTTGAGACTGGAAGATTTCCTATGGTGAAATTACAATGAAAAATCTACCGTTATGTAATTGCTACGTGTAAGAATGAGGCTCTAAAGGCCGTGTTCACACTTGTCCAGTGGTGGAAGGTAACGAAGTACTTAAGTACTGTACTTACTGTACTGTAAATTTTACAGTGTATACTTTTTACTTTTACTTCACTAGATTTAAAAGCAGGTATCTGTACTTTCTACTCCAATATGTTTTTAAACTGCACTGAAAAGTAAAAAGTACATTTTCAAATGTTTTGAGGTTTTTTGTTTTTTTTTAACCATATTTGTGGTAACATCCGGCTTTATAAGAAAAATTAAGAAAGTGATTCGTATTGTAACTGTTGACAAAAATCTGAATCATTTTTTAATCAATATCACTACATTTTGCATTTGACTTTAGTAACTTTTAACTTTTAAGTAATTAAGTACCTCAGCCACCATTGCACTTGTCCTGGTTTGGTCCATCTCTACAAGATCCTTATAATTGTAAATAGGCAAAATAGTATCTCAAAATTCCTCCTCGTATGGTGTGTTCCTGAGCTACAGTGGTCACAAGACAAATGTAGATTCATATTTGTGTCAAACTACACCATGGAGTGCAGTTGGACATATAAGGGGCTGTAGACTGTAATAGCGGATTGTAATGTTGACCTCAGGCTTCATGAGAATTAAAATATAGAAGTTAACTATTTCTTCATATAGTTCCACGAAATAAAAATAAAAATACTTTATTTCATACTTTATACATTCATACTGCAGTTATTTATTGGATTATGTGATTATGGCAAACAAACAAGCATAACAAAACTTACATTATTCACTTACAAGTACTAAAGTCCATAATTTCCAATAATTTAAAAATTTTGGATTTCACATATACTTTAAAGGTCCTATATTCCACAGAATTGACTCTTGTGAGCTTTAAGTCATGTTATAATACTGTTAGCTCCCCAAAAACATACCTGGAGTTGTGTTTTGTTTCATTCATTGAATCAAAATTACTCCAGTGAAAGTGTATGAAGTTTAAAAACACAATGGAGCACTTCTTGTATTATGCCATGACATCACAAGGTGGAATAGAGTGTTTTCTGTTTGAGAGAAGAACTTAGCCTCCTGAATGAAACAAAACACAACTCCAGGTATGATTTTGATGAGGAAACAGCATTATAATATGGTTCAAAAAATAGCATAACATGGCCCCTTTAAAATATGCACTGTGAACCAAATCTTGACATACATAGAAAACCATGTTTTAAAAAAACAAAAAACAAAACTATATTCTTTTTTTCCATTTATCATTGTCTTTTTGCACTATACAAACCTGCAGGGCATGTCCACCTCCTCTGGCCTCCATCTTTTGCAGCTAAACTCTCATTATCATTCCTGCCTAAGTCCATTCACAATATATGGGTTTCTTTGATGCATACAGACACTGCTCACACCTGTAGACTGTCACCACCACCACCACTGCTGCTGCTGTTTCACTGGGCCCCATTCTGAAGTCCAGGACAGGCTCTGACACGTTCCCACTGTACAATGTTCATAAACAAAGCAGGAGCAGCAGCCCACCTCCTGTATCTACAATCAGACACATTTCCAAAACAGGATTTAAAATGTCAAACCCAACGCACTGACCCTGTGTCCACACCTCTCACATGCAAAAAAAAAAAAAAAAAAAAATCACAAAGCCTGGGAATTATATAGACAAGATATATACATGCAAACACAGCTAATTTTGTGCAGAGTTTGGAGTTTTGGGAACAAATCAGTAGCATAGTATTATAGGATGTTAAGTCAAAACTGTAAAACGTACAGATGTCAAAGGTCCTATATTGCACAAAATTAATTATTGTGAGCTCCAAGCCATGTTATAATGTTGTTACCTCATCAAAAACATGCTTGGAGTTGTGTTTTGTTTCATTCACACATGTTTGAGTAACTCTTTATTATTAATATGTCTACATCTCCAAAGCTCAAAATCCTCTGTTCCACCTTGTGATGTCATGACGCAGTGGTTTTTCATGTTAAGAGTTACATTTTACCTTTAGTTTAGTAGAGGATGGCAAGTGAATCTGTCTGGAATTTAAAAACACAGTGGGGCACTTCCTGTATTACCACATGACGTCACAAGATGAAACAGAGTGTTTTCAGCTGGATAGAAGAAAATGCAGGGTTTGTCTGTTAAACAAGTGTGAATGAAACAAAATATAAGTCTGGCTATATTTTCGATGAGGAAACAACATTATAACAGATCAGAAAACAGTGCAACGTGGGCTCTTTAAGATGAACAAATTTGACTATAGTAGGGATATCAGGATTCAGTAAGTATTATTATTATAATCCAATCTATAGCCTGAAAAAGTAAACCTAAAGGTAAAGTGCTTTATTTTTAAATCTGTTTATGTCACATTAACTTGTAGTAGGTAGCAGGCAATGTCAATAGAAGAGATTTTAGAAGGTTTGCTCGGTCATAGTGTCAATAATACTGTGAATAATAAGACACTAAAATTTGATATGTCAACACACGCAGCTCTAAACTGGGACTAAACCTGGATCAGAACCAAACCCATACTAAAACAACCAACAACCAAACCAAGTCTACATTAGGATTAACTTGGGATAACCCTCCCCCCTAACACTAACAGCATTAGTTTACAAATGTGGAAACAATTGTAAGGTAAGGCCAGTGAATTTTCTGATAGATGTTATAATGTTGTTTCCTCATCACAGACATACTTGGAGATGTGTTTTGTTTTGTTAACACACAAATCCTGCATATATCGGCTGAGTTCTTCTCTCAAACAGAAAACACTCTGTTCTGCCTACTGATGTCATGTGGTAATACAGGAGGTGCTCCACTATGTTTTTAAACTCCATACACCTTCACTTGAATCATTTGGATAACTTCAGCCCTGGTATTGCCAATCTCAAAAGGTATCTTACAAAAGGTAAATGGTAGCTATTAACTGGAAAACCACCACTTCATGACATCACAAGGTGGTACAGAACATTTTAAGCTTTAGTGTGCACACATCCTCTAGGATTACTCAAACATGTGTGAATGAAACAAAACACAACTCTGGGTATGTTTTTGTGGAGGTAACAGCACCCTAACATGGCTAAAATTTCACAAGAGTCCATTTTATAGGAGCTTTAAAAGTGGTTTAAAATCACAATTCCACACAATAATCTCGTCTCTAAAATGAGTAATTTCAATATACCTATGCAAAAGTTTCCTGTATCAAGGGTTAAATGTTATCAAAGCCCAAATAAATGGGAAGAGGTCTGTTTGGAAGGGCATCCGCCATAATATGCCACAATAATGAATAGACTTTTTTCACAATGTTATATTGAATTCCCAAGAAGCAATACATCTTTACAGCAACAGCACTATCGAACCCAAATTGTTTTGTCATTAAGATAGTGGAGTAAGCTTTTTTCCGGTTACTTCAAATGATGGCTTACATTACTGAAATGATAAACCACAGGAACCACGAGCGCATCTCAGAGACACAAATCCTCCAGTCACAACGAAAAGACGGGGGCCTGTCAGGCAGTAATACGCGGAAAACGACCATTTAAACGTGATGTCAGCGCGCAAATGTATTTCCACTCAGTGCACTCACGATTGTAATCTGTTTGGACAAGATAGAGGTCCATAATGCCTGCCAATGTCCATTTGTGCAATAGTGGCAGTCGCATTAGATTGGAAAAGTAAAGAAACCACGCGTAATTGTACTGTGCAATCTTCAAATATTGCATAAACATGAAGGACGCGTATAAACTTATGATACATGTAGAAATATGCGTGCACGCGTTGTTGAGAAATCCAGTCACCTCAAAACACATGTCTTCTCCCGCTCCAGATGCAATAAAGCAAAACTTCAGCCATGTTGTCGTGAGCGTAATAAAAGACGTTATAAGCACTTACCTACAACGACACACACAATATCCACCACCACCAGAAGCAGTTTATTCTTTTGTTCCGTCATGTCTGCACCGGTGCTGTGTCTCTTGCATAAATATTCTTTGGAGACGCTAAAAGGGCGCACACAACACACGTTCAGACCAGAGACAGCACTGCTTTCCGTAGGTGAGTCTTGATCTGCTTGTTCTTCCGGCTCCGCACCTCTGGCCCAACTTTCCACCTGAGCGTTCGCGCCTGCACTGAGCCAGGTGAGCGGTAGGGGACGTGATTACGCAGCGTCCGAGTGAGCCCTGCCTCTTTTTACGCACGGTTGGGTGTCCGTGGGCGCGCCTTCCTCTGGTTCTGCCTACCAAATGCAAAACTAATAAAAATGTTGTTTTAATTTAAAGGGATTAAGTGTCACTTCTCTTTTAAGGTGCCCTAAACGAGATTTTTGGTACTTATTAAAAGGTGCACTGTGTAGCATTTCTAGTGGAGGTCCACTACCTGCTTGTCTCCATGGAAATGCTATTGCTTTGTAGAATGTTCCACAGTATAGATTAAACCTATTTATCACCATGGAGAGAGGGAGGTCAGATCTGTGGAGAGTCGCCCCTTTTCACAGAAGGAATTATTGTATTATTGAGCAATAGAATCACTCGTAATGAACAAATGCTACTTAAAGTCACACCATGGAACATTTTAGGCAAAGCAATAAAAAAGTTGTGAAGTGCACCTTATTATTATACTTATATTATACTTGTATAACTTATTAATATTAAGAACAACTACATCACATGACACGTACCAGCAGTAGCCTAACCAGTATATCTGTTTTGCTGATGACAGATGAAAGTGACAGTTACATAAATATATTCAGTCATAATTTGATCAATTTGAGCAATTTATATGTCTAAAACTGTATTTTTAATTTTAATGATAAAATATTAATACCTATAGGCTACCAACCAGTGGCATGTCACATACAAATACCCCCAAGATGCAAACTGAAATGTTGGGGAAACAAAACCAGATAAAGTACACTAAAGAAAGAAAGTGCAGTGGCATATTCTGCAAGTTTTTACCTCTTGCCAGATGATAGTCAGTTCAAATCTCACCTGCAAGTGCATGTTGTTAATTCAAATGGCTGGTTGTGTCAGGAATGGCATCTGGTAGCCTATAAAACTTTGCCAATGCCACTGGGAAAAACTAAAGATTCACTGTGGAACTTTTCTGCCTGCTTCATGAAAATATTATTGCATTCCCTATTATGGCATTAAGCTCATTTGGCTTTTATTTAATCACGTGTTATGGCTAGGAAATATATTGAAAACATTGGTTCTATTGTGAGTGGGCTCGCCTCTCCACATATCTGATCTGTAACTTGCCACCTGCTTGTCTTCATGGATGTAGTTAAGATTGATGACAAAGTGTGGAAAGTAAAGTAAAGTAAAGCAATAACATGGAAACAAGCAGCTGGAGAAATTAACATAAAAGTTTCACAGTGTTTTGTAAGCTTCATGATTAATACCATATAGAAATTTGAAAATTAAAATAAATGAACAGATGTTTTGCTTTTTTAATTAATATTAAGTCACATGCTAGAGTCCTTCCCATATACAAAAGAAATTCACAGTTGTGCGTGTTTAAAGGTACACTATTTAGCTTTTTGGTTGGGGATCCATCACCTGCTTGTTTCTATGGATATATCATTGCTCTGCCTGGAATGTTTCACAGTATGACATTAAATAGTTCTACCTTTATTGAACATTTACTCAATTATAGATGGTTTTATAGCGCAAAAATACCTAGGAAAACAAACATTCTGACTGAGCAGGGTTGCCGCTCCACAAATCTGAATGTTAACTTGTAACTCCGTGATGATAGAAAGGTTTAAATCCACACTGTGAAACATTTCTGACAGAGCCATAACATCTCCATGGAGAAAAGCATTAGACGGACCCTCCACCAGAAAAACCACACCTTTAAAGATCATGTTAAAGTAGTCACACTGGCATGTACGGGTCAACTTGAATTGAACTTTGGGACAGATTCATTAAATCTTTCAAAAGTAGATCAGGAAATGTTAAACAAGAGGAAGAAATATTGTTTTGAGAGGAAGAGTCTAAGTTGAGCATTGGAGTTGATGTAAAATTACCCATAGCTAAATTATAAGGGCGAGCTGATTTACGTTGCTGCTTGAAGTAATGAAAGCTTTTTGTGCTCGTTTTACACAACTCACTGTCTCCCCCTAGTGGTCCTTTGAGATTTTTTACATTGATAGAGCTGTTGTGATGTAGTTCTGATGAGAGTTTAGCTTTGGAGGAGAGTACAATGGAGTGAATAGCAGGACAGGAAGTAAAGTTGATCGCCGCCATGTTTGTAGTGTTTTGGGAGTATTTTGTTTCCCATTTGAAGGGATTGTAACTTGATGGTGTGGCAAACATGGATAGATCCTGGTCCAATTCATAGTTTTCCATTTCTCGTTCGATGAGCAAAACCACTTTAGAGTATTTAGTGTCTGGACTGGCAGAAACCATGCCCTGAAAAAGAAAATGTATATAATAATATGCACATAATAAAAATAAGAATAATATACCATCAGGATAATGTACCAGAAGTATTATGGAACATTCTAGACAAAGCAATAACATTTCCATGGAGATGGAAGGTGGGGGACTCTCCAGTAGAAATTCTACGCAGTGAACCTTTAAGAGAGATCTAGGCCTATGACTACTCACTTAAGGGATTGTGGTTAGTCTGTTAATTAAGGCTTAGTAAATACTTAATTTATTTAAGAGTTAGGAGTTGGGGTAGTATTTAAGTAGTATTTGAGCCTGAATCATTCTTAAAAAAAAATACATTTGTTCATTATGAATTAAGCCTTTCTTTGTGCTATATTAAGACTAATGTAGTTTTAAAGTGTTACCAATGTTTCTTGTACTTACAGTCATTGTTTTAGGTCTCCAGTTGGCCAGGCTGCTGTGGGATGGGTCTGGGATGTCTTTAGAAAGCTTTCTTTTTGCTCTTTTGGAGAAATAAAATGTAGAGAATAATGTAATTTAGCAACAACATTTTAACAAAAAAGAAAGAAATACAAGAAGAATGTGAAACAATAAGATACAAAATTTAAGAACCTGACTTACACTGCCTTTTCTGCCAAACAGACCATAAACATCAGCACCAGTGAAATTAGACCAATGGGAAGAATGACATAACGTATAATGGAGATTTCTTCCAAGTCTGAAAGAAATCAACCAAATCAGTCATTAAAAAGGCCCATATTATGCTATTTTCTGATCTGTTATCATGTTTCCTTAACAAAAACATACCTAGAGTTGTGTTTTGTTTCATTCACACACAGAAACTCTGCACCTTTAAGATGAGTCTCTCAAACTGAAAACACTTTGTTCCACCTTATAATGTCATGTGGTAATACAGGAACGCTCCACTGTGTTTTTAAACTCCATATACCTTCACTAGAATCATTTAACTTGAAAACTACCACTTCATGACAAGGTGGAACAGAGCATTTAGAGCTTTGGTGATGTAGACAGACAAATGATAAAGCTTACTCAAATGTGTGAATGAAACAAAACATATTCCAGGTATGTTTTCATGAGGTAACAGCATTTAACATGGCTCAAATCTCAGAATAATCCATTCTGTGTAAGACAGGATATTAAAGAGAATAAAATTTAGCTAAAAATGTAATGTTTTATGCTCACTTATATATACAGTGGTGGTTGATCCGTTCACCCCCTCCCCAGCCTCTGTACTGGCCTGCATACAGAACTCATAGTGACCCGGAGACAATGAAATCGAGTACTGCTCCACATCACCAGGCACAACCACTTCTGAAAAAAAAAAAAAAAAAAAAAGATAATGAAAATAATTTTAAATTGTGAATTACTTAATTTCGAATTTCATATTCTTCTATGACACTTCTATTTTGTATAAGAATGCTGAGATATTGAGTCGAGATTTATGGAGAAAGATTTAAAACAATTAGAGTATTTTTAAAGCCATTATTAACCAGGAACATGGGGGGTTGTATGTTTTTCAAAGTAATGTATAGTAGTTTCCATCATGAAAATACAACAACCAAAAAAACCCAAACAAAACAGAAATAGAAGCAGATTTCCCTACAGGAACTAAACCTTTATTACATATTAAATAAGTTTAAAGAAGATATATTATACTTTTGGAGCTGTATATTGATCTGAAATGGCTTGAAAATAGCTACAAAACATTTTCTTAACCCTAAACTGAGGCCCAATTGCATTTAAGTAAAGAGAAGTGAAAACAGGAATTTTCAGACCACTCAAGCCTCAACTGCAGAACAATAAAGGGTTACTCAGACATGCACAAATCACTATAAATGCATCTTTGAGACAATGATGAGGAAATATATACTATGTAAGAAGTATTTTTACATCATACATTCCCTTTAACTTACTTTTGGCTGGTACATCAGATGTCTTGTAGTGAAGTGTGTAGTTCCGAATAAAACCATGTAGCTGCTCCACAGGTATAGTCCAACTGAGCTTCACATTTAAGCCTGATGACTGCACCTGCAAGTTAGGGCCAGCAGAGGGCACTGCAAACAAACAGGTAAAAACATCACATTGTTTGACATATTACATCCCTAATTAAAGTACACTGAACAAGACTAGACAAATAATCTCCTTGAGGCCAGATCAGCTTCAGTTATTGCTGAAGAGTTATTATTATTTGGTGAGAGATAGTGGAAGGAAATGGTTATGGTTTATTTTAGGTGCCAAAATAAAGCAGAACATAAAAACACTGAATATTAAATAGCAAAGTAGAGTTGTATCTGCCCCAACCCTGTACTTCAGTATATCATACAGACCATATACATAAAAAAAAGATTGATAATAAAAAATGTATAATAATATACACAATAAAAATAATATAGAGCAATAATTAAGGAAAAGTAACATTTCATTTTCAATTACCTCCTTGACGTGTGTAGATGTGTAGATTCTTGCTCTGTCCGGGTCCCTCATTGCTATAAAGAGCTCTCACAGAAACTGCATAACGTTTGAATGGCTCCACTCCCTCTGTTATAACAATAAACATACATTTTTCATCCATCCATTTTCGTCCGCTTATCCGGGGCCGGGTCGTGGGGGCCGCAGCCTAAGCAGGGACTCCAAGACTTCCTTCACCCCAGACACGTCCTCCAGCTCCTCCGGGGGAACCCCAAGGCGTTCCCAGGCCAGCCGAGAGACATAGTCCCTCCAGCGTGTCCTGGGTCTTCCCCGGGGCCTCCTCCCAGTGGGACATGCCCAGAACACCTCCCGAGGGAGGCGCCCAGGAGGCATCTGGAACAGATGCCCGAGCCACCTCAACTTGCTCCTCTCGACGTGGAGGAGCAGCGGCTCTACTCCGAGCTCCTCCCGTGTGACTGAGCTCCTCACCCTATCTCTAAGGGAGCGCCCAGCCACCCTGCGGAGGAAACTCATTTCAAGCACTTGTATTCGCGATCTCGTCCTTTCGGTCATTACCCAGAGCTCATGACCATAGGTGAGAGTAGGAACGAAGACTGACCGGTAAATCGAGAGCTTCGCCTTTCAACTCAGCTCCCTCTTCCTCAAGTGGAGGAGTTCAAGTATCTCGGGGTCTTGTTCACATATATTTTTATATTACAAAATACATCTAGGCATGCGAGATTAAGTAGAAAGGTTAAGAGTATGAGAAAAGGGCAGATTAAACAAAACGTGTGCTATGAATTGATAAATATACCACAATAATAGTCACGGATAAAACATTTGTGAATGTATTTTCTGTTATTTTTTACCATATTTCTTATATTTTGGGTATTTCCTGCACCCATCTCAAAGTTAAATATGATGAAATTCTAGTAGGGCTGGGGAGTTGTTTACATTTTAATCAAATTGAGAGACAATGATTTCATACTGAAGGGCAATTGTTGCTCGTAACTCCGTGAGGTGAGGAGTTCTGCACGGGTTCTTTCTCCTGTGGTCACTTCCGAGCCTGTCCCAACAGTGAGTCCTGTTTCAAGTTCTGGTTTAGGCCTGGTTTAGTCCTCTTTTAGTCCTAGTTCAGTCCTGGAATCAGTCCTAGGTTAGTCCTGGGTTAGTCCTGGTTCCGTCTTCGTTCAGTCCATGGCATATACAGCGCAAAAGTTTGATATAACCACAGGCTAATGCACAGGTGCGGTTCTGTACTGCAGTGTTGTAATGCGTGGGTCTGGTGCTGAACTGTGTGGGTGCGGGTCACCAAAAATGGACCTGTGCAGGACTCTGTGCTGTAGGGCTCCATTATGGAATAAATTATTCTTCAGTTCATTACATAAAGAAGTTTTAAGTTTTAGTAGAAGTAGTAAGTTTTAAGAAGGATGCAAAAAGGGTTGCACCTGTCCTGTGTGAGGAAAGTGTATAAAGTGTGTGCTGACTCAGCACAAATATAAAGTTGACTACTTCACAGATTTCACTTATTCCGGATTATTTTTTAGAACATAACCCCCGTGATAAATGGGGATCACTGTATATAGTATTTTTGCTGATCAAATACAAATTTAAAGTATCTTTATATGTTTTTATTAATAAAAAAATATACATTATAATCGTAAGTTATGATCAATCAATGTGAGGATAAAAATATATGATATTTATTTTTTGCTACATCTCTCAGCCCTACATTCTAATACACAGTAGTCATGTATGGTAATGTAGCCCATCTATATAATATATTTTGATGAAATGTTAAATTATGTAGTATTTATCAATTACAGTATATGCACTGTTAATTTATTAAATTTGAATGTAATTAATACACTGTAGCATCGAGAGCAGCCAGGAAATGGGTGGTGCCGATAGTTGGGGGTCCAGCTATAAAAGTAGGTCAGACATGCCCATCCAGTTGTTGTGAGTGTGGCCTGCGCTCAGGTGTTGTAGCCCTGCATGCCTCGCATGTATTGAACCGCTTGGATTAAATAAACATTGCAAAACGGAACTATTCGCCTGGATTATTTAAGAGTGCAACAGTAACTTTTTCAATAATTACAAAAGCCACAGGATTTCACAGCATTAACAGTATATACCTGTGATATTTATAGCTGTATTGGAACTGTTCACTCTCTTCCAGTGGTAGGGGGCACTGTTTTTCTCTGTCACGACAAACCACTCCACTACAAAGCCGCTCAGAGACACAGCAGCTGCAGGTGGAGCCCAGTTTATACTCAGACTTCTGTCATCCACCACAGTGACGTTCAATCGGCTCGGAGGAGGGGGCTCTGAGGAGAGGAGGATGAGGAGATAAAGTTTATGAATGCATGAAAGAATCTAATTTAAAAGGTGCAATATGTAACTTTTCTGGTGTGGGATCTGTCACCTACTAAACTGAAAAACTGCAAGCCCGCTTGTTACTGTAATACTTTTTGAGAGGAACCTTTGTAATTCCAACTAAATCAATTCTTTCTGGTCAGATTGTGTAAAAAAAAAAAAAAAAAAAAAAAAAAAGTATCAGTTGGTGTGACAGAGACAGGAAGTGAGACAGATGTAGTGAGGGGGATTTAGTCAATGAATTTAGTTAATGACGTCCTGTGAAACATGTAAAACAGCTGTGAGGAGACTGACTGTGACATAACGATAATCAATTAAAGAGTAATGAATTTCAGTAGCAGTCAAATCCACACATTATGGGGCCAAAATGAGCAAACTGTAAAAACAGAGCTTTTTTTTTTTTTTTGATCATAAAACACATGAAACCGAAACAAATGTAGGCTAGAAGTTTAATGCCATATTGTGAAGTATTCCAGGCAAAACAAAAACATCACCATGGAGACCACCAGTTGACGGACACGCCATCAGAAAAAATTCTCTCATTTTGACTTAATTCGATGGGATAACACATGTTGTAAATATAAATTATAGTTTCACAACAATGAAGAAGCAGCATGTGAAGGAAAGTTGAAAAATATCTTTTACAGGGAGTAGGGAGTTCTATTTTAGACACCAGACTGGGAGAATTCTGTCAAAGTTGTCACAATTTACACGCACAAAATAATTTTTTTTTCCTGATACTTCAAACATTGTTTCAACAAAATAAAGATGTTTTCTTATAGTTTTATTTGTCAAATAAATAAATGAATAAATAAATAATAATCTAAGTCTACGAAATACTTACCATTGACATTGGCTGGTTTAAACCATATCCATGATTTTTGTGAGGCCCCAGCTGAGGTGGAGGCAGAGATGGAGCAAGAGCAGCGTCCCAAAGGAAGTTTCAACACACAAGAGGAATGAGAAATGTCCAATTTACTGCAGTTTCCTCTGTCTGGAAGTACTTGTCTGTTTTCATCTGAACAGGTCACGTTGTAGAAGCGGACTCTCCCATTGGCGAACGCAAGAGGTAAGGGCTGAAAAACAAGTTTACTGAAATTATCTTCTATTTTGAAGATTTAATCAAAGTAGCACTTTACGATAACTACTTAGGTAGCAGTAATAATAATCTATCTGAGCTTTGACTATCTTGTACAGCTCCGGCAAATTGTTTTATGATTGTAGCATGTTGTTCGGCTCATCAGCAGTTGTGTTTGGCTAATGTTCACCTGATTATGTTTATCAAAGGGTCTGGGGTCCTCCACAGGGGAGTTTTGAACAATTTACTTTACTGTATTTGAATGCATTTTAGAGGTTTACTAAGCCGTAGCTCAGTAATATAAGTCAGTGTAGCCTATAGTGTGACCATGTCCGTTTTTCACGTACTGTCCTGGCCGTTTTTTTTTTTTTTTTTTTAAGTGATGGAAATGTCCAGGTTTTCATTACCTTTCATTGGACCATTAAATTGAGCAGCTCTCATAGCTCTCTGTGCACTCAGAAGGAGCGAGCAGACACAAACAATCGGTCAGCCTGCAACATGCCAAAGCGCAAATGCACATTTAACAATGACTTGCACAAAAAGTTCCCCACTTTCCGTCCCGATCGGGACAAGTGGGAGGCCACGTGCACAGTGTGCAAAGCAGACACAGCTTTGCGAGGTGAGAGTAGCTCAATGTCGAGGCCCCACCCCCCACCCCTGGTAAGGTGTCTGGTTTTTCACAAACGGAGATATGGTCACCCTAGTACCCTATATATATTTTTTTTTCATGGGTTATTTTCCTGACAGTGTCTATGTCCCCAGTCCCTGTTATGATAGAGCTCCTATCATTTAGCTCTTGTCATTTCTCACAGACAAAAGGCATCAGTCTTTGATTCATAGCAGGAAGAACACTTGATCAGGTCTGAACACATGTTTTACCCTGTATTTATCCAGTATTTATCCAGTATTTATCATGAGATACTGCTGCCGAGGGTAAGACTATTCCCGTGTAGCATGGTTACGTGCATCCACAATTGTGACACTACAAACTTTTCCAGCTGGGATTTATGAATATATCTCTGCTAATATGAGGAAAATTTTCATCAAATAAAAAGTATAGTAGAGTTCGAGACATGATGAACTGCATTATGATATCCAACTTTTCCAAAGTAGCTAATATGCCTTCAAAATAATACATTTAATTAATTTTGAAGCATTTTCTGATCAAAGAAGAGATCTGCCCCTCGCAGTGAGAGCGCACAGGAGCAAGGACCTGGAGAATTGCAGGTGATTATATCCATGGAAGTATAATAAGATCTTATTGTAGATCCATGATTGTATCTGATCAGGTGAGCATAGACTGTGGCCAAAACTAAGATGTGTCCCGCTCAAAGCTGTCAATTAATAAAGTAAAAATCCTGGACATTTTGCCACAATTTAGAAATTAATTCTGGATGTGTTACTACCACGGGCCTCCATCTCTTCCTACAGCCATTTCTGTTTTGATCTGTGTGTGTGTGTGTGTGCGTGTGTGGTCCTATACAACTCAAAAGTAACTGTTCTGAGCTTTGAGGAATGTTGGACTCTTGTTACCTCCTCAAAAACATACCCACAGTTGTGTTTTGTGTCATTCACATGTGTTTTGAGTAATCCTTTATTATTAGTCTCACTACATTTCTAAATGCTCTGTTCCACCTTGTAATGTTGTGAAGCAATAGTTTTCAAATTAACAGCTACCTTTTGTTCAGTAGAGATTAGCAAACAGAGTGTTTTCTATTTGATAAAAGAAAAGAAGGTTTGTGTGTTAAACGTGTGGGATGTTTTTAACATTATAACATAGAAAGTAGTATAACATGGGCACTTTAATATCCTTCATAATTACTACAACCTTGAATCCCAGCAATAATACAGTCCATTACATTGTATTATTGTTTTGCTCCTATTACAATTTATGGAGGCAGTCCTGCAATTTAGACACCTTTGCTAATAACTTTGGAGAGAAATAAACAGTGTAAATGACTGAAATTAATCTCAAATGTTACACGATGCAGTGATTTTAAATCGTCAGGCCTTTTATTGCGCATATTACCTTCCAGAGTAGAGAGGTGAGTCTATATCTGTCCTGGTGAATAACTTGTCTCCAGAACATTGGTGATGAAGATGGAGCTGCAAGAAGAAGTCAAATGATTTAAATATGTCAACATGAATTATTATAAACCAATCAGACAAAACAATATGAGCTGTACAGCTGAACCATTACAGCAAATTATCTTTTCAGTGGTGCTTGTTACTGAGTCGGATTTATTATTTGTGTCGGATTTATTATTTGTTCATTAAAAGTATAGGTACTCGTGAGAAGAATTGGATTCAAGTTTGAAGGGGCATAGACAATACATAACTTTTTTGCATTTCTTTTAATAAAGGTTAAAGATGCACTAGCTAGCGTTTCTAGTGGAGGGTTTGCCATCTCTTTGTGTGCATGGAGATGATATTGATTTGCATGAAAAGTTCCACAGTATGGCATTAAACTTATCTAACTTGAATTTATTCAGTTACAGATTTCTTATTGCTCAAAAATAACTTGGAAATCGTGCACTTTGACTGTAAGCAGAGTCAGATCTCTTCCATGGAGACAAGCAGCTGATGCCACCAGGCTAGACAAGTTACTAGTCAAATTTGTGGAGAGGCAAGCCCACTCACAGTAAGAACGCATGTTTGGAGGAATGAAACAAGATAGGTGAGTTTAATGAGGCAAAACCAGAAAACGTCCGTGAAGAAAATAACGTTTTGCATGTAGGGCTGTATTCAAAGCACAAGGTCATAATGTTAACTCCTGATTTGTGTATGTTTTTTTGTACCGTCCTCTCCCGTCCTGCCCTGGCCCTCGTTGCTCCATTGGCTCCAAAGACTTGTTTCGCTACGGTAACGATGTCGGAGCCTCACGGTGTACTCTGTGTACGGCTGGAAGGGGCACGCCATGAAACTGAAGCTAGTCACTGTCACATTAGCCACTGTCACATCTGGCTACAGTGGGAAAGAACAAAACAAGGAATAGGTGTTTTTTAAAATCATAAATTTGATAGTTGATACTTTGCAATGACATCATGCTGGGGGTGTTCTACATGTATCTCTATGGTGAAATATTCAACAGTAATCATGAGACACAATGCACACATTAGCAAACACTGTCAAAAAAGGTTTAAAATTGTCTGAAAGCAAGAAAAATACACATACAAATACATGTTTTTCTACTTTTCCAAAATTAAAATTCATAGTGCATCTTCAATTAGTTAAGAGGTTCATATTTCAATGTTGTCTCAAGTGTTATTGTTTTATGATGTGTAAAACACCATCAATAGGTTCACTTCTTCTTTATATTTATATTTTAAATTGCACTATTGAAGTCTGATATCTATAATAAAATACTTTGTTCAAATAAGCACTTACACACCTGTCCATGTGCTTTAAACTCAATCTGAGACTCCAGCTTTCCCTCTTGGATTTGACTGTTGGATACTAGAAATACAACTGATCTTTTCTGCCAGTTCAGGGTCAGGCATCGTGGTTGGCCGTGCACGTGAGTGATGTTGTGTAACGTTACTGGATGCAACTTAACTGGAAAAAAAACAGAATATATACTTTTATCCTTGTAAATAACAACAGCATGATAGTGGGACTGGTAACTTTGTGGTTACTGAGTGAGCATAAAGAGATATAGAATAAATATGCAAAAAACACATAAAAACCTCTATGGATGAACATCTCCACCAGCTTTCTTGGGTTAAAGGTGCATTATGTAGTTTTTCTGGGGGAGTGTCCGTCCACTGTTTCCATGGAGATGCTGTTGCTTTGCCTTGAATGTTCCACAGTATGGCATTAAACCTATTAAACTTTCTAGTTAGACCCGTTTAATGCTATTCTGTGGAACATTCCAGGCAAGGCAATATCAACTCCATGGAGACAAGAAGGTTGTGTAGCCTCCACCAGAAATACACATTGCATGTTTATTTATTTTACTTTCTTACAGTGAGAAATAAGTAGATATGGTGAAATGGCCCTTACTTTCATCGATACCCATCTGACATCGTGGTGGAGTCGTGATGTTGCCATAGCGGCTGTATGCTGTGATGCTGACACAGAAGTTGTAGTTGACAGAAAGCTGCCCCATCAGCACTGTACAGCTGGTGTTTCGCGTGGAACAGGTCCAGAGCTTTACACTACAACAGAAATACAAGAAATCATCACTTATAAGTCCTACAGTACACAAAATTGATTCTTGAAGCTTTAAGCCAAGTTATAATCTTGTTACCTCCTCAAATATACCCAGAGTTGTGCTTTGTTTCATTCACACATATTTGAGTAATCCTTTATTATGAGGTAGTGTACATCTCTAAAGCTCAAAATGCTCCGTTTCCACCTTGTGATGTCATAAAGCAGTAGTTTTAAAGTTAACAGCTACCTTTTACCTTTTTACTTCAGAGGCAATTCTAGAGCTGAAATTATCCAGATGATTCTAGTGAAGGTGTATGAAGTCAAAACCACATTGGAGCACTTCCTGTATTACCACATGACATCACAAGGTGGAACAGTGTTTTCTGTCTGAGAGACAAACTCAGCCAATATATATGCAGGGCTTGTGTGTTGAAAATGTGTAAACGAAATAAAACACAACTCCAGGTATGTTTGTGATGAGGAAACAACATTATACCAGAGATCAGAAAACAGTCTAATATGGGCCCTTTAATAAATATCCACAAAACCATAAATGCAGGGCTTGATTAATCAGTAGACCAAACTTTGTATTAGTTGAGTAATCATTTTGTGCAGATTATAAGGATTATATGGGACAACAGCAGAAAGGAGAAGCGAGTGAGCAAATCAGATGAAGATTTGGTATTTTTGGTATTTATTTGTAAAAAGGCAGATTAAACTCATTTATTTATTTATTTTTATTTGATTGGGACAGAGCATGTTTATGGACAAACATGACACAACATGAATGTAAACACCCCGGATACACTGTTTCCTGGTACTTTTTTTCCTTCAGAATTAGTCATTTTTAAATAAACTCCTTGTGAGTAAAATTTGGATCAGATACCTAATAGTTTTGAGAGCGTTCGCCACGCACCCTTTTTAGCCAACTACTCAATCTGCAGGACATTTCTTCAATCGACCAAGCATTTCTTTAGTGGATTACAGCCATACAGAAATGAACCTTGAAATTTTTGTCAGATATTGGGTTCAACAAATTTGATATACTGAAGTCCACAAGTTCACATACAAAAACATCAACAGCACTTCATCAGTTGTGTGTATTTTGTACTTGAAGTGCATATGACAGGTTGGATTACTCAGACTATTCATAAACTTAACGTGTTGTGACAGACTTGGTCGGTGTTAAACTATGATTACTATTTACCACAACAACACTATTAATAATTGGGAAAAAAAACAAAAACATTAAAGTAAAGTATTAAAGTAACAATAAAATAAATCTGTCTATCCTTTGCAGCTGATGTCATCAATATTCCTTGGGAGTGTGATCTGACCAATCTGACCAGAAAGCGCTGATTTAGTAGGAAGTACAACACATTAGCTAATTTGTGCAATTTGTTTTCTCTAGAATTACACTCACAAGCTAGCAAGCAGCTTTTCAGTTCGTCGTTCTCACATTTTTTGTTGACTGCAAAGTGTCAGTACTACAGCATTACTATTTTTGCTTACTCTGATAAGCTCTGGCTAAACTCTCAAACCTAGCACAGTTTATCTGAATAAGACATGTGTGAAATGAAGCAGTTGATCACGGCTGATATGAGAGGTGCAGAACAACGCTCAGAACGATTTGAACACACAGACAGACACATGAGGTATGCGCACATTCAGAGACCAGACAACAAAGTGGAAACTCTTATCGCAAAAATCTGTAAACATGTTAACTGCTAACACATATTTAGCTCACCATGTTACCTTTAATTGTTTTGAGAATACTATATTCACTAAAAAACATATAAAATTATTTTTTTTATTAGTTGCTTTAGTTACTGATCACTGCCCTTGCTCCCCAACGTAAGTCACACCTCCTCCAGGTCACTATCAAAACACAATCAGTGTGCATTGCTATATTACTGAAACATGCTTACCTAATCAGTCACAACCATGCGCTTTGACAAAACTTTACAAAGACCGGAGCTGTATCCTGTCTCCCTGATTTCAGAGGGTGTGATTGACAGGTGGACTAAGCAATCAGAGAGACGCATGCTTTGTTTGCATAGAAAGCAAACATGGTGGTTTACAGATATAAAAGGGGAAAAAACAACAACAACATAAAGGACTGAGAAACCTCACAGATTTTTACTGAATCAACTGAATTTTATTACTGAATTTTACTGACTCAACATTCGAAGCAAAAGTATAAGAAGTTATATACAGATGTGGACAAAATTGTTGGTACCCCTCTGGCAATGAAAGAAAAATCAGCAATCATCACTGAAATAACTTTAAACTGATAAAAGCAATAATAAAAACAAATTTACTGAAAAATGTCCACCAGGACACGTGATACAAATCGGCGGCTGTGGTTGGATTTTCTCAAGTTTAAACAGAACACACTCTGTTATCCATTTCCAGACCCTTCTAGACTCAAAGAGAATGTAGAAGGGACTGGCTGGTCAGGCAAGAAACCAATCCAAATGTAGAAGCATGGATAAGAAATCTCATGAGATAATTTTACTTGTGTGTTGCGTTATTAACTTACTGTGGGGTCATCCTCTGCACTTTGAGAGTAGTGTGTGGTTTGGGAGTCTCCAGGCATCCAATCACAGGTGACATTGAATCGATGGATGAAAACACAGCCAATCAGAACAGGAGCTTTGAGGCCAGTACAAAACACTGAGGACACTGCTGGAAAAAGAAAAGAAACCAAAACATTACAAAACGTTTTATAATACAAAGAAATCCAAAACAAATCGTCCATTATGACTACTACAGGTGGGTAAATTTGTTTATCCTGTAGGGAAATTGAGAAGCGAATGGTCCGTTTGAAACTAAATAAACAGGGCAAGTGTGTGACATGTTCCAAGTTCTATTAAAGGTGTGGTTGCCAGGCCTGTGACGATAAAATTTGAAGTGCGATACATTAGTAAATTAGAAGTAAATATAGATGATAAACGATATAGAAACCAAACCATAAAGCAAAATTATCACCCTCAAAAAGATCTTTAAAGGGCCTATATTATGCAAAATTGATTCTTCTGAGTTTTAAGACAGGTTATAATGTTACCTCATCAAAAACATGCCTGCCTGCTTTGTTTGAGTAATCCTAGTTTATCAGTTTGTCTAAATCTCCAAAGCGCAAAATGCTTTGTTCCACCTTGTGATGCCATGAAGAGGTTGTTTTCAAGTTAACAGCTACTTTTTTATCTTTAGTTCAGTAGAGACTGGCTATTCCAGGAGTGAAATTACACTTCTGTATTACCACATGACATCACAGAGTAGAACAAAGTGTCTTCCGTTTGAGAGAACTCAGCCTAAATATGCAGGGTTTGTGTGTTAAACATGTGTGAATGAAACAAAGCACAACTCCAGGAATGTTTGGGATGAGGAAACATTATAACATAGATCAGAAAATAGTGTAATATAGGCCCTTTAAGAAGGATTTTTTTTTTCTTGCCAAAACTTTTTAAACCAGCTCACCTGCACGGACTGTACCACCTTATAATAATAACTAATAGAGTTACATTGACAAGGACTTTGCTGCTTGAACAAAGATTCTCTCCTACTTAAGTCTTTGTTTAGTTTGAAAATTGGCTTAGCAAACAATTGAAACCTACCCACAAAAAGTCCCACTGCTAGCACAACCATCCAGAGCCTCCACGCCATGAACAGCCAGGTGTATGCCAATCCCCATCACATCGCACCCGTACCTGTAAATAAAGTGCTTTTTAAATTCCGTTAACCTTTAAACGTGTCCAGAGCTGTTGCTGTGTGAGGTTCGTCCTGTATATTTAACACACCTTACATTTGCAACTCAAATATGATGCACCTCCAGGCAAAATATCTTAATGAAAGACGAGAACAAATGTTGATAACTAGAACTTCATAAGATGTTTAAGAACTCTGGCATTCAAGCAGTTCAAGCAGTTCGGGTTTTTTCTTTTCTTTTTGGACTACATGGCATTGGAGAAAGCACAGGCTACTTCAAGATTTATTTATTCAGTATTTTAAAACGCAAAAAGAGTGTCTTTCTGAACGCATGCACTTCACGATGCTGTCTATCTCTTTAACTGCAGGCCTATTAGAACAATCCTGATAACAAAGTTTACTTTAAACTCGCCATCATAGTCTAGCCTACTTTGGAACAAAACTTTGCAAAAAAAAAAAAAAAAAAAAAAAAAGAATCGGTCATTACAAAATAAAGTGCATCTCAGACATGCACTATCTTGTTCACTGTTCCCGTACTGTAAAAATCGCTGACTTAACCCCATGAAACGTGTTAATCTACGTATAGCCACAATTATAGACACTCACCCGTTGTAACCACGGATCCGCTGTTTTCAGTTCAGCTCATCGATTGAGCAACAGTCCATCAGTACCGTGCGTAAAACCAACACAACACGCGCCCCTTCTCCAAGTCACGCCCACCTGTGTCCAGTCGTTCTGTAGTAGTAAAAATAGGCTAGTTTTTGTTTGCACGTGATCATTAATTAGCATGTCTTAAATAATGGAAAAGCCCAAGTAAATAACCATCAGTTAGGGCTATATTATGATGTTTTGCATTGTTGGATTTTGGATGTAAATAGAGCTAATATTAATGGCAAAATTTTGCCTTGGGGGTTGGGGGAGGCAAAACACATGAAGAGAACTCCAATTCTAAATATCGTCTTACATCAGATTAACTTGCATCATACTGTGACCAAACTTCTCTATTTACCCATTACAGTCCCAGTTTTCAACCCTGTGTGCTTTGTCACAACAGTCTTATACAAGAACCGCCCCAGGTGACCTTATTTCAGCAGTAAAGGGGGAAATATATTGTCATGTGTTTAGCCAACATACAGAAAAAACATGCTTAAAAATAAGCACAAGGCAAAAATTATGCATCCACATAAACCCCTTACATTATATACTGACTCACAAGTGAGTACCAGTTTTGAAAATTATTATTTATTATTAATTTAAAAAATCTGGTCACCCTCATCATACTAATAATAGTAAAAACAAAAACTTCAAAAGCTATAAGTTGTATGCCCAATTGGGTACATTCGAGATGTATATGTAACCACTTGGCTGTCTCCATGGAGATAATATTGCTTTATCAGGAATGTTTTACAGTAAAGCATTTAAATGACCTCACAAGCATGTGCTGCAAGATTCAGAAAACTTTATTGGTCCCAGAGGGCATTTCATTTGCAGCATTCTCAGAGCAGTCCACACACACACACACACACACAACACACAAACACACAAAGTGTCTGTCCGTTAGTACAACAATATATATTTGATTATATATTACAGTGCAAAACTTCAAAAGCCACTACCATCAGACTTGAGCAATTTAAAAGCAGAGGCCACAAAAGAATTAGAGAAACGGTTTGTCTTTCACACCAGCGCACAAAGCTGATGCCCTGAAGACATCATGACAAAGTTAGGAGCCCGAGGATGAAGGGGCTGAGCTATGAGACACTTCACTTTGCTCAGCACCTGCTCCTTCCACAGAGAATGCAGCTCTCTCAATTTGACACCTGTCATTTTTGGGGAGCTTTTAACAATGCTCTGCAGTATGTTTTTATCCTTCAAGGACAGGGACTGAAACCAGCAAATGAAAGAAAAAGTAAGCAAACTTTCGATAGAAGAACAATAAAAGTTGTTGAGAATTGTTTTGTTCACATTAAGAGTTCAGTTTTTGAACTTTTTAGTTTTCAGTCTTCTCAACTAAGTAATTATGCAAAATTGAGCTTTATGTGAGCTTTAAGCCATGTTATGTTGTTACCTCCTCAGAAACATACCTGGAGTTGTGTTTTGTTTCATTCACATGTGTTTGGAGCTTTGGAGATGTGACAGACTAATAATAAACAGTTGCGCAAATGCTCCGTTCCACCTTGTGATGTCAGTAGTGGTTATTTTCAAGTTAACAGCTACTTTTCACCCTTTGTTCAGAACAGTGGCAAATCCAGGTCTGAAAGCATCCAAATTATTGGAGTGAAGGTGTACGGAGTTTAAAAACAAGTTAAAAGTCTTCTCTGTTAGTATAAATAGTCGTAGTCATTTTTACACAATAACCGCAGAAAGTGGTGCCATTACTCAACTCCAAAGACATGATTGCTGTCAATAGAAAGGGAACAAGCAGGTGATGGCCCCATAATACATTGTCCTGTATCGAGTTTCAATACTAGTTTTTGTATCAATAAATATATAATTTTCAATACTTTTGACATCTCTACAACATGGTGCAAACTGAATTTAAATTGGTACAGAACAGGGAAAGCATAGAAAGATTATGTAATCATCAAATCAAAATGCAGAATGTGAATGCTATTGGGAACTACATTTTCTGGGCAGAGGCAGACTGAGCTGGCGAATGCGTGCAGAGGGACAGGCTGATCTTGCTGCTCGGCTGATGATGTACGGGTTGTATCCTTCATACAAAGACTTCCTCTCTTTGGGGTTGGACAGCTCCTGGACCCTGGGACTGGCTACTGCTTTCTGGGCAGATCTGGAGATGGGCCAGCAGACCTCACGCTCCCCCTCAAACTTTGGGTGGTTTTGTTTTGGGGCTAAAATTAGATAAGAAAGAAGGAAAATGAGTCAGATGTTACATATACAGTATGTCCTCATGTGTGCTTAAAGGTCCTATGTTATGCAAAATTTAATGTTGTGAGCTTTTAACCATGTTATAATGCTATTACTGCATTAAAAACATACCCAGAGTTGTGTTTTGTTACATTCATACTTTTGAGTAATCCTGCATTAGTAGTCTGTCTGCATCTCCATATGCTCTGTTTCACCTTGTGATGTCATGAAGTAGTAGTTTTCAAGTTAACAGCTACCTTTTACCTTTAGTGGAACACTTCCTGTCTTAACACATGAGAACAGAATGTTTTCGATTTGTGAAATGAACTCAGCCTTAACATGCAGGGTTTGTGTGTTAAACATGTTAGAATGAAACAAAACAACTCCAGTTATGACTGTGATGAGGAAACAAAATGAAACAAATCAGAAAATAGTGTAATATGGGCCCTTCAAAACATTCACAATGACATTCATGATCCAACACCACAAGACAAGGTAATTTACAACCTGTAAAAGTTTATAATTATATCTAATTAATTAAAATATGATTATTAAGCTACTTTTTCTTGACTCACATTCAGGGCTGGGCCAGTCAACCTTTTGTTATTCATTTGTGGTCACCCTGCCTTTTAACATTTTATAGCCTGTTTATGTGCCCTTTCTTTCTTAATAATAATAATATAAATAAAAGAAAACAACAACAACAATACATTATATGAATTTCCAAATACAGGAACCAGGAATGGACTAAACCAAAACCTTCTTCACAGGAAACGAATCTCATTTAAAAATGTTAGCATTGTTGTTCTAAACAAGACTACAATTAAACACAAAGTTCCAAGTTTGGGTTTATGAATCAATAAATGGTAGTGTTGTCAATACTGATGATAATTAAAAATGCACTTTTTTTGACAATAAAATGTGATTTTCAACATTAAATCATAGTACTACTTTCCTTAACATTACCATATGACCTTATATCTGTATAATCCCTCAGTGGTCCAGGTAGGTTTAACAGTGATGCATGGACGTAAACAAGTCTATGTGGTTTTATACTTGTTCTGATACAGCTCAACACCACTCTAAAGCTATTCAGGACAGGTTCATTTCCGTCCTGTGAATGTGACTTTTTTAGTACCGATAAGTGCTCAAATGAGTTTCTAGTTTCGATACTGGTTTTACTGTCAAATGGTATCTGATTTCATACTACATAGTTCAAACTGAATTAAAATTGGTACAGAACAATGAGAAAATAAAGACGTGTGGCATGCTTGTTAAACGGCTCTAAATACAATGTTATGTGAGCACCCCCGTGGAAGATCTCAGCAACCCTTATACTAACTCCTATAGAAAGAAACATCTTACACAACTACTTATTTGATATGTAAATTTCAACAGACAAGGTAAGGCGTAAACACACAAAAGAGAACCATGACTAGAATGGAAGGAGGAGATAAGAGAAGATAATGAAAAATTTGTTAGGGAAAATATTATCCTTAAGTCCAGTGGAGAGGGATGGGACAGGTGAGTGGGTTCGTGCAAGGGGGAGGGGGGTAAAAAACCCGGTGCCTGGTGATTAGTTGAGAGGGAAATGTTGTGGGCTGTGATTGGCTGGGAGTGGCGGACAGGTGGCGGAGGTAGTAACAAAGATAAAAGAAATGTGGTTTACTTGGATTTACAACACAGCTTAAGTTATGCAAAACAAGATTCAAGGTAAGTAATTGAGGTGTTGCAAGGTTAACAATGTAAAACCCAACACACATGTAGTAAAAACACAGGTAACATTGGCATGAACTCAACTGAACACCCACAAACACAAAATTTAACCACAAAATAAAAATGTAAATTCTAGCTTTTGAAAAATAAGGTAGAAAAATAACAAATAAATAAAACTCTCTTCACAACAAGAAAAACATACTATAAGGATACAAAACTTTAAGTGTAACTTTAAAAGGTCCTATATTATGGAAAATCTACTCATGTGAGCCATGTTATAATGCTTTTACCAAAGACATACCTGGAGTTGTGTTTTGTTTCATTCACAAATGTTTAAGTACCCCTTTATTATTAATCTGTCTACCAAAGCTAAAAATTCCCTGTTCTACCTTGTGATGTCATGAAGCGATGACATGACATGGACCTTTTACCTTTCGTACAGCAGAGATTGGCAATTCCAAGGCTGAAATTACTCAAATGATTCTAGTGAAGGTGTATGGAGTTTAAAAACACAGTGGAGCACTTCTTGTAGTGTGTGTTGAGTGTTTTCTGTTTGAGAGAAGAACTCAGCTTAAATATGCAGGGTTTGTGTTTTAAACATGTGTGAATGACACAAAACACAACTCCAGGAATGTTTTTGATAAAGAAAATAGTGTAATATGAACCCTTTAAACACACTGAGATGTTGACTCTAAATATAAATATTTAAGCAGATTCACATAAAGCAAAAATCAGCATGAGAGAACTGGATGAAATAATGTGACACAATACACCTTGTCCACATGGTGGCCATACCGGCTTGTCAAAGCCTGATCCCATCAGATCTCAAAAGCTAAGCAAGGCTGGGCCTGGTTAGTACTTGGATGGGAGACCACTGGGAAAATCAGGTGCCACAGTGGGGCTCCAGTCACAAAAAACCACAAAACTGTCGTTGTGTCCTTAGGCAAGACACTTCACCGACATTGCCTAGTATGAAAGTGGTGTGTGTGTGTGTGTGAGTGATGGTGGTGGTCGGAGGGACAGAGGGACAGAGGGCGCCGATTGGCATGGCAGCTGTGCTTCTGTCAGTCTGCCCCAGGGCAGTTGTGGCTACAATAGCAGCTTATCACCAGGTGTGGAGAAAAAGAATAATGAATCTATAAATGCTGTGAAAAGTGTCTTTGTGACATATGTCTGTGAAAAGTGCTATATAAATAAAGACTTACTTACATTAAATATTTTTGAATAAAGTTTCAGAAATTGTGTCAAACTAAATAGTTCACTTAAAAATCAATAACAACAACAATAATGTGATGTAATAATAATAATAATAATAGTATGTCCTTACTCACTGGCAAGCAGCTCTATGTGTGCAGAGGCCCTGCTGGAGCCCTGGGAGCGAGGGGCAGCTCTGGTCCTGGGAGCAGAACCTTCATCTCTGGACCTCCTCTTTGGTTGAGCGAGCTGACAGATACGGGCGGTGGCTACAGCTGTCTGTGTTGCTTTGCTCAACTGAAAAAACAGAGAAGATAAAATGCTCCTATGTGACAAGATGATTTGTATTGTGTGTGCCATTACTGATGGATGGGAGTTTTTAACGGTTCAGTGAGGTCGACTGCCTCCTGTGTCTCCTTCTATGTGTGATTCACATTTGACAAATTTACCTTAAATTTTGGTCCAATACAGACTTTACACTGTACACTATTCTGGTGGAGGGTCTGCTACCTTCTTGTCTCTAATCTAAAGAGGTGTTGTTGTTGGTTTGCCAAAATGTTGCACGGTATGGCTTTAAACTGATTTGTCTTACATTTATATTAATTAAAAATATGCACTCCTTTACTGTGAGTTAGGTCTCCTCTCCACAGATCTAACTTGGCCTGATGGTTTCACCTACAAATCTCCATTAAGTTATACAACTTTAACAGCTTACAGGTCCATACGTGGCAGACTCTCTTCTAGGACAAAAATGACAAAGATCAGTTTTAAAGGTAACTGGCGTAACATGTGCTCTACCCACAAGATTTAATATATGATTGAATCGTGTTTACTTTAAATCTGCCAGCATCAAATCAAGTGCACTAGTATCTATCAGTTGGGGATAAATCATCTCATCTCTGCCCACATTTCATACCAAATTCTACTCAGTAGTTCATTCTCTGACCCATTTTGTCTGGTGTTGGCATAATTGACCCTATCTTGCAATGCAGTACTTACAGGGACCAGCAGAGGGCGCTCTGGCTGCCACTCCTCTGCAGGTAGCCGTGGGAGAGCCAGACGACACAGGCGTTGGGATGGTACAGCCTTCAAAGCCCACTCACTCACTTTCCACTCAGGACTCATTCTGAGAAATAAGAGTGTATATTAATATTACAGGAATCTGAGTGGTCATAATTTCAAACGGAGAACAGGTCCCAGGAGATTTTTTCACTTCTCATCATATAAGTATTCTATGGGTATTTTTAAAGGGCCCATATTACTCTGTTTTTTGATCTCTAATATAATGTAGTTTTCCATCAAAAACATACCTCGAGTTGTAAGTTGTGTTTGTTTTCATTCATACATGTTTAACACAAAACCCTGTATTTGGCCTGAGTTCTTCTCTCAAACTGAAAACACCCTGTTCCACCTTGTGATGTCAAGTGGTAAATATATGCTCCACTGTGCTTTTAAACTTCATACACCTTCACTAGAATAATTTGGATAATTTCAACCCTGCCCATCTCTATACTGAATGAAAGGTAAAAGTTAGCTGCTAACTTGAAAGCTAAGACTACATGACATCACAAGGTGGAATATTGCATTTTAAGCTTTGGAGATGTCGACAGACTAATAATAAAGGATTGCTCAAACATGTGTGAATGTTTTTGAGGAGATAATAATATTATAACATGGGTCAAAGCTCACAAGAGTCAATTTTGTGAGTAATATGAACCTTTTAATATTGTGAGACAACTTTAACATCTTCTCTGTCAACACAAATTAATGACAGTTCATTAATTTGTGTTGACAGAGAAGATATTCAAGTTCGAGTCACTTTTTGATTACTGTGGCTATGCCCAGGTTAACCATAGACCGGGCCAAAATTCCACTGACAGTTATGCAAATTAGACCAATTATATCTAATCAAGCACATGTTAAAAAGTATTTGGGATTACCACTTCTTAAAGGATTACTGCATAACTTCCTTGGAAATAGAAATTTAAAATCATACTTAGTACTTATAGAAGGAAATGTCTGATTTATGATTTTAAAATGGTCCATATTATGCTGTATGATCTAGGTTATAAAAATGTTTTCTCATCAAAAAACATTCCTGTGCGTTTTGTTTCATTTGCACGTTTAACACACAGACTCCGTATATTTAAGCTTAAGAGTTCTCTCAAAACACTTTGTTCCACCTTGTGATGTCATGCAGTAATACAGAAAGTGCACCACTGTGTTTTTAAACTCCATACACTAGAATCATTTGGATGATTTCAGCCCTGGAATTGCCCACCTCTACCGAACAAAAGGTAGCTGTTAACTACATACCTGAAAACTACCATAGTACATCACAAGGTGGAACAGCGCATTTTGAGCTTTGGAGATGTAGACAGCCTAATGCAGGATAACGTGTGAATGAAACAAAAATTAGGTAAAAATTAGGTAAGGTGTGTGAAATCATTGTCTACTAGAGTACTTAGAGGGCAGAGTAATTAAAAATGTTTACTCTAAAACCATTGCACTAAACAAGAGTGCATACAGTATATAAAGTCTGAAAACCATTCAGAGAATAAAATATTATTTAAAAAGTGATCCAGTCTTGTAAATGTACTTGAGTAAATGTGACTGTGCAATCTATTTCTGAGCAGGAAAAAGGAAATCAACCAAGTATGTAGTATGATATCTTTACTGCACAAAAATAAAAATGGCAAGCCATGCAAATGCTGAGTTGGTTATGAAGGAAGGAAGTGGCAAAGATGGATGATTAAGCTAAATGTTACGAAACAGTGATCAGTACGTAATATTTATATTTATGATAGTATGTGATCTTTTGGAGGTAGCATGTTACAAAAATAGAAAGTTAAAACCACACTTCAGATCATCTTCATGGAGATAGATAGTTGTAATATTCTACAACATGACATAAAACCTAAAGGAACATTTCCATGGAAACAAACAGGATTAGACCAAATAAGTCAGGTTTGTGGAGGTCCAAGCCCGCTCTGAGTTAGGATGCATGTTTTTCTAGTTTCTCCAAGTGAGAAACTAGATTATATTGAAAACCATGCTTTATTTTAGTCTATTTTGGGGCAAATAAAAAATACATACTATACTTTTACAGATACATTGTGTAACTTGTCTGGTGGAGGTTTCCATCATCTGCTTGTCTCCATGGAGATGTGTCTAGAATATTACACAGTATGGCCATAAACTTAAAAATCTCCATGGAGACTTCCAAGCCAAATTATAGGTTAGATTTGTGGAGAGGTGACCCCACTCTCAGTAAGAATTAATGTTTTTCAAGATATTTTTGAGCAAAAACAACACTTGTAAATAAATCTAAGCATTACATCTTCGTGGAAACCAACAGGTTATGGTCCCTCTCCATAAAAGTTACACAGTGCATCTTTAAGCAACATGAGATTTGATATTTACATGACTTGAGTGATGATCTTTTTACTTCGGGAAAGCTCCAACCAACGAGGGGTTAACTCTATAACAAAAATTGGCACATAAGCAAAGTACATGCAGGTTATAGAAAAATACTGTATGCTTACAAGAAAAATAAGTACCAATTTTTGTGGTGGATCCTGTCTTTTCAGGAGGCAGCTTATCGAGCCAGTAAACCGAGCGACTTAAAACAAAGAAATTAATGAATAGCAGAAAGAAATTGATAGAAAAACACAAAGGGAAAGCTGTATTTAAAAGGCTAGTATTACATAGAATGGACACTTGTGAGCTTTAAGCAGTGCCATAATACTGTTACCTCTCCAAAAACATTATTTTAGTTGAGCTCTGTTTCATTCACACATGTTTGAGTAATCCCTTATTATTACTGTGTCTACATCTCTAAAGCTCAAAATGCTCTGTTCCACTCTGATGTCATGCAGTGATAGTTTTCAAGTCAGCTACCCTTTACCTTTACATCAGAGGTTCGGAGATGTCAGTGCTGAAATCAATGATTCTAGTGATGGTGCATGGAGTTTAAAAACAAAGTGGAGCACTTTCTGTACCATCAGATGACAGGATTTTCCACTTGTGAGAAGAAGTCAGTCTAAATATGCAGGATTTCACTAGCAAGGAACTCCAACTATGACAGAGCGAAGAAGTAGTTTATTGATAATCTACGAGGTGGGGTGGAGATGGCTGGGTTGAGACTCTAGGTGGTGGCGGAAAGATCAGAAGCCTGCGGTGGATGGACAGGAGCGAATTCAGAACACAACCAAGGACGGCAAGTGATATCCGGAGTGAAGAGTGCAAATACAAATGTAGAGGATATATGAAGTGGTAAGCGTTTAGGAGAGAGACGAGGTTCAGACTTAAGTAGCCCTTTAATCAACATGGAAACGAGGCAGTGAGAGAGAGATGGGCAGCCCTCGTCAGAGGTCAGCTTGTAATGAAGTTGACTCCTGAGAGATTAGCCTGGGTGGTGGAGACGCATCTCCACCATGATTCTGGAGTGATGTGAGAAGGCAACGCAACTGACCAAGTGTGGAGCTTCTGAAAATCGAAAGGAGAATCAGCAATGGAGTTTAAGTAACCTGGAATATAAGAGGCGCGGGTGACAAGCTGGTTCTGAGCGAACACGAAGGTAAGTTTTCGAAGGAACTAGGCGATCGTGAGGGAGCAAGAGCTTCCCTTGATGATGTGGGCCACGGCATCGCTGTTGGAATGGATAAGAATGCACCTACTAGACCACTTGTGCCCCCAAAGAATGGCTACAATAATGATGGGTATAGTTCAAACAAGGCGGAGAGCTGTTGGCTGGTCTGAGAGAGGAACCTGGGGGGGCCACGTGGAAGCAAACCACCTGGACAGAGCGACAGAGTGTCAGTGAAAAGCTGGATGTCTACAGGAAAAGATACAAATTCATTGTAGAGGAAGACACCATTCCAGGAGTCCAGAAAATGCTTCCATAGGCGCATGTCGGACCAGCGAACTTCGTACGGCGGTATAATATTGTGAAGGGATTTCACAGATGCGGCTTTCCTGAGGAGATGTGAAAGAAAGGGTTTGCCACGAGGAATGATGCGGATAGTGTAGTGTAGGGAGTCATGACCAGGACGTAGTCTAGGTGGTGTAAGACATACGGGAGTTTAAAGTTGTTGAAGTGAACAACACAAGGCTTCACACAGAGAGGAGTCAAAGATTCTAAGTCTGCTGCGGGAGCCGAACGTCAGGTAATAAAACCCTATCCAGAAGACACAAAAGTAGTGCCAGAAATCTGGGTGGCTGGGCAGGACCTTGAAGGCGCTGGTGATTGAGAGAGCGAGTGAGAGATTTCGTGATTGATGGTGGCGTACTGCATGGAAAAAAACTGTGGGAATGAGACTGCTGATTCTGGGAACAACTGTGTCGTGAGGGGAGGATAGGTTGATAATGAGACATTTCTTTACAGTGTGCTTGCGTGTAGCAATGCCGATGGGGCTGATGCAGAAGTCTCGAGAGGAGGATGTTTGAATGGGCCAATTATGAACCCTTCAGCAACTTCCTTCACCAGAAGGTTGTCCACAGCGGCGGTATCTGCAAGCATGGGCTGGGGGTTTCTACACAATTGTGTAGTGACTGGCAGAACTTTGATGCCAGGGTGAAAATCCTCACTGAAACCACTGACCAGAAATTGAACTAATAGTTACAATTATTGCAGATCATCCTTCCTCCCTGATAGATGATAAGAGTGCTCTGCAGCTTGTAGGGCCTACGGGGCCATGGGTGCTGCCAAAGAGATTGTTGAAGCTGCAATGGTGATGACAGGTGACGGGTGGAGCACAAGAAGCCATCTGACTGGTAATGGCTGGAATAAGAGAATATACAGGAGGGATGGGGGTATCAGATGTGTGTGCATGGGGATTTAGTGCAGCCTGCACAGACAGGGATGAGAGAGAGAGGCGACCCGTTGGTCTAACACAATGGGAGCAGGCACAGGGGACGAGACAACATGCTTCCCGCGAGGAGGTGCTCTGGAGGCAGACTGAGAAACTGGGGGCCGCCGATGAAGTCGGCGGTTGGAGCTGCGTGCGCCAGGTTGAGAGCGAGGAGGGCTGGGAGGCCGGGGTGACGGGGCTCGAAGTAGTGATCGAACAGCTTGGATTAGTTATCCTGACAGCTGAAAACGATGCCTTTCTTCTTCAGTTCCTTTTGGAGGCCGGCCACGATTCGGCTTCTGATTTACCGCTTTCTGGATGAAGCCAGCGGGACACCTGTGGGGGAAGCGTGCAGCGCAGGGACCTGCGCGGTGTAGTGCGGGCGCCGAGTCGAGCTCTGCGGCGGGAACTCGGGTGACTTCTGAGGGGGCTGCAGTGGCTGCGGTTGAAACCGTTGTGACGTACGTGGGCCCGCGGCTGCTGTCGGGCGAGTGGCGAGCAGGAAGAGGCAGACAACGGGGAGGAGAGCGAGGATCCCGCTGTCTGCGGAGGAGATTACGGCGGGTGTACGCCTCGGAGAGAGAGCTCCGCGGTGGAGGCGTGGGGGAAATGGCGCTCGGAAGGCTAGAGGAGGCACGCCATCTTACAACTTGGACCTCGGAGCGAACTGGGGAGCGTCGTGAATGTTTCCTGCTCGCGGCCTCCGGCAACCAAATTCGTAGGACTGCCGTGAGTGTGAGGAGACGGCGGGCTGCAACGCGCCGAACAGGTCAGAATCCGAATCGGACGGGTTAATGGTGAGCTCGTGTTCCATGTCTCGTGCTCTGTCGAGTTAGCCGAGACAAAGTGGTATGCTGGGAAAGGCTGCTACAAATAGGCTTCTTGGAAATTAGAGGTGTGGTCGAAGTGAGTCGTGGTTCGCAGGTGAGGAGGAGAGGGCGGTCAGGGCGTGGTCCTGCTCCTGAATCTCAGTTAATTATATTAACTCCACTTGTTTGAGTGAAGCAAAACACAGTTATGTTTTTGAGGAGGTAACAAAATTATAACATAGGTTAAAGTTCACAATTTTGAGTCAATTTTGTGTAATATAGGACCTTTAAGACCACACAAAAATGATAAAGATGACATAATGAATTTTATGAACGAAAGACAAATATATATATTCTTCTATAGATATCAGCATTAGACCATCCCCGACAGTCCGTACCGGTCAGGATACTGAAGTCTGTTTGGTTTGGGCCGAGCAAGCTGCTGGATTCGTTTTGCCATGGAGTCCAATCCAACATAGAAGGATAGTGAAAACACCTCCTGCAAGAAAATATATAGGATTATTAAAGTTGCACTGTGTAACTTGTCTGCTAGAGAGTCCATCACCTGCTTGTCTCCATGGAGACAAGAATGTTTCACAGTATGCCTATAAACATATGAATTTACAGGCCAGAGACATTTGCAAGCCCACTCACAGTAAGAATTCGTGTTTTTTTGTTTTTTTTTGTTTTGTTTTGTTTTGTTTTTTTAAATATATTTAATGCATTTTAAGATAAGTTACAGAAAAGTTACACAGTGCACCTTTAAGAGAAATATTCAGATGTGTACTATTCTCTTGATCTATGTAGTAATCAAAACACTAAATCCATGCATGCAAAGTGTTAAAGACTATTGCACAATATTGTATAATTGTTGTTTCTTGTTTCTCTATTATTTTACCACCAAATATTTGTCCATAAGCAATGACCACCACCACTACATGCAATAACTAAATGCACCAGACCCAGTAATATATAGATCTAAAATGCCTTAACCAAAATATAAAAGTAAAACACATAAAATGACAAATTCAAATTCAAATAAATTAATTATGTTGAAGATTTTATTTCCTGTAGGGCTCTTACCTATGTGTGCGGTGACACCACTGAGGAGACACTGACACCTTTCTGTTGCTATGGAGTCAGGTGACGCCAAAGATCATCTCTGTTCAGCTGTAGTCAGGATGCTCTTGCTTTACTGTTGTTTCTTGCACTGAAAATGGAGAAGAATGTAAGTGTACCTAAAAATATGTATGTCTACATCTTTCTCTGTATAATATAGGTTTCAAATTCCAATACAGAACATTTAAAGGGCCCCTATCACAGTATTTTTTGATCTGTTATAATGTTGTTTCCTCATCACAAACATACCTGGGGTTATGTTTTGTTTAAGTCACATGTTTAACACACAAACCCTTTATATTTAGAGTGATTTCTTCTCTAACACTGAAAACGCTCTGCTCCACCTTGTGATGTCATGTGGTAATACAGGAAGTGCTCTACTGTGTTTGTAAATTCCATACAGCTTCACTAGAATCATTAGATCATTTCAGCCCTTGTAGTGCCAATCTACTACTACTAAACAAAAGGTAAAATGTGGTAACTTGAAATCTTCCCCTTCATGACATCACAAGGTGTAACAGAGCATTTTAAGATTTGGGATTGTAGACAGACTAAAAATAAAGGATTACACAAACATGTGCAAAAGGAACAAAACACAACTCCAGGCATATTTTTGAGGAGGTAACAACATTGTAAGATGGCTTAAAACTCACAAGAGTGAATTTTACATTACATAGGACCTTTAAAAACAAAATTATGAAAAACATTGAACAATTTGTCTATCTCCTTAATAAGATAGGTGCACTATAGGTTTTCTGGGGAGGGCCTGTCACCTGCTTATCTCCACAGAGATGTTATTGCTTTTAGAATGTTCCATAGTCTGACATTAAACTTCAAACAAGCAGGTAACACAAACAGGTCAGATCTGTGGAGAGGCAAAAATGCACTTTTTCCAAGACATATTTGTCCAATAAACACCTGCAATTAAATGAACACAACATAGATTTAAAAGCAGGTTAGACACTGACAGTGGTTCTAAATAGAAAAATTGTTATGCATTGTACCTTTAAAAATAAATATGTGTTTTAGGGTCAAGTGGTCAGTAGCAGAGTGCCACCACATGGGAGCGCTCTCGGGACCCCACTTCCAGGTTTTGAGCTGTCTTGGTCAGGATTACTTCAGCTCTTGAAAAACTACAACTTCTTGACATCACAAGCTGGAACGGAGCATTTTGAGGTTTGGAGATGTAAATAGACTAAATCAGATGTCGGCATTGTGCAGCTCCCGAGCCACAATCTTTGGTTGACTCTGACTGGCCGTTTAAGCTCATTTGGAATTACAAACATACAACATAATTTATAATTTTACCTCATGCTTGGACTAAAGCTGCATTGCTTTTATTTTAGAGGTTTTTGTGTATGACATTTTTTGTAAGGCAACCTCACATTTTCATTGCTTAGTCATAACATAAACTCTTACCAGTCTGACCAGTTTGTCAAAACAATGCTATTTACTTTTTTAAAATAAAGAAATACAATTAATATTGCAGAATTTAGTTACACATTTTTGCCCAGTGTCCTGTCGATCTGAACTCCCTAGCCCTACTGCACATGCGCATAACCCCCAAGCGCTGTTTAAATGCGTTGATTTGAGTTCCTGAGGCAGAAGTGAAGTAACAAGTAACATTTTAAAAGTGTATTGATTTTATTGTATGCTTGGACCAGTTAAGCAACGACATGTGCAGATTAGATTTGTTAGATGATTGAAAAAAAATACACACAAACATGGTCTGTACAGTTTCACAGTTTCAAGTTTTTTGAAATTTGTAGCACCTGTACAACATTTTAAAATATTTTTTGTGTACTTTGGCAAAAGTTAGGAAAAGTCATCAAATTTGATGGTTAGGGTATTTTTTGTACTATTGAAACAGTACAGTTTGTAATCACAGCTGAATGTGGCTCCTACAGGTGCTGGGGTTTAGGTAGTGGGGACTCAGATCAGAGAGGGTGCTTTTTGTTTTAAATCTGATCATACTGCTGTAAAAATAAGTAAGAATTTCCAACCAACACAAAGAAAAATCTCCATGAAATAAATAAATACTGACCCCTAAAAAATATTGTTCCATTTACAATATATTGAACTATAACTGATGTAGTAATTTTATCATGACATTTGAAAAGTGCCAAATTATTTTAGTGTTTTATACATGTTCCATCCTTTTAAACATAATAAATTAGGAATCCAGTCATGTTAAGAATTTAGTTGAATTTACGTGTCTGGGCAGGTGACAGGTGCTTGACAGGGGAGGGGGTTATGTATAGGGGAGTCAACAGGGGGGGACAAAGGGGTCTGTTATCTGAGGCTCCAGGGTTTTAGGGCCCCTCTTCCAATTAATTTATATTAGAGGGGCCCTAGGGCAGGGGAGTCAATGGGGGGACAATGGGGTCTGTTGTCCGAGGCTCTAGGGTCTCAGGGCCCCTTTTCCTATTAATTTATATTAGAGGGGGGCCCATGTGAGGCTTCTTTCTGCAGGACCCCAGAATTCTGTCAGCAGGCCTGGTTAGAGGTGAGGTTGGGGGTTTGGGGAAAAGGGGGTCCTATGGTTCAGTTAGTGGACCGGCCCAGACAGTAGATGGAGCTGACAGGACCTTTACTCCTAAACATCTTACTCAGTCCTGAACGTGCACATGCCATTTTAGGATTGGCCAAGAAGGTGTGGCCTCAAAGAAATCTGTGTTCCTGTCCAAGAACAGTGCAGACACAGACAGAATCTCTTTTCAAAAACTTTTAGTAGCTGCTTTATCAATGTTTTTCAAATCTTTGACTCTAAGCTCTCTGTTCTCAGGTAACATACACTGAAAAAACGGTCCGAGAGGGGTTGCTCAAATTGCAAAAACAAATTTGACAACAATAACATCACTTTTTTACGTTTCTCTGTCAAGTCACGTTTAAATCTTACAAACATCGCTTGATTGTGGCCGATGTGAGACCTGCATGTTTTAATCAGGTTGAGGAAACATGACTTTATTATAATTTCTGGTGAGGCTCCTCCCTCTGGAATTCTCCTCCCCAAAACCTTTGGAGGGAAAATTCAAATGTAACAGGACACAGGACAGTTAGATGAGCAGAGGACATGCAGTGTGGAGCAGGAGGATTATGAGAGCTGATCTGGAGGTAAGACTTTTCAAAGATTTTATTATGTGCTTCTCCGGCCTAGAATGTCGTCATTGTTAAAACATGTTTGTGTTGTTTTATTTGATATTAGAGTTAATGTAAGGACAGCTTGAAACAAATTGTTTTTGACTGTCCATCTACAAGAGTGTGACACTTGTACTAAGATTTGAATGTGTTGCTTCCAGAGTCGTCTACAAACAGTGACATCCAGAGCTCTGCTGGAGCTGTGGGGAAGTTCATGAATGTTATAATTGATGTTTCAGAAAAAAGGAAGATGTTTGAGAACCAACAAAACACAGACCACAGATGAACAAAGTAAGTAAACCAACTAAAATTATTTTAAAATTTTTCAAAATGAACTTCCTATTGAAACAGTTATCGTGCTTCTACAGGGTGATGTTGACACTAGGAGGACTTTATACCAGATGCCCTCCCTGTTACTGTGTTTAGAGAAAGAAAAGCAGCACATGGCGAGTTTTGTTTCTGCAGATACAGTTCTAATGTTCTTGTGATTCTGTTCTGGTCCATTATTGTAGTAATAATTGCTATAAGTGTATTTAAACATGTACAACAGAGTAGATCATCAGAATGTGATCATCATGTGTTATTCCTGTGTCCACAGGCAGAGACCAGAGCTTCTTCACTGGAATAAATCTTCACACTGTCCAGCTCCAAACTGTGTATCTCTGTTCCCTGTGCTCTCTGTGTGTTTGATTCTGTTTAAGACAATATAGAACTGTGGAAAACTAAAGACTGTTTTTGTATTCTTTTACAGAATTAGATCAATTAAATTAAATTATACATACTTATAAATTTCATGATAAGGTACCATAAGATAAATATGCATATTCAGCATGATTTGTTCAAATTTCATCAACATGAAAAAGTGATGTTCATGTTCCGAGAAAAATATGTGTAGAGGGGTTTGAAAAAAGTTTCAAAGCCTAAACATAATTTTATTGCGTGCAACAGCTTTCCATAACTTTTTTACGCAAATCCAGCAACCTTTTTTTTTCAGTGTAATCTCGTTCTCCACATTTCGGAGTCTTTGCGCAAGCGCCACCTGTTGGTCATTATCAGGAAGGTGCTTGAGTTTTAGAACCAGTTTTTTGATCACTGCTCTGATCATGCAGTGTGTGGCTTTGGGGCAGGTTTTTACATTGGATCCCACACTTGCCTCAGATGGCTCCTCTGGTTCACTGGAGCCCTTTGTTGTAGGTATGTTGAAGACCTCTTGGGATACAGTGTTGGAGTTTGAGGTTGCTGGTTCAATCTCCTCTGGTTGTACATCCTCTAGCTGCATTTCTCTGTGTTGGATCTCCTGTATTTGGATTTCTTCTGATTGGACATCCTTTATTTGGATAGTCTGTAGTTGGATTTCCTCAGATTGGATTTCCTGAAGTTGAATTTCCTTTAGTTGGACCTTTTCTAGTTCTAGCTTGTCTAGTTTTTGGATGTTCTCTAGCTGGATTTCCTCAGATTGGACTTTTTCTAATTCTATTTTATCTAGTTTGGTCTTCTCTAGGTGAACTTTCTCTTGTGAAGGAGAATCCTCTACTTCAGTGAAAGCATCACGAGTGAAGCACTGAGGAGTTATAGAAGGTTCAGGGGTGGAGGCCAGAGGAACCATAATCATCTCTTGTGGTGGGATAGAGTCTTCTGATGAACGTTCAAACTCAGAATAGACTTCCTGTGGAGCTGAGGGCTGTTGAAGTCTACCAAAGGTTCGGCGATCTCCTCTGGTGGTACAGACTCAGTAGGACTTGTGGTCTCCTCCACTCCTTTAAATCTGCCATTAACCTCTTGAGGAACGGACATCTCTTCAGATATCGGGACCTCTGTTGTATTGTCTTCTGGTACGATAGAGTCCACTGTTGAAGCCTCAGAAGCCTTCTGAGGCTTCAAGTGTCCACACCTTCTGACAGAAGGTGTGGACACATCCAGAGATACTTGCTGTTCAGCAGCATAAGGCTCTTGTGCACTAGGCCCCTCTGCTGGACTCACAGACTCAGCAGGGATGTCCAGTGGAGCTGATGTAGGTGTCTCAGATTCAGTGATCTCTAATGGCTCTTCTGCTGACCTGACAGTAGGACTTGTGGATCAAGCGGAACTGCTCAGTGATCTGGGCCACAGTGGAGTTCTCCTCTGGGAGAACAGTCTTCTCTGCTGGACTGAGAAACGCTTGATTTTCAGCAGTAGGGGCACTGTGTCGGAAAGCTCTGGTGCAGTGTGGTCCTCTGCTGGACTAGTGACATTCTGACAATCTGAGACCAGTTCTGATGTTGGGACTGGTGAGACAGGCTCCCCCTCTGAGTTAATAGAACTCATGATATCCTGAGGAACTGGATTCTGGACTGGTCTGGGTTCCTCTTGGATTTGGACCGAGCTGGGATTCTTTAGGATCTGGACTGGCCTAGCATTTTGTGGGAAGTGGCCTTGCCTGGGATCCTGTGAGACCTGATTTTGCCTCACTGGCTTGGGACTTTTTGGAAACTGGCCTCGTCTAGGATTACGTGGGACCTGATGATTTTGCCTGGGTCTCTCTGGGAACTGACCTGGCCTGTAGTTCTCATAGACGTGGAAGGGCCTGGGATGTTCTGGAAACTGGCCTCTTCTGTAATTATGGGGATAATGACCTGACCTTGGATTTTCTGGGTACCAAACTTACCTGTGAATGGGTGGGAACTGGTTTGTCCCGGATACTTTGGGACCTGGTTTGGCCTGTGTCTCTCGGTGAAGTGACCTGGTCTAGAATATTGTGAGGTATTGATCAGTCTGGCTTGGTATTTATCTAGGTATTTTTGAGCAGTAAAACCACCTGTAATTGAATGTAATGTAAAGTAGAGGTAGATGTTTAAAATCATACTGCGGAATATTCCAGGCAGAGCAATGACATATCCATAAAAACAAGCATGTGACAGACCGCCAACTAATAAGTTACATAGTGCACCTTTAACCAAAAGACTACCATAAATTATAAAAATTTTAAAACATTTTTAGTGATGAGGAAAACCAAAGCAGATACAGGTACAACATTCAAATCCAGGACCTTCTTGCTGTGAGATGAAAGTGCCAGCAGCTGTCTCACCATTCAATCATCCCAAGAGAAATAAGTTAAACAAATTTTAAAAAGAAACAACACCTTTATTTTGACCATACATTTAATCTTATAAAACAACACAGTAAATAGTCGTCTAACAAAGCTTTTTTTCACAAGTCCACAGTTTCATAATACTGTCTATAAACTAGTATTGCAGGAGTCCGAGTTATTGTGCCAAGCTAACAATATATATAGAGATTTGACATCATATATTGTAACTTTGAGTTTATATTAACAAAATGTAGTGAGGAGAGTAATGTAGGGCTTTAACTCCATGTGACATTCAACGTCCATACAAAAAACCCAGACGCATAGGCTGACAAAGTAGTGTTTGGTTGGTATGATTTAAATAAAACAGTAATCTTTGTAAAGTATAGGACGCAATATTTCTCAGTCCATGTAACTGCATTTGTCTTAAAAAAATAAAAAATAACATTGGCTCATTGTTTAAACAAGATAAAAAAAAAATTGGCACGAGCTTTAACTATAAATTCTATAAGCAATAAGCATAGACTGTGTAAAGAAGTGGACTAAAGGCGCGTGTCACCCGTACCATTCAGCTCGAGTCAATTGAAGCAGTTCCATTTAAGGAATAGGAATTTATTTACGGACTAAATAAATACACCAGGATCATGTAGAGTAGGTTAATACGAACATTTTAAGACCAAAATGACGAGGCTCAGACAGTTACAGAGGGGGTGACAATTTTTCAATGTAAAGTCAATTGGAGCCAGAATCGATGGAGCTGGAAACACCCCATGCTCACTTCCTCTTAACAATGCGGCGGCTAGCGGGTTAGCTATGTCCATTTCTATATACAGTCTACGGTAACAAGGCAGAATTTCATAACAATTTAAATTTTAAAAAGCTACAGCTTGCCAAAAGGACAAGTCTTTTTTGGTCTAAAACTAAATCAGCTACAAATTTAAACTTTAATACTGATTCTTAGTGACGAAATTACAATTTAGTGAGGAGGCGGTTGGAGCTGCCAGTGGGTGAGACTATGTTTATGTAAAATAATACAGAGGATGGCCCCAGGCGATCTCTTTGAGCAGTGCAGGTACGGTGGCAGTGAAAAGGCAAAAATAAGAAATGAAGTGGTTTTCAGTAGCACCCCATGTAAATAAGGTTTAAAACTGCAGTGTCCTCCGTTCATCATGGCATCTTTTATAAAAGTGAGCCAATAGAAAAAATTATTGTAAAGTCAGTTTTTGCTAATTTTTGAATAGACTTGTATTCATGTATTAGCAATGTTTTGAGATTCCTGTTGTCATGAGTGAGTTTGATCTAAGTTATGTGGGGCAGCAGAAGAACCCATATCATTATGTAAGAGAGCAGCAGGCAGGGGCAGTAACTGTAACTGTAATCTTACTTGTAATTGATACATTTCTCAGGCTCAGTCAAGAATATAACACTTAAAACATGCATGATAGGAATATACTCAAGTTAAAGTAGTCCTCCTGACCAAGCCCATAGGTCAAGATCTGGAGCTGGGTCTCTGGGTGCTGAAATGTCATCACCCAATGCTCTATAACAGGATGCCCCAGTGGCAATGAAGGATGGGTCAAACGCTGAGGGCACATTTCAAGGAACAATAAAGGCTAAAGGGGCTGTACCTGATTTTTTATTTTATTTTTTTTGGAATAATTTAGTAAAGATATATTGCAAAATAAGATTTTTTTTTTGGTTTTGAGTTGTACTGTCTGTGAACCAGAAAATCATGTGGGTGCGATGTTAGCCAGCTGTTGTTGTTAGCATTACTTAAACTGCAAAACACAGTTCCTGCCTCTGAAAGTCGTGAAAAGCGCTAATCTCTGTGAACAATTAGAATGTGAGGAATGAGTTTTGAAAGTGAGGAATACATTAAAAATGTTCTGTTTTTCATGTTAAAATCAGGTCCAGCACCTAGATCACAGTTCTCTTTAGCTGTGCATATGACTGAAAGGTGTTTATATTACACTCTTCTTATTTCTTTTATGATGATTATTTATGTTTTGATTAGTTTTAATGTTGTTCTTATTCTGTAAAGCACATTAAATTACTCTGTGTATGAAATCTGCTATATAAATTAACTTGCCTTGCCTTGAACTTTTGACCACAGATCATAGATTTTTATCAGGGATGTCAAGATTTCGGAGGACAGTACTGTATATGTGTATAGAGTATATTTGTGTGTCAGAGCGTCTGTACAATGACAGGATAGAGCAGGGACATGTGCTCTGCTCCTCTGATGGGCAGTTTGTGAGTGGTGTAGTAGTGGATGACTTCTGGGATGGTGGAGAAGGGGGGGCTGTTCTCTCCGAGCACATAACGTCCATCTGCAGACTGGGTGAACTTCATGTGCATAAAACCTTTGCAACTCCTGAGGGAGACACAAGAGAAGCTTCATAAGAAAATACAAGACTTAAAATGTTCTGTTGGACATAAAGCTAAATAAGTTTGAGCAATTCCTCAGTCGTCCAGGTCTGATCCATAACAAAAGAAAAATATAATTCTGTTAACTGGAAAAAGGTCCTTAGAGTGAAGATGTTTAACCAATCAAGCTAAATAAGTAAAAAGAGATTGTAATGACATAGGACAAAAGTTATATGCTTATCAAATAACATGCATGCGACATGTTAAGTGTTGAGGGTCCACAATGTTTTAACTCTACAATGTTCCATCTATAGTATGGCATTATAAGTTATAGAAATAAAAACGTCTTCAAAGGGCAGATTGATAAGTTTAATGTGACTTATGTAGCGTTGTACATGTAAGAAATGCATGTAAATTCACATAATGTAATGTGAAAATCACTAGGTCACCTGATGGAGAGCGAGTAGTCTGTTCTGCATGTCTGGCTGTTCCTCACGAGGTACGAGCTTTCTTTGCACAAAGTTAGTAAAGACTCAGCCTCAGCACGACTGATTGCTCCATGATACCAGCTGTAGAAACAGAGACAAGAGTTCAGGAGTAAAACAGTACAAAAACCAACCAAACATTGACTTTGGCATGTCAAAGAAATGTGAGAAAACACAAACTTTCTGGTTAAAGAAAAAAAATCTGCTGAACATAATATATTTCTAATTCAATTTCTATATTCTACTTTTTTTTCTTCATTTTTTAAGTGATGTTCCAGACTCATATTTTTCCTCCTGTAATATGATTAAATTACTGTGTTGCCTTCCTGATCCTTACACTTGTCGTTCGAGGGGCGTGAAGGGGTCCACTCTTTCTCCAAGCAGAGGAGGCATGTCTCCGACCAGCCTCAGTGTGGTGGACTCTGAAGAAGCACCAGCTCTACAAAAGCGACTCTGCTCTGTGCGGGAGCGCTCCCTCTCTGCTCCTTCAAACTGAACTGAAAACACAAATATACAGACAGTTTGTTTTACTTGTTTCTTTAAAGGGTGCATTGTGTAACTTTTCTGGTGGAGGGTCCATCAAATGCTTTTCTCCATATAGATGTTATTGCTTTGTCTGGAATGTTTCACAGTATGGTATTAAACCTTTCTCTAGACCAGATCAGACAGGGTTACAGGTCAGATCTGTGGAGAGGCGACAGTCAGAATGCCTATTTTTCTAGATATTTTTGAGCTATAAAACCACTTTTAATTGAATAAAAGTAAGGCTGATCTGTTAAATGTCATACTGTGAAACATTCCAGGCAGAGCAATGGCATCTGCATAGAAACAAGCAGGTGACAGACCCAACCTCAAAAAGTTACATAGTGCTCCTTTAAAAGCATATTTGTCCTCAGATATTGTCCAAAAGAACTGTTGCCTTTTCTATGACAACTGTAATGCTGATTTACTCATATCTACAAAAACAATGACATGATGTTAGGATGTTATGTATTTCGATTCTCATGTTGATTATAAAATCATCATAAAATCATTTAGGGTTGTATCATTGCCAGAAAACATAAATAGTTTATTCTTTTCAGCCATATTAACTTAATAATGCTGCAAATTTGCCATGTATCTTACGAGTCCAGATAACAGTTATTATCAGAATACAAAAACAACTATTAATTGCAATTATTTTGACTAAGAGAGGAGTGTGAAGGGGGTTTAGAACAATTTTCTAACTGTCATATGACTACTGAATGTTAACTTAGTATTTTAATAACTGTTGTCGTAATTCCAATCTTTGCATTTAATGGAGGAGAAAAAAACCACAGTAAACACTTGTGGTGCTGGTGTGGTCTTACTGTGTACACATGTGGACTCACCAGCCAAAGCTTTGGAGATATTGTCCTTCTTCCACTCCCAGGGCTGGTCGTATTCATCGGCTGGCCTCTCGTCGTCCTGGGGCAATCTGCTCTCTCTCCCATCAACGTCAAGCCAGGCCGCGTGCTGCAGACTTGAAGGGGGCGCTCTGGGCTGGGTCTGGGTCCTGCCTCTCTCCTCGTATGGATTATCATATAACTGCCCTCCATCACTGCTCCCCGATCGGCTTGTCATTGCACTGTGCTGTAGTTCTGTCAAAAGATCGCCGGAAATAATTTTAGTCCGCTGTATTTATGAGTAACTATTTAAAAAAGAACTTCTAATAGCAGTTTTAATAGAGCATAAATTTGACTACTTTTCTCATACATAAGTAAATTCTCTCATGTCTATCTTATTGTATCTGTGTATCTGCTCTTTGAAACCTGCTAAAAGGCTCTACATTTTTCTTTTTGTAGATTTACGATGACATCCTGCCAAGAGTTAATAAAAAAAAAAAAAGAAGTAGAAATAATAATAGAAATTAAAAAAATAAAAATAAATTACTGATCTGGAATGGTATACAACATTTTCTATAACTATACATTCACAGTGGCTCAACAAAAAGAAACAAAAAGCTTCTTAATCTCAAAGCATTCAACTCGGTCAAATTGACATGACTCTACAAGCACAAATTTCAGTTGAACCTGATATAATTCGCTGAGCTTCAAATGGCTCCATGTAGCTGCCGCACTCCGAGGGGACAGTCTTTGGCTCCCAGCTCAGTTTGGGTCTGGGATCAGGACGCGCGTCAAACGGGTCGGAGTAGTCTGTGTCTGCGTCTGATGCAGCTGGAGCAGATGGAACCACCTGAAGAAGGAAAAAGGTGCATTTATAAACATTAAGAAGCAAATAATTTTCCTGAATCTTTTGACTACAGTACTCGTAATTTTGTTTTACAATTATTTAGTCTCTATGATGACAATAAAACATACTGATTCTGACATTTTTGTAAATATGTATCCTACAATGATTAGGGACAATGGCCAAGATTTTAATCATGCAGCCAACATTAGCATAACATCTTTGAATCAAATAATTATAAGCACCATCTTGTTGTAGTATTTTTCTCTAACTGTAAAATAAGAGAAAGTTAAATGCTTCTTACTGGTTCCTCTTGGACAGTCACTGGGCTGAGGGGAACTTTGCTCCGTCCAAATTCCTGAGAGTCTACTTTGATGAGTCTGTGTTTCGGAGATACAACTTTAACCTAAAAATCAAAGAAGGAAACCAACTTTAATTTCCATAAAAAATGTTTAATATTTGTAAAAATATTTAAATAACACACATTATATATATATGTGTGTGTGTATGTATTATATATATATATATATATATATATATATATATATATATATATAAAATGAGATAGAGAGAGGCAATTCCTTGAAGCTGGAGATAGTTATGCTTCTTTTGTAGTTCCCTCTGTGTGCTCTTTTTTTTTTTTTATTAAATGTCACTGCAAATAAGAATGCACATTAGCCCAGAAACATACAATTTGATATAGCAAAAGTAAAGGTCTACCCTTACAAAGTACATAAATTTAGCATGAACAGTATTTGAATGTGTCCTATATATATTCTTATGCGGTCTCAGCCTTGCCTTTATGGGGCAGTAGGTTTTCATTCATGATTAGGCTCATACCTCCACTCCGTTGGGCAGCACTGCACCGAATGCAGAGAACGAGGGCAGGCTGACAGTGGAGGTGCAGGAGCCGAGACCACCGTTCTGGGACTCTCCGTCCGGGGAATAAGGGTCTTCAAAGTCCAGCTCCTTCTGGGCCCTGTACGCCCTCAGGATCTCACTCTCCGTGTAGTCTGGCCGCGGGGGCTGAGGGGGGTCACGCCTGCTGCCAAAGTTTAGTTTCAGCCACTTTGCCATGGATCTGTTGAGCAAAAGGGAGAATGTTTTAAATAGTCATCATAAAAGAAACAAAGTCAAGTAGTTGCATTTACTTTAGCTGACAACAACTAGGGTTGCAACAATTATATAATCATGATTATGATTATTAAACTATTTGTAATTGTACTTTGATCAATATCATCTGGAATATATAAAAGACATTTTATATAAGAAAAACAGCAGCATTATAAAATCTAAATAATGTAAAAAAAATATTATTTTGCATCAAATATACACTTAAAAATGTAACAACAGAACTAATCATTTGACAAATCAACTACAAAATAAGTGTTGCACCCCTAATAATTATGAATGAAGTTAAGAAGATTCAGACTACAAAGTAAATCTATATTAAAACAAGTAAATTAAAATGCATACACATTTTTATATAAGCTAAATCATAATAAGATAAACCAAAGATTCTAAAACAAAACAAAAGAAAATGAACACATTGCAGCAATCCTGTCAACAATTCTTTGGCTGCTTTATAAATTTAAGTTAGAAAATGAATAAATACATTGTTCTTGCAAAGTACAATACTATTAAATAAATTTCATGCAGTAAACGTTTACACGAGAGTCCTAGTTCCAATAAAAGCGTTTTTTTCGTCCTGAAGACAAACAAAAGTAGTTTATCAAACCATTGTCAAGAGCAGCCTACTACTTTAAAGGGATGGTCACTTGTTACAATGACCAATCGAGTAAATCCCTTTTATCATCTGCTAAATGATTAAACGTAGTGCTAACATTGAGCCACAATAGATGCAGAGGGGTATGTAAACCCTTTATCTAGAAGGCGTCAAAAAACGAAAATCAAAATGATCTAGCGACGTTGAAGTGGTGTAAACTTAGCCAAGTTAGCCACCGCTGCTAATGCTAACCAAAATCACAACACTCACCCTCTTTCGCTTTTTGCATTGGAGGCCTCACGTTCCTTGCTATTTTAAGATATCATCCAGCGTCAATGCCAAAAACGATCCGGTCCAATAAATGAGTGTTTTGGTTAAAGTGTAGCCCGCTCGTGGATAAAGCAGGTCAGTGGGCTAATGTTAGCAGCTGTTCAGACGTGAAGCAGACTGTCTCAGGGGGCGGGATTAAAGGGGAGGACTGCATTTTGCGTGAGTGGACAGAAAATCTCAAACGCAACACTACAGCAGAAAATGTATAAAATAAAATCAATTAAGTACATAAGAAATGACACTATAGAGCAATTTGGACATAATTTGTTTATTCAGACATGTTAAGAGGTTACAGATAAACAAAATGTGCACTTCACAACAGAAAATACATTAAAATTGTCACACATCATTTTAAAGGTGCATTATAAAACATTTATAGTGTAGTCTACCACTTGCATGTCTCCATGAAAATGGTCCACAGTAGGGCATTAAACTCATCTTTCTCCATGGAGACAAGCACATAACTCCATCAGACCAAGTTAAAGGTTTAATATGTGGAGAGGTAATCACAGTAAGAGTGTGTACTTTTATAAGGCGTTTTCTTGCAGTAAGAACATCTGTTACTGAATATGAAAGAAAACTATTAATAAAACACCATACTGTGGAAGAACCCATACAAAGAAGTAACATCTCCATGGAGGCAAGTAGGTAGCGAAACCTGCACAAGAAAAGTTACATAATGCACCATTAAGCTATTAAAATACAATAAATTTATGCAATAGTATTAATACAAAATTATATGTTCTTCTAGTCTGCATAACCACAGTCTTTTTGTTATACACAGCACAGTACAGAACACATTGTCCCTATTCACTGTCATTACTGTCACTGTCTGAATACGCCCCCAGCAGGCTCAGCGAGGATGACCCATTTTGTATAGATGTGGGCTTCGGTACAGTGGAAGAATCAGATTTCAAATCTGCAGAACAAATAACATGAACATAAAGATTGAGATATGAAAGTGAAAAGATTATTTATTCAGGTCTTTAAAATATTGAAATTATATGAAAGATTTTCATGCCATGTCAAAATTCTCATGTTTTCACTGTAATTACTGTAATTATTGGACCCATTGATGTAATATAAAATTATGCAGGTACATAATTTGTTTTATCCCCCTAAAATGTGATAGTTTTGAGTATTTTTTCTAATTTATTTGTCTATTATTCTATTATTAAATGAGTAATGTTAATTTTATATAGTGAATGCAACCTACATATATGAAACAAAATAAAATGCGTAAGATGAGAGTATTACCAGTTTGTGAGGTGGGAGCACTTGCTGTTGATTCACTGGGTTTGTTCACAGCTGGTGCAAGTTTCTTTCGTACGACCAGAGATCCCAAATTGCTTTTACCACTCAGCGTCCCCACACTCCTCTCCCAACTCTCCACTTTCTTCACCCCTCCAGAGGAGCCTCCCTGTCAAATATTTTGATTAAAAAATGTATATTATTGCCTAAAGAAGAAAAGTTTGTTATTTAAGACTGCCAAATGTGTATAGTATTACAATATATTTATGAAACTAACCCAAAAGTATTCTTTCAGCTGTCCTGGAAGCTATTAACAAAATGGACTTGTTGCTTGTTCTGTATTTGTAGATTCAATTTCATCCCCAAAACAGTAGCAATTATCATACATACAAAATGTATGTACATAAACATACATAAATAAATGAGGTCTAAAAATCCTTATAGACAACAGCAGCTCCAGAAATGCATGGGACTTACTTCTTCATTGACAATTTTAGTTATTATTATGTTACCTGTGCATCAGTGGACTTGTCAGTGGTCAGGATGTCTGTAGCTTTGATATCAGTGTTGTTGGTCCTTATGCTTTTTCTCTGCTTCTCATCGTCTGAATCAGAGTCAGAGTCTCTCAGTCTTTTCACAAGAACACGATCCAACATCTCCCTAAGCATAAAAAGGCTCATTTCATTCACATTTCCACATTAACCCATGTAACTAGGGAACTATCCAAATAAAAATGTATAAGGTAATGTTGACATCACAAATTACAACACCAAAGCCACCTACTTAGTCTCCCGCTCGTCCTCTTCTTGCTCTCTCTCCCGCTCTCTCCTCTCCAGTTCTCTGTACTGGTCGATCATTCCTTCAAAGTCCACTAAAGCCTGTCTCTGGTTCAATTCCTTTAGCTCCTGAAGGTTCTCCAAGACCTCCATCTCCATTTTAGAGTCCTTAGTGCGGTTCTCCAACACCTGTTAAACATCAAATGCAATATTATGAAATGCGGGACTCTCACAGTAAGAAATAGTTTGAACAGTTAAAAGTAACAGAATAAATCACTTGATTAACTTAGTTATTCTATATACTGTTCCAAGAAAAATGTTCCTTATAAATATGTATATGTTAAGCAGCTCTTATTGTAGTCTTTGATGAGTTTAAAATGTGTTCTCGAAACAGAATCTTGGTAACCACAGTGTCAGTCTGAAGATTTGCATTGTTTATTTCAACCATTTTGAAAAACTGACCTTCATTGGGTTATTGAGTTCTTCATCTTCTCTTTCCTGTTGGATCCTCTTTTCTTCCTCCTCAATAAGTTTCTCTGCCTGGAAATTTCTTGTGGCTCCATGCTCCATCGCATAGTCTGTGTTTTCTGGGTCAGTCTGTCAGTCAGCCATTTTTAAATATATCATGATAAATATGATGAGTTACCACAGACGATGTTTAAAAAACAGTAATTAGTTATTTTCATATATTAGTATATAGTAGATTTTCAGTCACTCTTACCTTAAATGTGATCTCAGCGAGGCAGCGGGTGCACTTTATATAAAAGCGGAAAATAGGTAATCCCATATACAGCTCATTTTGAACTGTCTCTTTTCGAGCATTGAACTTCTTTCCCTTATAAATGTATTCACCACATGTTTTACACCTGTAGATAAGAAAAGCCTTGCATTACTCTGCTATATATGGAGAGAATGACAACACATCACACCTTTCAACTGTATATAGTGGGTATTACCTCATATTGAACGGGGCCATCAATCGGACCACATATTGTCGATCTTTAGGGAGTTTGAGTTTTGGGATTTTCGCTGGATCAAAATCTGGAGGATAGTATTTCTGAGGAGAAAAACAGCGAAGTTGATACAATATAATATGAGCCTAATCTACATTTAACCATTCAAACAGTAATTATAAAGAGAAAGTGAGCAATGGGGAAGGTAAATATTCAGTTTTCTGATTCTGAGTTATTTTGCTTTTGCCGAAACATGTGTAAAGTTGTGTTGTTGAGTATAACAAAACAAAAATAAATATACGCAGGAGCAGAAGCTGTGTACTTACGTTCAAAACTTTTCTTTCAGACATGGTTGTGTTTTTTTAGAGAATCCAAACTATGGAGACAGAAAAGTAATAATTTAAGTTGCTAAATGCTAACTGTGCTAATACCCGATTGGCTTAGATGTAAACTTCCGGGTAATTTCTTCTTCGGTTCTTTGGGGCAGTAGCGCTGGTGATCGAATTAACGCTGCCTCTAGCGGACAAAGGAAGCTCTGCAAAATTACCGAGAAAACCATGGGTCTATGAGATGCACAGGCCAATGAAAATTACATGATTTATTTCAGTGATAATATATTTTGTGTAATAAATTCAGGCCATTTTAAAACGCCCTATTGTTGGTATTACCTAATTATAAGTTTTGTCTTGCCTGTTTAAAATATTTAAAAACAACCTATTTTATAAATAAAAAAGTAGATTGTGCAGGTAAATGTGATATACTACAGGTTACATTATTACATTAAGCATGAATTCATCAAACTAAATAGGAATTACATTACAAATGAACTATAGTCTCTTATAATAATAGGCTTTTGTTGTGTTTTTATGGTGCTTTAAGAGAATGTACAGAGCATGTTCACATTTAATCTGGTTTGGTCCTGGTTTGAGCCTAGTAAAGTCCTGATATAGACTTTGTCTGGTTTTGTCCTGGTTTAATCCTGTCTAGTTTCATATTTTTATTCCAAGTTTATCCCCAATTGTGGTATTATCACTAAATTGAATCGAAACAATTGGACTTACCAAACCTTTGTAGCCATGGTTTTGCTGCTAAACAAGTATCTTCCGGGTATTGTGTGTGTTTTGATTCAATTTTGTGATAATATCTTATTCGTGGATGTCTCAAGAACTGCTTCAATTAATCCCAGTTGTGGTGTGCGTGTGCAAGTGTGAATGCACCTGAATATTACGATGGATGAGTTGCACTCTCACTGCTGATTGCATCCTTGAATAAAACTGTAGCATTGTCTGAGTCTTGGGGGACTTGTCCCTGTAGGCTAATGTCAGAGGTGAGATTAGCGGATATGTCACAAGTCACAACCACACTGTCACAACACAACCACAAGTGACAGTGTGGACACACAGAGGGACATCTGATCCGGGAGGCTGAGGTCACATTCTCAAGAGGAAATTGGATCCTGATTACAGATTAGTGTCAAAGAGGGTCAGTGTGTCAGCAGATTCGAGTCAAATTGAATGAAAACAGAAAGTAATGGGCATAAAATTTACAAATTGAGTAACAGAGCTAAAATGCTGTGTAACAAGAGATATTTGATGAATTCACATGTATATTCTGAAATAAATGCAATTATAAACTTAATTGCAATAATTGACTTGCTATTAATTGACTTGCTATTCATAGTTTTAAAATCAGTTTTCTATTCATTTATAAATGGTAGACCTACAGGAAGTTTAACATTTGAGAAAAGACTAATACATGAACTGCCACACTCAAAAAACTCTAAACTGAGTCTCAGCTGTAGATTAGCTAAAATATCTGGAGCTCTTCAAAAGCTTCAAAATACATTAAAGAAAACTGCCATGGATCTTACTGAAAAAGTGAATGCTTTAACTGTCCAGACAATACGAATATTAGATTTAAAAGTTTAATAAAACAGATATAGCCTATTCTATATGCTTTGTGTGCAAAAATAGGCCATTTCTATTCAGTGACCAGGACAGGTTACTCAAATAGACTTTATTAAAAACGTAAGTCAGATGTAAACACACCTTTGACACCACGCTCTTCCTGTGGTCACCCCGAGATTAAAAGGTGTGGAGCCATGTCACAGATTTATTAATATTTAAAGACCTGGCCGATGACAACAGGCTTGTAAAGGGGATATAAAGAGGGGTTCCTTAGGACCATAGCTTTAGAACTGTCCCTTGACTTCATCCAAATCCTGACTGTCCATTTCAGCACCATGGTCAGCGCCACGACTCTCCTCCTCGCGGCCACCTGCTGCTGCTCGTACCTGTGGCTCGTGCGCACAGAGGACTCGTCTCTAGAAACGCGCTCCTTGGACTACACGATAAAAGCTCAACAAGAGAAAGACTTGGTAGGATATTATTAAACAGTCACTGAATTTAGAAATAGAGTTGCATTTTATTTTGAGTCTGTTTAGACCAAAGTTATTCTCGATATATATTCTCTTAAATATAGTGTAATGTTGGAGGTAGTGTTAGCATGGCCAATCCTCACCCACTAACCCATGGTTGGTGGTTTAACTCCTGTATTTTCTCTTCTTATTGTGCCTATGTGCTAAATACTTAATCACAGTGCTTTGTGGGACTGTAGCTGGTAAGCCGTGACAGTTAACTCACCACAAGTGTATCTGGGAAGTCAATGCATAATTCAAGCCTACAACTGTTCAGCTTGTTTAACTTGTGAGGCACAATGTATATTTCAGCCATTGTTTATTACAGATCGATGCTTTACAAGAAGTTTTGGAGAAGCTGCGGAGCAAAGAAATGCCATCGGAGAAAAAACTTGGTTGGCTGCCATCAGTGAGTAAAACACTTGAAGACATGACGCTCGTTATTTGGTATGAAGTATTTAAGATTAATTGTAGTTTTATATGTGGTACTTTTTACATATTTTCCAGTGTGACGCTGGGGAGCCATGCGCTGTGCGTAAAGGCGCACGGATTGGCACACTGTGCAGCTGCCCGCGGGGTACTGCGTGTAACTTCTATGTTCTCAAATGTTTGTGATGAAAAGGATAAGTCATATTCACATTTATTTGTTAAGAAAAAGATGAGGTTACTTCATTTTTGTGAGACATTTAAGAGGGCTCCTGTTGTCATTTTATTTTTTTATTTGTGATAAAGAATGTGGAACAGACTAGCCATTTGTCATAAACTGTGATAACATAGAAAATAAGTGTTAAATGTTGTAGATATATGCATGCTATTTAGATGTAGACTGAAAAAGATACATACAAGATGTTTGGTTTGCATTATGCAGTACAATGTTTGTACAATAGGCCTATATATATATTTGTATGACAAAAATAAACTTTAAAGAGTATGTATGCTTTCTATATTGTGTGTTGTATTTATACCAAAGGACATAATGTTGACAATGAATTAAACATGCGCAAAATTGAACAGAGCATCCTCGCCTCGCGCTTTCACCTCGTGCCATCAATAATTCACGGAGCCCTCGCGCAGTTAGCGCTGCTCGGGTGCGTTCCGCCACACGGCAGCTGGCGGTACCGGACCTCCTCCTCGCATCATAAAACAAGGCGCTGTCAGATTTGCACTCTCTGCTTTTTCTCCTATGACATCACATCCAAGCGCAGCGTTTCAACATGGCGTCGGCCCGGCTGCTGCTGCTACAGGAGGAGAGGGAGGTCCGGGAGGAGGAAATCGCTAAGGTCGACTTTTGCCTCCACAAACACTCGCTGCTCATCGTGGTGGGGCGCAGCGGCGAGCAGGGACACGCGGCGGGACACATCGGCAGAGACATTGAACGAGGTAAGACGAGAAGCCTGCATGCATTTCACTTTATTACTATTCATTTACCCATAATAATAAAATGTGTTATAGTGGGAATTGTCCATAATGCTACACTGACCTCACTGCAGCTTTTATGTAATTATATGCATACACGCGGCTGATCCTGACCGGAGGATGCGTCATCTGGTCATTTTTTTTTTTTCCCACCACCATGCATTCCCCTTGGGTTCGTGCAATTAACAACAGCGACTGGTTTGTCTCTGTAAGATCATTCATGAACATTTGGTCAACCACCAGCTGCCAACAAACAAGACGTAGAAATCTATATTATTATACGAGGGTTTACGTGCAACAGAGACGCACAAAGCCGAACAGATGGCAAGGTACGGTACATCATGTCACGTTGGAGTGATTTATCTCACGGTGGGAACACACAAACCAAGAGAAGATTATTGGAATATGTTTATAATGTTATCATATGTAACTATGATTTGGGATAGTATTTATAATCTTAAATGAAGGAGCTGGTCTAAATGCTTTCTAATGGTTTATTGATTAGTAGTTAAGGCTGCATCAGACATATTCAATAATTAATCTCATCTGAAGAGGAAGGCTAAGTCTACTTTATTGGAACATTTACAACAGCCACATAATTGTCAGTATCGTAAAACATAAGTGTCTTAATTACAATATGCAAACTGATATGTGTTTTTGCCGCATGTGAACAAAATGGACAGAGAGAGACTTTGGAATACCTTTCATCCATGACCTCATCCCCACCCATGGAATCCCATAGAGACTTTATGGGTGAAGTCATTTGCAACCCTCACAAAACCTAAAGTGATGAAGAGGGGCGATGTCTGCTGAGTTTGTAGCTTTGGTTTAAAATTTAGCTCCTTAAAGATAAAAAAAACATACAGATTGGGCACAATATAGAAGCCCAAAATCAGAGTTATTGTTTATTAATCTCAGAGGTTAATAATCGTATATGGTTTAAAGATGCAATCAAAATTTTCTGGTGGAGTGTGCACTACCTGCTTGTCTAGATGTTACTGCGTTACTTGGACTGTATCACAGTACAGCATTAACTATATCTAACTTGTACTTATGCAGGTGTTTTTATTGCTCAAAAATACTCAGAAAAACAAGCATTCTTACAGTGAGTGAGTTGCACTTCCACAGATCTAACCTGTAACTTCACCTGCATGTGGTCATGAAAATAGATAAGAGTAACGCCATTTTGAGGTACATTCCAGTCAGAGAATGAGCATCCACATGGAGACGAGCAGGTGGCGGACCCTTCAATAGAAAACTTGCACATATACATTTAGCTAAACCTCCAAAGAAATTAAAGATTAAAGCAAAAATATACAGTAAACTAGATGATATTCCAAATAATCTCACAGCAAGCATGCACAGCGTAAAAAATGAGGAAACCACAAGTAGTCATATGAGTGGCTGTATGCAGATTGTAAACAACATATTATTTGCAATTTAAATGGGCACTCTCACAAAAACTACACACAGAACAAAAGCGTGCATAGGATGAGCATTGATCTTAATATAGCATAGCAAAACAAATCTGACAAATGCCTGAACAAATAAAGTAAAAACTATGGTAACAGATGTAACCAGTTGCATAAACCGCTGCCTGTGGATTGCCCTCACTTTCAAGACTAAAAATATATCGCCTAGAGACTCCAGGTATCTTATATGTCCTTGTGAAATGCGTCCTTGTATCTCTCATATAATTTACAAAAATGGGTCCCTTCATAAGGCGGCTTGAGTTAGTTGGTGTATGTTTTCTGTGATCTCACATTATACTGAATCCATATAAATACCTGGATAACCCCATGTTCACACAGTATATTAGAATATACAGAATTCCTCTCTTTCCTTCTCCTACAAGTACTAGTATGTTCAAAAACCTGACTAGTATTTGAAGTATAAACATTTCTAAAGTTTTTGATAGTTTACCTCAGCAAATCCGCAACTGCACCGAACTCCCCACCTTCAAGAAACATCTCATGACCCATCTCAACTGGAATAGCTTTAATGTTTAACTTTTCTTAAAATGGTTCACTGTTTTTATCTTTCTTGCATTATTTGATTATTGCTCTTTTGACTGTTTTAATGTTTGTTCTGTAAATTGTCATCGAGTATCCTGAAAAGCACTATATAAATAAAATGTATAATAATAATTTTTATTTTTACTAATTTTTTTGTTATTTAGTAATTACTTCAGATTTTACTACTATTCTGTTTGTCTGCATTTTCAGGGCTATTTATTTGATTTGTAAAGTTGTATTTAAAGTGTATTCTGGTCTGTTTTTGCAGGTCTTCGCTCCTGGGACATAGACTTAAAAAGCTGTAATCTAAACTTGTACCTGCAGGAGTTCTTGTCCCACCACACGGCCTCGTTCAAGGGCGCTGGTAAGTTCAAAATTAAACAAATTTCTCTCTGAAACTAAAATTTACTGCCTATTATTTACTGCTCTTGAACTTTCACATAAAAATGACCATGGAAACGCACCAGGAAGTGACAGAGGAAGGAAAGTGAAGGCAGGATATTGTTAAGTATGGGCGTACTCTCAGGACCAGCAACAATAGGGGTTGAACTATGCCACCTCTGGAAGTGCGAAAGTTGCGTTTTTGCTTCATCACAGTGCAGTCATTAGCAGAGAGACCTATTAAAACATTAAATTGTCAGTTAAGAATAAAAATAATGGGTATGAGACCATTACTCTAATAACTTAAAACAAAACATTCTGCTGATGTCCAACTTTCCAGCTTTGTGCGGTTCCCCTTTCCTTCCTATAATAGTGTCCGATTCAATAATAATAATAATGTCTAGCACTTGTAATGTGCTTTATGAACCCTCTCAAAGTGCTAGACTCTACTCATTATTCATTCACTTCATACTTAGTGGTGATAAGATACTAATGCAGATACAGCTGTCCTGGGGTAGACTGACGGAAGTGAAGCTGCAAATCTTAGCCATCTGCTTCTCCGAAAAGCATCACTCACACACCACATTCACACTGGACGGTGTGGGTGAAGTGTCTTGCTAAGGACACAATAACAGAACTTGGACTAAGTGACAATTAGAGGTGCACCGATACAATGCTGGTAACAGTTATTGGCGCTGATATTGAAAATGATAGTGGATCGGATATCTGGCTTTGAAGATATTGATTCCTTGAAAATCCCATTTTGGTCTATAAATTGGTGTAATAAGGCAATTTGATCGCTAACATTTCATAATATTAAACTTAATTCTTTTGACAAAGCTGTTTAATAGTTAGAAAACACATTTGGATATTTTTTTTTTAACCTCAGGCTGTTTGTGTTTAAAGAAAATAAAGGCAAATTTCAGTCTCTGCACTAGTATTGTTTGGTATCGAGTATCATCAGATTCAGCAGCAAAGTATCAAAATCAGTACTGGAACAGAAACAGTCAAATTGGTGTGTCTCTACTCTAGTCAGAATCAAGCGTCTGACCTTTTGGTTTGGTGGATGAGTGCTCTAACCACTGGGCCGCTGTTTTCCGTTTGGCACTGTCCTGAAATGTCAAACTTTTGTGCACAGAATATCAGAGTTTGTGTAAGCTCCTTTTGTGAGATATTGATGACTGATTGGGTATTGGCTGGTCCCTCTAAAAGTGAGTAAACATGCAAAGACATAAAAGCTACTTAAAGAGCCAATATTAAGCTTTTTTCTGATCTATGTTATAATGTTTCCTCATCAAAACAAACCTGGAGTTGTGTTTTGTTTCATTCACACATATTTAACACACAAACCCTGCATATTTAGGCTTAGTTCTTCTCTCAAATGAAGTTGTGAGTTCATGTGGTAAAACAGGAGGTGATCCACTGTGTTTTTAAACTTCATACACTTTCACTAGAATCATTTGGAAAATTTAAGTCCTTGAATTGCCATTCACGACTGAACAAAAGGTACAAGGTAGCTGTTAATTTAACTACCGCTTCATGACATTGCAAGGTGGAGCAGAACATTTTGAGCTTTGGAGATAGTAAAATTATTACTCAAACATGTGTGAATGAAACAAAACACAACTCCAGGTACGGTTTTAATGAGATAACAACATTCTAACATGGCTTTAATATCATCCGAGAATCCATTTTGTGTGGGACCTTTAAAAATATGTTGACTAATCTTACAATAGATGTTCACTGTGATCAGACCTGGTTGAGTCATCATCTGATGTAAAAGGGAAGCGGTGAGACTTTGTAAATCATCATTCACAATCAATAAAGAAGAACCCTACACTGCAAAACATACTACCTAGGAACAATAAAATTTCTTGAAATAAAAACACAGTACCAATGAGACAAGACTTTTTGTACTGTTAAAAAAATATTATTTTAGTTTGAGCAAGGTACAAAAATAGTAAAATATTAAAAAGCATTGCCTCACTTAAAATAAGAAAAACAACACTTAAAATAACAATATATGTCATGTTGCTTGATGTAAATATATTGTTTCACTGGTAGATAATTTAAATTGTAAGTCAAATCTACTGAAATCAAGATATTATGTAACTTACCTAGATAGGACTTTTTGCAGAGTGGAAATGACAACATTGTGCAGTTTTTCATAGCATGCTGTAAACCCTTTTTCCTTCACAAATATCCAAGTTATTTTAATTTTCACTCTGTTATCAATCATACTACCTGCCTGGCCTATTTTAACGACAACTAATCTCCGCTTCTCCCTCTCTCCCTCTTTCTCTTTGGTTCTCTGCAAATTTTACCAGAATGCAGCACTGAAAATGACCCAAAAAGCAAGTTGATTTATTACCTTGAGTCACTCCCATTTATCCCATCTAAATTACTTTGGAGTATTACACTAGCATATTATAATTACTTTTTGGTGCAGAGCTATGCAAATTGTGTTAGCAACGGCACCGTGTTTTTGACAAGTGAGTCCAGCCAGTGCCAGCAGCTCTACACCTCCACAACAGCTTCCCATCAGGCCACACAAACTCCCACTTCAAGGATTTTGAACATTGTAATGACAGCGGAATAAAATTATCTTTCATCATGGTTTTGTTAATATTGTAGTTCAAGTTCTGGACATTTCTACAACAATATAACTCATAAGGAAAACAACTATCTATGTTTTCATGTTGTTTCCTTATCAAAACATACCTGGAGTTGTGTTTTGTTTCATTCACACATGTTTAACACACAAACCCTGCATATTTAGGCTGAGTTCTTCTCTCAGACAGAAAACACCCTGTTCCACCTTGTGATCATGTGTCATGTAATACAAGAGCTGCTCCATACACCTTCACTAGAATGATTTGGATAATTCCAGGCCTCGACTTGCTCATCTCTACTGAACATAAGGTAAAAGGTAGCCTTAAAAAACTACCACTTCATGATATCACAAAGTGGAACAGAGCATTTTCAGCTTTGGAGATGTAAGGCAAGCCAAGGCAAGTTTATTTGTATAGCACAACTCAAACACAAAGTAATTCAAAGTGCTTTACAGAATAAGAAATACTTTAAAATCACAATAAAAACAAGTCAAAACATAAATAATCATCATAAAATTAAAAAGAGAGAGACATTAAATTAGAGAGAAGAGTCTGGAATGAAAACCTTTCAGTCGCATGCACAGCTAAACAGAACCGTTTTGAGTCTGAATTTAAACAGTGTCAAAGTAAAGGTCTGTCTCATCTTCAGGAAGACTGTTTCAGGTTTCAATTGCATGAATCTGAAATGCTGAGTCCCTGTGTTTAGTCCTGACTCTGGGCACCAGCAGGAGGCCGGTCCCTGAGGTCCCCAGAGTGCGAGATGGTTCATATGGTACTAACATGTCACAGATTTACTTTGATGATAGGCCATGCAGACAGACTAATATACCAGGATTACTCAAACATGTGTGAATGAAACAAAACACAACTCCAGGTATGTTTTTGATGAGGTAACAACATTATTACATGGCTTAAAGCTCACAAAAGTCAATTAAAAAGTCAGTAAAAATCACATATTTTGAACAGAATTTTATATTTATTTGTGATATGTTTATGTAAAGATAAAGCCTTTTTTTTTTTAACTGTAATTGTCTCCTTAGTTTTATTTTTACTCATTAGTCTGTTCAAAAAGACAAATCTGGCAATGAGACTGGGGCAGCACCAACAAAACATCTGCTGATGTTTTCTTTTTTTCCCCAAAATTGGTCAATAGCGATATCAGTAACAACCCTCTGGTATAGTCCTATAACGATAGTGGAACCTATATATTGCTATTCTTGCTGTTTTGGACCACAGGAAAATGGAACAAGTATTTGTGGTTGAATTTACGCACTACACTATCGTAAATCAATCAGAATTTATTTATAGAGCCCTTTACAACACTCAAGATGACCAGAGTGCTTTACATTCAAATCAACACACTATAAAAACATGCAAAACTAATTAAATCACAAATAAGATAAATGAACTGCTTTAGAAACAGCAGGTTAAATTTGCCATCGCCATAGTATTAGCGCATATCTGACTTCAATCATTCCAGTATCTTTGTGAATGTAGCTTTTGTTGCAGCTAACACAGTGGAGCCATTATGAACGTGCAGTGAGTATTTTCCATGGGCTCAGACAGTTATCCACTCCCTCCTCTCGATCTGAGCGGGACATTGACTGAACCTGGCATCTCGTCCCCAGTGACTCTGACTCAGCTCCTTCTCTCGCTCTCTTTTCCATTCGCAAGACGAGGAGTCGGGACCAGGGCAGTGCAATTAAAATAAGCCAAGTTACACTGACGTTGTGAAGCTTCATAATTAACAGAATCCAATGAAAATTAAAAAGCAAAAATGAAACCTTCAGACATAATTTTTAGAAGAAATTGTTTATTTCTGTCTATGTTAAAGGTACATTGGTCTCCATGGAGATGTTGTTGCTTTGTCTGAAATGTCCTGGTGTGGCATTAAAACGCAGCCGTCTTGCATTTATTCAATAACATGGGTTTTTATTGACTTAAAAACTTCTTGCTGTAAATGGGCTTACCTCTCCACAGATCTGGCATGCAACTTGACCCTGTGGTGTCACCTGCTGTCTCCACAGAGATACATAAGTGCAATGCCATACTGTGGAACATCTCAGGCAGTATCACTTGGTAGAAACTGTCTGACCTCCCAGCGATTCGTTTGCTTGATGGTAGATAGGTACTTTTTAAAATTTAATTAATCGCTACTATTTGGTCGTGACGTATGTAGTGGCTGCTAAAGGGGCTAACTGGTATATTACCATATTTTCCGCACTATAGGACTCTCTAGATTATAAGGCGCACTGTCATTGAATGGTCTATTTTCGAACTTTTTTCACAAATAAACTGCACCGGACTTTAAATGAAACACAGCAGTTAGATGGATCAGTGGGAATTTGTTTGGTGCGTTCACCGTGATTCTTGGCTTTGTTCAATTGTGGCGCGTAGGGAGGGTGCTGTCTGGGACCGGTGGATTGTTGGCGTGTTCGCAGTGCCTCAATTGTTCAGTTGTGGCTAGAAGTGGCACATTGCACTCGCTTTTTCGGTTTGTTCCTCTGTTTCATTCCTTGTCTGCGTGGAGTGATGAGTGTGGCTGCGTGGGTGTTTGTCGCTGCAAGGTCGCTGTCTGCTCTGTGCGTGTTTGCGTACAGTGTGGGTGGTGCAGCTTTGTAGTTTACTGAAGTCATGCTGGGACACCCAAGTGGATTCGTGTATAGGGCGCTCTGGATTGTGGGGCACAGAGTCGTTTTTTGATAGGGTTGGAGGCTTAAGAGCGCGCCCTATGGTGTGGAAAATATGGTAAGCTTTTCCCAAATCCCATAGAAAGAAGGGCAATAACGTCTTTCTCCTTGATAAAGTTCACTAAAACATTCTCTGTATTTCAACTTTAAATCCTCGATCTCAGGAATCGTTGCCAACACAGAATAACATCTTAGAGTTTGGACAAAGCGATTGGCTGCCTGACCTTACACTTCCAGGGTCTTTGCGAACTACCTAGTGTATTCTGATTCCTGACCTAGTTGCTGGAGATAAATTAAATTGAGCGGAGGTACTAGGTAGTGTCAGCCTGGCTAGGTGACCCTGTACCAGAAAAGTTACGCAGTGCACCTTTAAACTGTTATATTTCAGAAAATAGCTAGTTTTTCAGTATTTGTTATTTGTTGTGGACAGCAAATTAGAGTTGGTACAGTATGTTTATGATTATTTTTATTATTTTCTATATTTTATACAGGTAAAGAAGACATTTATGAAGCAAGATATAGATATAAACAACTCTTTTAAATATCTATGTTTTATATTTTATATTGAAATCCTTAAAGTAGCCACCCTTCCCTTTGCTTTGTTGAAAAATATTAAGTAGTATTATTTAACTTTTTTCTTTACTACATAATTCCATATAACTTGATATATATTGCTTCATATATTTGATGTCGTCAGTATGTATTTGAAATGTAGAAACTTGTACAAGTAAAAAAAAAAAAAAAAGACACTGCATAAGATGATGTGTCTAAACTTTTGACTGGTATTGGAAAACTGCACTTTTACCTATAAAAGAGGCTGTGTACAATTGTATGTCAAACTTCTTTTGTACCATCACCCTCCTGTCTCTTTTTTCTGTTCAGACCTGTCGCTTTGTCCAAACTCTAAGATGTTATTTTCACTTTCTGTTTGATTTTTCACACTGCAGCTGCCTGTGCCCTACTTTAACAGACTTTCTCTCATGTTTCCCTTCACTTCTCCCTCTTTACCCCTCGGCTTTCTCTTCCTCCCCTCTCTCTCACTCTCTCTTCCTCTCCTCTCTTTCAATCTTCTCATTCTCTCTTCATTTCTCTCTCCCCTCTTTTTCTCCCCTTCTCCTCACTCTCAAACTTCTCACTCTCTCATCCTCTCAACCTCGCCCCCCCTCTCTGAATCTCTCTCCTTCTCTCTTCCTCTCCTCTGTATCTCTCTCCTTTCTCTCAATCTTCTCAATCTCTTCCTGTCCTTCTGAATCTCTCTTTTTCTCTCTCTCTTTCTCTCGTTCTCTCTTTCTCTTCCTCCAGGTCATAAGTGTCTGCGCCACAGCACTAAAACTTTGGACATCCAGGTGCTCATCAGTCCCACACAGGAGCAGGTCCACACAGAGGTGAGACAACATTTGAAGCTAAATTAGATTAATGTTATGAAAAAAAAAGCAATTCAGCAACCTTCAGATTTCAGAAAAAGTAAATTTAAAGGACCATTATGGGCTATGTAAGTTTTTAGGAGTGTTCGAAACCTCAGACACTTTTCTCCAAGGAGATGCTGTGTTACATGTAATGTTGCACAAAATAAAACACAATCCCCACAACATCTCCACAACATATAGGTAGGTGGCTGTACCAACAAAAATGCCTGAAATCTAGTGTAATATGGGACCTTTAATCTGTAGGCCAACATGTGAGAAAACTAAGACTAAACTGGGAGTGTTGTAAACATTAGTGAATGATAACTTCATTCTTACATTTGTTCTTCAGGTGTCCTCGCTGTTGTCCCGAGACTCGGCTCATAAACTCCTGATTTTGGCCGGTCAGAGTTTGGAGGAAACTGGAGATCTTCTGTTTCACCAGGGGCTGTTCTCTGCTCACCAGCTCAAACACATCCTACAGCGACAGGTACTTGGAGGTTTATCTGTACAAATCAGAACGTGAAAGGGTTTAAAGATGCACCATGTAACTTTTCTGGTAGGGAATATGCCATCTGTGTATTTGTATATGTAGGTGTCATTGATTAATGTTCTGCCTCATCTCCATTATCATCATCTTTATCTTCTTAGCTCAAACTTTTTTGTTCCACCTTGTGATGCCATAAAGATGTGATGTTTTCAAGTTAACAGCTGCTTTTTACATTTAGTTCACTAGAGATTGACAATTCCAGGGCTGAAATTATTATTATTAATGATTCTAGGAGTGGAGCACTTCCTGTACTATCTGGTGGCAACATAAGATCTTTAAATATGCAGTGTTTGTGTGTTAAACATGTGTGAATGAAACAAAACACAACTCCAGGTATGTTTGCGATGGAGAAACAGCATTATAACATAGATCAGAAAATAAAGTAGTATGGGCTCTTCTCCTTACAACATAAGACCATTACCAGACTCCTTTTAACTCTTGAATTAGCTTCATTCATTCTTCATTATTCCCCGCACATGACTCAGGACTCAAGAGAAAGTGCTGAAAATGAATGTTTGTATAGGTGGTATTTTAAAAAGTCAGTGTGAAGCATTATAGATAAACAAACAGTATTAGTAGTGATCGCTCCACAGCACAGACACAAACAGGCTGAAATGTCTGTCTGACTCTTGGTATTTCCCATCCACTAAACAGACAATGAAATCAAAGGGGATTTCACTGTCAGTTTTACTACTTCCTTTTCCTGAACCACTGCGCAGCAAAGCAAAAGAAAAAGTGGATTTCTGTGTTTGGATGAATAACTTTTAAAGGGTCCATTACTATATTACGATGTTTTCTCATGTATGTTATAATGTTGTTTCCTCTTGTTGTTTCATTCACACATGTTTAACACTCAAACCCTGCATATTGAGTTTGTGTTTTTCCTGCAAACAGAAAACACTCTATTCTATACACCTTCACTAGAATCATTTGGATGATTTCAGCCCTGGAATTTCCAATCTCTACTGAAGAATGGGTAAAGGTAACTTGAAAACTATTGTTTCATGACATCACAAGGTGGAACAGAGCATTTTGAGCTTTGGAGTTGTAGACATACTAATAACAAGTGGAATCAACCTGGTCCCCATGAGGCATCGGTGGGGGCAGTTCATCACCACGGAAGCAGTTTATGAGGAGCCCAGCCCATATTACATGATCGTTATATCCACAATGCAGTGTGTGTATGTGTACAGTGCCCATGAACATTTGTGTGATATTGGTCACACACGAGAATGTCTGTGTTTACTAGCGTGTAACGAAAATGTAATTTTTCAAGAGTTTCATATATGTTAGTTCTGTGACTGTGGATCAGTGTGTTCTGTATCACCAGAAAAAGAAGAAATAGAAATAATTTACTGAAAGAGAAATACACTGAAAGAGAAAGGAACTGTTATTAGTGATTATCTCGAAAACTATTAATATTTTACTATACAAATTCATCGAATTATAAATAGATGATAATTTTTCTGAGGTTTTGAGAACACTCCCGTTGCTCCAGCTCGATCCTTTGCGGAGTTATGACCAAAAACACATCTTTGACCTTGGTTACCTTGACCTTCAAGTGACCTTGATTGGTTTCAACTTGTAACATCCAGTGTACCCCGGTTATGTGTGTGCCAACTTGTGTGATGATTGGGTGAATATTTTAGCCCGCAGATGGCTCAGAAATAGCCAAAATTCTTATCCTTTATAATGGCGTGACGTTTCAATTGACCCGTGTGACCTCAAATGACCTCGGATCGTCACCAAACCTTTTTTTGTAGCATCAGGCATGGGGGCTCGAACTATGTACCAAATTTTGTGACAATCGGTCCATAAATGGCGGAATTATCGCTGGTGGACAAACACACACAGACACACAGGGTGAATACAAAACCTGGGGACCAGGTAATAAAGGGTTATTCCAAAATGTGTGAATGAAACAAAACACAACTTCAGATATGTTTTTGTTGAAGAAACCTTATTATAATATAGATGAGAAAATAGCGCAATATGAGCTTTTTAACATTACAAAAAAAACACCATATTAGAAACTGATCAAAGTATGTTGTCTAAAAAGTCTAAATATTGTCATTGTTTTCAGTTTGTTGGTCGAGAGGGCTCCTGCTCCAACCTGCACCTGACCCTGAGCTGTCCCAACATCGGCCACTGGAGGCAGACTTTGCTGGAGCTACAGGGCCCCTACTCTCTCCACATCAACCCTCCGGAGGTCCACCCTGCCATGGACGCTATGGTGGACTTCAACTCCCTCATATCCAACACCATCTCCCCTCTGTCCCCCTTCGAACTGCTACCTCCCCCCTCTACCGTGGGCTTTCTCAAACTGTCCCGCCCCTGCTGTTATGTGTTCCCAGCAGGGAGGGGGGACTGTGCCTTCTTCGCTGTAAACGGGTTCACAGTTTTGGTCAACGGAGGGTCAGAATCGCAGGCCTGTTTTTGGAAGTTGGTGAGACACTTGGATCGCGTGGATGCGGTTTTGTTGACGCACATCGGAACAGAGAACCTCCCTGGAGTCAATGCGTTCCTCCAGAGAAAAGTGTGTGAGGTGGAGCTGAGGGCAGATGTGAAAGGTGAGACATGAGTTAGTTAGTTCCAATATATCTTTTGGCTTTTTAGTGTAATGGCCTTACATCTCCAGCAGTGGGTGATATTTTGTGTGCGCCAACCAGTTGCATAAAGCTTTGTTTGAGCCCTCAAAGTCAAAGAGGACAATGCACAAAATCTTACTACACTGCTCTTCTATCCACTTTTTTGTTATACAGGTTTGTGCATATAGTTTTGTAAATGAGAAGTAAATGGGGGGAAAAAATCTAAATTGGCTGTACATATCAAAAATATTGTCCATCGGTTTATGTGGATACTAAACAATCAGTATCAGTACTGGCCATAACAAAAACCTATATCATGTATTTACTCTTATTTGTTTTGATGGATATTTAAACCTAAAGTTTGTTTTATAGAGTCTCAATAAACCAATTTGTTCTTAATATATATTATTATTATTATTATTTATTAAGATCAAAACACAACACAACAAAAAAACAAAACAAAAGAAAAAAACAAAGCAAAAGTATTAAGTAACAATATTTAAAACATAAAACCTTAAAAATAATACAAATTGATAACAATAGATAAGATAAAATAAAATGATATAAATGCTCTAAAATAAACCATAATAAGGAGCCAGTGATATGTGTATATATATATTTCTTGTTTTTTCTTTGAACAGAGGACTCATCCAAGAGACTCATCTCCCCAGAGCTCGGAGTTGTTTTCTTTAACGCCCCGGAAAGGCTGAAGCCAGAATTACACAGTGAGTCATCCTTCAATTGTGGTCTTCAGTGTCATTGTTCTGCATAAAAATCATGTTTATTTAGCAAAGAACAGTCCTTATCTGCTTCTATGAGTCATTACCCATTCAAATTCTATATAAACACTCCCAACTCTGTATAGACCATAGTACCCAAATGTATAGTTATAAATAAACATAACATGTAAAACTGACTTCTTAAAGATTCCGTCATGTATAATGTATATGGTATCTATTTATAATGAGTTGTGCTAAGATTCATTTGTGCATTTTTCAGTAATCCAGCATATATATTTAGTAAGCTCTTGTTTTAGCCTCACACTTCAGTGCATCAGCAGGTGGCATTCATGCACCCTGGGATTTTGTGGATGTTAAAAATAAGGTCTAAATGAACATGCTTTTTATACACATGTGCTTTATTTGATTTTATATTACTGTCCAATAGTAGATGCTCTAACACTGATTAATGATTGTCTGCAGATGCCGGGGTTTACAAAGTGAGGATTCAGATCAGGAAGTCTTTTTAAGTTTATATCTGTAAAAGCAGTGTATAATTTGAACACATTTACCTTACTGTTCTAGAGTAAATCCAAGTAGCCCGAGAGTTTGAAGAAGAAGTATGGCAGAAGTTTGCTGACCATCTGTGTGAGATCCAAAGACTTGAACCTCTCAAGACACTGTGATAGTATTGTCCATTCCAGTCTCAGCCAGTCAGTCTGGCTATGCTTCCATTGTAGGGAGTATTATACTTCTGATAACATAGGCTAAGATAACAAGGACTGAGCTGGCAGTGTAATTTCTCTATCACTTGTATCCAGTGTTGGGAAGTAATACATACCAAAAATATGTATTCTGAACACTAACTCTGTCGCAGTAACTGTATTCCGGTGCAGTTACTTTTTACATTTGATATTGATGATACACTGCAAAAAGCAATATCAAGGTAAGATAAAATGACTTAAACTAAGAACTTTTTACTTTATTTGAGTAGATTCAACTTGAAAAGTAAAATTATCTACCAATAGAACAAGTGTTCTTATTTCAAGCAACAATAGATTTTGTTTCTTATTTGAAGTGTAAAGAGTTGTTGTTTTTCTTATTTTAAGAGTAGCAATATGCATGTTTATATTTTAAGTACAAGAAATCTTGTTCCTTGGTAGATAATTTTGCTTGTTAAGTCGTCATCATCATCTTTATTCCGGACTCATGGTCCATTTTAAAAACAGACAAGGACAGTGACAATATAAAACAATAAACATTTATGTTTTTAAAAGACAACTATACCAGTGTCTCCACAGTGAAATTTACTCAGATTTAATAAAACTTTCTTAATTCAAGCAACCTTAACATGGCTAGATTTTAGTTTTTGCATTGTACAGTTACTTTCTGTCAGAAAATAACAGTGATATTAACACAAAGAAACTCAGAAGGCAGAATTCAGGGTTTTTACTCGCGGCGAGGGACAGAGGCGCTGCTACAGCTCTTAACTGCCAAAGAACCACCGTCCAATGTCACGTATTTATTAAATCTCACAGGTTACATGAATAAATGGGCGGTTACATTTTTCTATCACAGTAAAAAACATAGAGAATGAAGGTGTGTATTCTGTGTGTGTGTGTGTGTGTGTGTGTGTGTGTGTGTGTGTGTGTGTGTGTGTGTGTGTGTGTGTGTGTGTGCGCATGTGCCAGCTGCTGAGGTGTAAGGGAGGGATGTGCTTAGGGAAGACTCTCCTTGGGGAAGATAACAGTTAATAAGAAGTTGGTTTTCCCGTGAGAAATACACTTTGAGAAATACCCTTTGATAAAATAAGACAAAGAATCATCTATACAAAGTTTGAAAAACTCTTTAACACTTTCCTAAATTAAAAGGAATACATGAATACATGGCAGTTCTTTCTTGTCTTTCAGATGTGGACAATGTAATGAAGAGCACACAGCAGGGAGCTTTAACCGTGCAACTACTGAAGAAACTAGACATCAAACCACAGCCAATGGTCCGCCCCAACACTGCCCCAATTGAACCAATGACCCTTTTCCAGAAGATGGGAGTGGGACAATTAGACCTGTACATAATCTCCCCAAGCAAAAATAGCCAAGAATACCAAACATTTATGCAAAACTGGCCTGACTCAGTATCTTCGGCATCCAAATCTTTACCACTCAGCGCATTAGCTTCAGTTTGTGCTTTGCTTGTGTGGCACCCTGCATGCCCTCAAGAGAAAGTAGTTCGCGTTTTGTTTCCTGGTGTCACTCCACAAGCAAAATTAATACAAGGACTTGAAAAACTGAAAGGGTTGGCATTTTTGCAGAAGCCTACAGTAACTACTGGAGATTTTGAGCGACTGGGAGCAGAGAAGAAGAGCAAAAGAGCGGATAGTCAGGATAGTGTGATGTCAGTTAGTAAAGATATAAGAAAAATCGTCAAAACAGTCAAAGAGGATGCAAAAGAGAAAGGAAAAGTTATGAATGGGGTTGATAAGACTAAAAAGGAGCTGAAGAAAGCGCCACTGACAGATAGAAACACTTTGAAGAAGAAAGATGTTAAGGGAAAAGAGGACATTAAAGACGAAAATAGTGTGGGTGTGAAAAAGGATTTGACTGCTCCTAAACCTAAAACAGACAATAAAACAAAACTTAAAAAAGATGCAAAAAATGACTCCAAAACTACTGCAAAGAAGAATAAAAAAACATCTGGCAAAGAGGCAAGTGGTGGCGTAAAAAAGTTAGAAACTGAAGTCTCACATAAAAATTCACCAAAGCAAGAAGCTAAGATTACCGAAGAAAAAAGAGAAAAGGTTGAAGAAACTGAGGAGCAGCCATCTTGTTCCAAAATTTCAACCCCAGAAGACATGACGGAAGAGTTTCGTAAGCTAAGGGAAGAGACTGAGAGAGAGTTAGAAACAGCAAAGTTGTCAGAAAATGGACAAAGCAAAGATACTGAAGATGTTAAAAATACAAAACAAGATATGACAAGTCTAGTGAAAGAGGAGAGTGAAGATAACGTTAAACCCACGAAAGTGGTTGGATTTCCTTGTGAGCTTAAAAATGACCCAAGTATCCCACAAGATTTGACCCCGACGGAGTACACTTTGTTGGATGGGGCTTTACAACATAGCCCTCCAGTCGTCACCCCCAAATCTTCACCCGAAACAAATCAGGCTCCAGTTAGTCCAGAAGAAGCTACAGTAGAGAATGCATCTCCAGAATCTAGGCCCAATAGTGCAGGACATACCCCTTACTGTCTATCCCCTGATGACGTTTGGGGCAATCGTAGTGCGCTCAGTCGAATTCAAATGGGGAGTATTGAGTCTAGTGATGGTAGTGAGGTGACAAGTTCTCCAAAAGAGCAAAGCGAAAAACCGAAAAGTAACAAAGAAAAGCATTTGAGTTTTCTAACTTTAGGGACTTTGAAGGAAGTACCATCTGATCCTTCTCCATCTTTAACTACTACGACAACTACGCACTCAATGCCAGCAGAAGTCAGCTCTCCCCAGTCTACCGAAGTGGACGAATCACTGTCTATGTCTTTTGAGCAAGGTCCAAGCCAGAAAGAGGGAGATGAATCAGTAACGCATCACTCAAACTCAAACGGCAGCCATTATGTTGGTTTGTCCTTACAGATGAAGAAACCTCCACGATCTTTAGGTTCAGAAATGTCCCGCCCACCGAATTCACTCCACTTAGAGACATCGCCCCATGATGTTGACTTGTGTTTAGTTTCACCTTGCGAGTTTAAGCATTTCAAAGCTCCGGACTCCGCCTCCAATAGTGACCAATCCAAGGGTGGTAGCAATCAACATAGCAACAACAATAACCACAAAGATGCCTCCCCAAGTGAATCAAATGCCCCAGTTGGAACAGAGGACTGCCCCTCAACAACAGCAGATGCAGTTTTGGATTCAGATGAAGAAGATTCCTGTAGTGAACCATCAAACTCTCCACGGGATATTCGCCCTGGGCAGTCCCTCCCCCCAGACCCCCTCCCCCGCCCCATTGAGGGATAGTCCACCTTTGCCCCCCCACCCCCGAAACCACCATGCCCATTCCACAGTCTGAGTCAGATGCCCAGGCAAAGAGAGCCAAAGCGGGAAGCATCAAAGGGAAGAAGTCCGCAGTAAGTGTTCAAAATAGAGGTCTGTCTCTGTCTCAGGAAAATATCAGATTCTGGTAATTTTTTCTGGTCTGCAGGTGATTGAGGGCTTGCAGAGGTCCAGTTCAGGGAAAAAACAAAACCAAAGTGGAGCAAAAGGGTCAAAGGAGAATCTCTCTTCTGCTCGAACCTCATCCTCCAGCCCCAAAACCACAGCCAAATCTTCACCCAATCCAGGTCGGAAATCTCATTCCATATTTACGTTTTGTATTACATACACACACAAGCAAAACAGTTAACCTGTCTGAAAAAGTTAATTTTGTACAATAAATAGTGGTAGCTCATTGCATACAAATTCATTATAAAATAATTTATAACAGATTATTGATAAATAGTAGCTTCCACCTACACATAACAGCATGTAAATAGACAGAATTGGTCAACATATATGTTGTATATTAACAGTAAGCTAAAAGATTATTATTAATAGTGAAATACGCTGTAGGAAAAAAAACATTATAGGTTTATATTACCATGTCTTCCCTTCCCTTGTCTTTGTTGTTGCAGTTCCAAAGCCTGCCTCCGGGGGTGATGTGAGCGTGTATGTGGACCTGGCTTATATCCCGTCTGGACCGTCCACCTCTACGGTCTCTGTGGACTTCTTCAGGTGTGTGCGCTCCTCCTGTTACATCATCAGCGGAGATGCACACGAGAGGGAGGAGCTAATGAGGCAAACGCTTGACGCTTTACTGGACGGAAAAAGCTCCTGGTCTGACGCTATGCAGGTAATGATATAATATGTTGTAAATTAAACTAACTAAAGTAAGTATAGTAATGTTTATGTTGGCTGGACTGAAAAGGAGTGAAGGATCACGGTCTATATAGTCTCTTACTTTTCACTGCAGTGACAAAGCAATGTACTTCAGGTCCAACGGCGAACTATTTTTACGGTTACCAAATTTTTTTAACTCATGATAATATTTTGTCACTACTGGAACATCATTTTATAGCTAGAAAACAAATTTACCAATACATGTATACATATAACACTATATATTTCAACCTTACTGGGCATATTAAATTATAAACACCCTATATCATAATCTGAATCTGAAATCTTAGAAACAAGGTTTACATGGAATAATTTCTGAAAAAAAACAACAACAACAAAAAACTACTTGATTCAATGACTGCCGGTCACTTATTATTATTAGCAATGTCTTCCATTGGACAATTAAAGTAAATTTAAGATTTCTTGTCTATCCTTTTTGTTTTGCTCATGACAGTCAAAATTAACATTAATAATATCACAGCATTTTGACATGATCACCCTCCTCACTCTTTAACTGCTGCACTGAGCCTCGTCATTTTGGTCATAAAATGTTCATATTAACTTGATCCTGGTGTTTTTATTCCATTATTATGTAAATTCCTACCACTAATATGTATTATGTAAATTCCTATCCCTAATATGGAACTCAGCTCCAAATTCGCCTGTATAACTCCCTTAGTCCACTTCTTTTTACAGTCAGTGCTTCGTAGTAGAATAGTATAATCAATCATTTATACCAGACAACAGGTAAGAGATATTTGTTGTATGTACCATGACCTGTTTCAATCTATTCTCTGATATAGATTTTGTGTATTTTTTCAGGTGACAGTGATCCCCACCTTTGAGTCAGGCTCCATGCAGGAGTGGTACCAGCAGACTCTGGACCGACAGAGGGACCTGAACATCACCGTCTTGGGCTCCAACAGCACCGTGGCCATGCAGGATGAGACCTTCCCTGCCTGCAAGATCGAATTCTGAGTAGAGTGGCATTATACGAAAAAAGTTGAGATTTTCGATAACTATTAAATACATTTAGGCTCTTCAGTCAATAAAAAATATCAGGACAGATTCTCACATATAACTTTTTTATTAGGCTACAACCATAGACTGTATATATAAATGGACACATCCATCGACTCCAATTGGCTCTAGTTGACTTTACATTGTAAAATTATCACACCTCGTCATTTTGGTCTAAAAATGTTTGTATTAACCTGCTCTACATGATCTTGGTGCTTTTATTTTGCTATTTATTTATTTTATTTATGTAAATAAATTCCTATTCCTAATATGGAACGTGGCTTCAAATTTGCACTTGTAACTGTCTCAACCTCATGTGACTAGAGCATGGGTGACATCACACTCCCTTAGTTCAATTCTTTATACAGTCTATGGTTACAACACATAAGTTAACCTTTCTCAGAGCAGGCTAAGGCTTTATCCTGAATCTCTTTTCCTTTTGATGTGATTCCTATTAAAAACATTGATATTTGGACTATACTGAAAGTACCTGAATGTGAATAGACTCAACAACCTTGGCACTTCTGGACTGTGTTTGCCAATATATCCTCCCACCTACACCCACTTTGTTACAGAATGCATCTCTATGGGGAGAAATCCTTAGACTTGTTGTTATGAGAAAAACAGTGCAGTAAAAGAAGCATGTGCATAACAGACTTGAACAGGCAATGTAATATATAATTAATTTGCTTTATCCTATATGCCAATGTTAGGTTAACACAGTTGAAAAAATGCACTTACAGTAGCATATTGTCATAGTAAAAATGATTTAAATTGAATTAGAAATGCAGATTAAGTTCACACAATGAAAAAAACTTTTATCTCATTGTTTATTTTATTATGGGGATAATATGTGTTCTTATGGTGGTCCAAAGCAAAGATCAAAACGGTCTGCCTGGAAGAGCATCTGGTATAAAACCTGTGCTTTATAAATATGCATGCTAATCACTGTACACTAAAGAACAGAGGCAAATAGCTTGAACTATCATTCTGTGCACTGAATTTGTTTACACCAAAACTATAGTTTAAGTTCTACACTGCAAAAATGTAATCTGTGGCATGTATTAAAATCACTTTAATTCAGAATATGAATCGGATAAATTAGCTAAAAGCTCAGTAAGTAAATATGGCTAATCTAACCAAAACTAGTCAAATTAAAGGTACACCATGTAACTGGAATGCCTGCTTTGTCAGGAATATTCCACAATATCTAGCATTTATTATAATTACCTTGAAAAACTTTCTTCTGTGAGAAGGTTCGTCTCTCCACATATCTAAGACGTACAAAAACTGAAAGTTTAATGCTATACTGTGGAACATTCCTGGCAAAGCAGTAACATCTCCAGGGAGACAAGCAGGAAGCAGTGCTCAAACAGTGCATTTACAAGATTAATATTTTGTACTCAAGTAATTTCAATACATCTACATCAATACATCTAATTTGCAGTGTAATCTAAATGTTGTTTAATAACTGAAATCCGTTTGAATAAGAGCCTTATACAAAACGTCTCTTAACTGTGGTCAGCTGTTGTGAGGTGAGCTTTGAAAAAGTCTTGTGGCTCTGTCAAACCTGAACTGTACATAATATGTAATGTAAAAATGGTTTATCAGTGGTTCAACTTGACTAAAAAGTTTGGTGTTTGTGAAAATCAAGTTGGTTTCTGAATGTCCAAAATGCAAATCAGCTTCATTTAAACCTGAATGGTCCAGCAATTGTAATGTATTTCAGCAGCAAATGCTTTAGCCAAATATGTTGTATTTCTTCAAATGTATATGTTTATTTAAAGGTGTATTGCACAACTTTTCTGGTGGAGGGTCCTTTACCTGCTTGTCTCCATGGAATGTCATTGCTTTCCGTGGAATGTTACAAGGTATGACACTAAACATATCCATCTTATTTATTTAATGCAGGTGTTTCTATCGCTCAAAAATACAATAATTCCTTCTTTGAATAGGGGCGGCTCTCCACAGATCTGAATTGTAGTATGGCGTAGTGCTCTAAACTACTTGTCTCCATCTTGATGAATAGGTTTAATCTATACTGTGGAACATTCAAGACAAAGCAAGAACCATGGAGACAAATAGATAGTGGGTCCTCTGCCGGAAAAGTTGTGCAGTGTACCTTTAAGTTGTAGATATTTCATTGCAATATAAGTTATATAAGGTCAGAGGGTGATGTTATGTATGTAAATAAGAACATGGTGGCCTCAAATCACAAAAATGTAATGGATGCAATGTGAAGAGAAATACTAAGAAGTGTTACTGTGTTAGTAAGATTGTCATAGCAACCAGCAATGCCATGTTTAACCCAGGGCTGCCCGGCAACCAAAATACTGTCATTTTATCTTTTGAGTTCTAGCTGTTTTTAAAGGTGATGTCACAGGTCTTGTAAAATGCAGTGGCAGTGATTAACCACAGATGACAGTTTAATCCAATCCAACTTTTTTTGTATAGCACATTTTACCAACAAGTCTTAGAAGTAAAAAACATAAATAATACTTAAATTAGCAATTGAAAAATAGAATATAAAACCAATAAAAGACTCTCATGGTGTATTAATAGCCAGTGAGTAAAAGTGTGTTTTTAAAATAGACTTAAATGAATCAACTGAAGGGGCACACTGAATGTGAGGGGGGTAAGCTGCACACAAAAGCAATATAGTATATAGTAAGGATGATGATGATGATGATGATATTAAGATCCCATGTGCAGTTTAGTCTCAAAAAATGAAAAGTCGATTTGTTTCATCCCACTTAAAATTTTCACCAAGCTGACATTTTTCACCAATCAGTAAAATATTATGAACAGACGTAGAGACATACAAGATTTGAGCCACTGTTTCCTGATACTGACCACTGCACACCCCAAAGATGGTTACACTGGTCCACTAACAATTTAAAAAGTTGATAAGTGACTATTTCTGTCAGTCGTCATGATGATATAGTTGATTATATTATAAGTACTTGCACTTTTCATTTAATGTTTTAAGCCAAAGTAGACAACAATTCCATTCAAATGCGGTGTATGTGATTGTATGCATTTCCTACTTTTAAGTATTCTAAGAAACACACTGTCTAATGCCCCACCGAACTCACTAATCACAAGATATAGACATAGTTTCTTTACTTGATTCTTAAAGACTTGAAGCTTGAACCTGACCCCACTATAACAGCCTTTGTGTATATGTCCCGCATGTGTCCAGTGTTTGCTGTATGTAGTTCATTCATGATATTCATGAACTTAAACTGGTAGAGGGAGAGTGGGAGACACAAGTGATTACTGGGAAATTGACTGAATATCTTCCTTTCACTTTGTAATTTTCCATGCAGTCATTTTGGGATGTGTGAATAAAGAATGAGCATCACTGTTGTTACAAAGTCAATGTTTGATAGTTTAAATAGGTTATTACATACAGTCAAATGGGGGAAAATATTTAGTTTCTCTCTAACCAGAGCTATTTGTCATTGTCAATTGATAGTTTGTCTTGTATGTAGGGATACTTTTTTTTTTTTTTTTTTTTTTTTTTTACATCTGATCACAATGAATTGATAAATAGGCAAATACACAAACATGGCATCAGGAGGACCTTGGTCTAAAACCACTGGCTTTGGAGACGAGTAAGATACAGCACTCCTATTCAGTTCACCTTTAAAGTGCATATGACATTTTTTCATGGTGTTCTAATGTTGTTTAGTGAGAGAGAAAATATTTATTATAGATTTGCTTTAGTCAGTTGGCAGTTTGTGGAGAAAAGTTGATAAAGAAAGTTAAAAAAAAAAATGTGTACTGAATCCTTCTGTCATCAATGCACAAAAATCCATTCAAAATAAAAGAATGGGCAATCACACCTCACTTATCGGGAAGTCAGCATCTCTCCTACAATGGATTAACCACCCACTCTCCCTTACCCCGCAGAATAGCAGCAGTCAGAATGTCCATACTCCCCCAAATACCTCATTTCTATGCTTCCCACTCACCCTCCAATTACATGCTTCAATACTCTAGACACAATAATACAATTTTACTGGAAAAATAAATCATCAAGGATCAAACTGACTATATTACTACAACTTAAAACACAAGGAGAACTAGAAGCTCCAATTTTTACCAGTACTTCTTCCCCAGTCAACTTTAATTCATCCTAAGATTGACTCACCCCCTTCATTCAGGTAACACTCGGTAGACCTGGAACAAATGTAGCCTATATTAGCCAAAATATCTCACTTTCAGACATCCCATTTCAATAAATTAAATCCAACCCGTTTTAAATATACAACAAAATCCTCAGCTCTTGACAGTCTGATGGAAATTTCATAAATTCACTTACTCAAACCTTGGCCCTTCAAAACTGACACCTATCTGGAATAATCCTAAAATTCTTAGCAAAACCCGTCGTTTATACTGAGTCTGTCGCCTGTTAGGCCTATGCAATTTATGCTTTTCGTATTAGCGCCCTCTACTGTTAGTACGGCCGAACGCACAGATTGCCAATCCGCCCGTGTCGTTTACTACTTTCAGTTTTGTTTCCTGAAACAATAATGTGGAGAGGGCTGGACAAGACACTCCTTAATACTGAATACTGTACCATACCATACCGTATAGTTTGTCTGAGCTACTGCAGCACATAGAGACGAGGGATTATTTACAGGTAAATCTGTATTTTGTGAGGTGATTATGCTATTTTAAGATGAAATGTATGTTATTTTATAATGACCTGCTTGCTGTGGGTTATGATGGGGCAATTATCTTTTACCACCTTAAATATGATCTCTCTTCGTACAGCTTACTCCACCCTGTCCATCATGTCTGCCATCATCTCCAGTCTAACTAACGACCAGAGAAAGAAGCTCCTCTCTCTGTTCAACCATGCTCAGCTGCACTTGCTGTACAAGGCCTCTGTCCATGGTTTTGCTGCAAATCAGTTCCACTTTCGCTGTGACATACAGGGCCCCACCATCTGTGTGGCTTACAACAACTCTGGGTTTGTCTATGGAGCATACACCTCTAAGGACTATGCTCAAAGTAACCAAAATATCGTTGATGAGCGTGCATTTCTGTACAGCATCAGTCCAGACAGACCTCAGCCAATCCGGGTCGGCGTAAACGCTGGTCAGAATGCCTTTTTAGATGGAAACACTGGTCCATACTTTTATCCTTTACTGTTTTTATATAATAATTCAGCTGCAGTCACAAATTCAGGAGGGGCGGCATTTACCTTCAATCCAGCTGAGTTGCACGGGAACGACATGGCTTTGACTGAGTTTGAAGTGTATCGAGTTGAAGGTTTGTAATAATTTCCATTTTGTATTTTAACTTTAACTTTTCTTTAGAAAGACACATGCTTTCAAATTGTGGGTCTTGGTCTTAACATGGGTAGAAAAAACATAATTTTACTGCTAGAGGTTAAATCCTCAGAAGCAAATTGGGGGAGGCAGTGAAAGCAGGTCATAAAGTTGACCATGTTTATCAGTTTAAAACAGCATTCAAGGTCAGGTTTCACACAGAGATGATACAAACTCCTCCTTTATAAATATAGGAAGAAAAAAACACTGGGCCTCATTCATGAAACGTTCTTACGAACAAATTTGTACTTAAGGCCTTCTCATGAACATTTTTTGGCATTCACGAAACTTTTTTCTTAACTGAAAATCTGGAAGAACAAATTCTATGAACAGTGAGGAGCACTTGTAAGAACAAAAAAAATATTGTTTTATCACTCTGATAATCAACTAAAAAATCTAATTCCTCCATGATTGAAAGTTATATATTTTCTTAAATGAGTTCTTATAAATACATGACTCTGATCCATTAACATTTATGAGGAGTGTTATACAGCATGTGTCTATTGGGTCTAACAGACTTTCTCCAGGCTGCAGTGAGCCTCAGCCCCAGCCCCAGTGCTCTACATATGGGACACAGTTAGGCCACTCTTACAGCCCTGCGCCTGGTCACCGCGCTAGACTCAACACCCCCATCACCCCTATCACCTCTCGTGACCGGAGCGCACTCTACCCCGGCCCTCCTTCCTCGCTGTTTACCGCAGGTATACGCCCTCACGGAAAGCGCCATAAATACGACGAAAGCGGCCGCTTAGTTCAATAAGTTTATGAGTTAACTATTACCTCAGTGTGTGTTCTTGTGAGTTTGGACATTTGAAATCGCTGCTGAAGTTGTTAAACAGTCGTAATATGCAGACGCTCCACCTGACTTCCTCGTTCACTCTCTCCCTCGCGCTTTGACGTGTCACAATACCAAACCCATATTGGCCATATTTGGATGTTCAAAAAACGTTAGCATATTAATTTTCTTAGTAAATTAATTGTAAATGAATGTGGAGGTGTTTGTAGCTGGGTAGTAGTGGCAACTGCCACTTAAGAAGGAATTTGGATGCGTAACCCCAAATTCACACCAAAGCGTAACGGAGCGTAAAAAGCGCAGTAGCACAGCGCACGAGCAGCAGACACGTGTGGAAGTTACGATCTTTTGAAAGAAAAGATTCATGAATGAGGCCCACTCTTTTTTGTTCAGATTATCATACTTATTTTATCATACTCATCAAATTATAACTCCAAATTATAATATTACATCACAAATTGAAAAATCTCTATATTTTGTCATTTGCAGAATTGGAGGGAGCCCTGGACAAACCCTGGAGGAATGTTGAATGGAATGAAGAGTAGGTACTATACACGGAAACATTCTGCATTTGTTTTAGTTTTTTTCTCATTCTCAGAATGTGGGCAGGCCATACCTCATTTTAAAACTCAAAACCCCCAGAATTCACCCACTGAGGTACAAAGGCTGCAGTACCACTTATTCATGATTGGCTGCATGTGCTGCGTTTTAGGTTTGGACATTGACATTGGGAACATAAACAAATGACAACATCAACAATTTAGGTGTGTACTATAATGCTGGATTAGAGAGTTTGTGAGGTAACTTTAGGACAGTATGGTGATGTCGCATATGAGTCACCTCACTACTGCTCATACGTCAAGCACTGAAGATTTTTTTTCAAAATTGCACCCATAATTTGAGCTCCTTCTTACCCTTTGTTTAAAATTTGTCTTAGTATGTGTCCCCTAATTCCATTTTTTGTATGTGAAGTGAACACGAGGATTCGTATACATATTAAATAACAAAAGACAAGCATTGATCAGTGCTCTGAAGAGACAATACTCATGATAAAGTTTTCTCAGAATGAGAAATGAACAGAATTGGCACGTGCCCATTTGTCTTTTTAAGACAAACAGTCCATGATACTAACTACAACTTAAAGTTAGCTAACTAATTATATTGATCTTTGAATCCTAGTGTAACTTAAAAATAACACATACCGCTACTTGCTAATTATTGTGAAGTTTGTCGTCCCTTTGTCTGTGCGAGTCAGGATCCCAATCACCGTCTCCTGCACATTGTCATCTCCTCTTCTAGCAGGAAGCACTCTTCAGGGTTGCATTTGCTTTCTTTTCTTTCTTTTTTTTTTTTCAAAACATATGAAACTCTGGGTTTACTCATCTGTATTCTGGGTCAGCTTGGAGGATGGCGTTGACTGTGCCTTCCTTTGCAGGGTTGTCATCTTTTTTCCTTTTTGGTCTTGATTCTTGATCGGTGTATGGTTCAAGTTCACTTCATCCTTCTTCAGTGTCTTGAGCCGTCAAGTCATAATTGTGGTCCATGCTAAGCTTGAGTAATTTAATAGTAATTTAAAGACTCACCTATAGACTTGAATTTACTGATATGTTTTAATTGCCCTTTGGGGTTTTATTTGATTTTTGTAAATGTTTTTCTCACTGCACTGCATCTTATGTTTCTGCATTTTATCAATTTTTATTAATATGAATATTAATATTTGTATCTATTAAACACCTTGTGAGGTGATCTTTGTAAGTAAATGTAACTTACTTATGTTTCTCACAGTAAAAGGGAGTTGCTGAAGAAGCAGATCCTGTCATATTGTCCAGATGTGGGGGGTTTAAAGGAGGCACGGGTGCTAATGGTGGGACCAGTCGGAGCAGGAAAATCCAGCTTCTTCAACTCTATCAACTCAGTGTTCAGAGGCAACATAACGTCCCAGGCCATCGCAGGGACGGCAGGGAAGAGCGTGACTGTTCAGGTAACTACAAAGTCTGTGAGAGAGCAACAAGAGCTAGGAGTTGTGCTTGACCCCAACTGTAAAGATCAGGGTCTTTGACTGAAAAAAAAAATTTGTGTGTGTGTGTGTATACCCTACAGGTTTGAATAATGCTACAATTGTAAGTCTATTTGATGGTATTTACATTTTTTTTTTTTTTTTACTTTTTTTGGCAGTTTCGCACCTACACCATAAAGGTGGGTAAAAGAGGGTCCCTTGTTCCCCTGATTCTGTGTGACACGATGGGGCTGGAGCATGGCGATGATTCAGGTTTAGATCCAGGTGACATTATCAACATCTGCAAAGGACATGTTCAGGATCGCTATCAGGTACTAACATGACATTGCGGTTTATTTGCTACATGTACACATCTGACCTTGATGTTGCCCTCTCTGAGGCCACACAAGCATTAAAATTACCACAAAATACACACCAAATATGAATGAGTTGTATATGAGAATGAGAGAGAGATACTTTATTGATCATGAGGGAAATTCAAATTTTGCTGCACTTCTCCATAGCCTTTGTGTCTGAGTCAAAGGTTTCAGTGTAGTTTAACAGGAGGACTGGCCAGGGAGGGTCAGTAGATCTGTGCTGACAGGAAGAGCCAACAGCACAGCAGTGTCCAGGGTGGAAGTAGGTGTACACAACAGGAAAGGCCTCACTCTCACTTCACTCTGTTGTTTCAATTGGTGATGTCATGGTTCATTCCCTCAAAATATTTCCTCTGGAAGATCTTGGAGTCTTTCCCCTGGAAGGTCTTCTGCCACATTTACTGTTATATATTGTGTAAAAACCCGAATCTCAAATGTTCATTCCTAGCCCCTTGCATTGTCTCGATGGATATGAGAAAAACAGACAGTTCATTTCACACAATCAAATAATCCTTTGTGTAGTTCATCTGGAAGGTCTTCTAACACATTTACTGCCACATATATTGTGAAAAGCCTTTAGTTTATCTTACTGCAAAAATGTAATATCTAAATATCTGCCAGGATTTGACAAGTCAACTCAAGTTCTTATCATAACATGCTTTTTGTGACTAGCTCAGTGGTAGTAGCTGAGCTTCAATCAGCCTACTTTCTTCCTCTGTAGTTCAATCCTTCCGCATCGCTCCAGGAGGGGACTCCTGGCTACAGAAAACATGTGACTCTCAAAGACAAGATTCACTGTATGGTTTATGTGGTCGACGTGAGCAGAGTGTCCCTGATGGATCAGAAGATGCTGGACAAGTTCCGCACCATCCGAAAGAAAGCCAATCAACTGGGTAAGCTGCTCTCATAAAGCTGTGAGTAGTTTCAATATTATGGTGATCATACCTTAATAACAGTTTGCACTGTTATAGGTGTTCCCCAGATTCTGCTAATGACCAAAATAGATGAAGCTTGCCCTCTAGTGGAGAGAGACTTAAAGAACGTCTACCACAGCGTTTACATCCAAAAGAAAGTAAGTTGTGCTACAGACAGTTCTGTGGTTTGTAATTTGGTGAATTATTTAAATTTTTTATTTGTGGACTTGGAGTATAAACTGGACCAGCTTCTTCTTGGAATGGTTGATTTGACTGAAAATAAGTGGGTTATAGCTTTCTATTGATACTTTTGTGCATGTTCATGAGCCTGATATTTCCTTTTATCAGATGGTGGATAAAAAGAGATTAATTAAGTACACTCACTCATTTATGGTCCTCCTGAGTCTTTTACCAGATTTTGAGTCTAACTGCAGCTGCTGTTGGAATACGTTTTATATAAAATGGGACCTAATAGTCAAATTCTTTGTTCCTAAAGGCTCGAGAAGTGAGTGAGTCTTTTGGCATCCCTCTGTCTTGCATTGTGCCAGTGAAAAACTACTGCACAGAGATGGAGCTGAACCTGGAGGTGGACATCCTGCTGCTGTCTGCGGTGAAGCTCATGTTAGACTATGCAGATGGTTTCTTTGAAAACCTGCTGCCTGACGACCAGGAAGAAACCGACGTATCAGAGCTCTATGTTGAATAAACAGATTATTAAAATGGGTTTACGTTTTTTCAAGTTTATCTAGCACAGAGCAGTCCCTAAGTCTGAGCTGTTAAGTATCAACTGAGTGCTGTAAAGTTGGCTGAAAGGTGAAGCAATGGTTCGTTCATTTAAATTTTGCATGGTGAATAACATAAAAAACTTGTAGCTTGTCCCTGCTCTGCCTTAATAGCATTTTAAACACTTTGTTTGTTAGGTTTTTTGATAATCACAGCAGAATTGGTGTATTACTATTTGATTTATGTGTTTTTGTCTTCATTTATTCTCTTTTACCAATCATCTGATAAATTGGAACTATCAGGATCCTTCCTTGATGTAAAATGTTAGGGGAAATCTATGACGTTAATATCTCCAGTAAAATCAATCTTTCCCAGGGATAATCTAATGTGTATATCAACTGCACAAACAAGTAAGACTAAATGTGGCAAGAAATCTAAATTAAATCCAAATTTATTCATATTCTTGCATACCTTTGTAATAATGGCCATAACTTTCTAACAATCCAGAAATGTATATTTTAGTGATACCGTCTTAAGCTTAAGATGGTAATTGTATAGACACAACAGATGTTCATCTACTGTAGTTTGCACCTCCCAGCATCGCTTTCTTCTATATATTTACCCTCCAAAAAGTGTAGGCAAGATCAAAAATTCGATTTTCATCTGTCCATAATACCACCTATAATTAGAGTAGTCCAGGCAGCAGAGGCTCAACTTCACAAGGAGCACAATTTTTTTACACTCCAAGGGTTAATAAATGAATACTTAAAGTACATTTAAATTGGTGGTCATTTTAATCAGGCTTTTTAGGTAAAACCATCTTAAATAATTAAGGATTTTCACACATTTCACAAGTTTTATTTTAGTTTTGGCTTATTGTTAGAAATAACCACTAGAGGGCAGTCATAACCTTTTCTCATTGAACTTGACTTGGTTGCACAACTGTGTAAATGTCGAGAATATTCTTTACATTGTATAATTAGGTTTTAATAAATGTATCCGTTATTGTCATGGCATTAGGTCAATAGAAAAATGAAGAAACGAACAGTTAGTAAGATATTAATTTGCTGCTCCTATAGGCTGCTTTACAAATAGACTTTCTTTGTCATTACAATATTGCATTTTTTGTCACATAAACTAGTTCTTCCAATTGCCAAATGTCATGCCTGATATTTGCTTTTTATTATATTGCATTATTATATTTTTTGCCAATTATCCTCTTTTTTTGTTTGTTTTTATTTCCATTTAGTATCAGTATGTGGTCAGTACGCGGGCATGTCAAATGTAACAAAAGCTATAAGAAAAACTACAGCAGATAATAGGAGAGTGAAAGTATATAGACATGTTAGGGCATGTGCAAGGGTTACTACAGGAAGCGACAGACAATGCAATCTCATAGATAAAATTACTGTGCTATAGTTCACGTGCATCATTTATTTTGATTACTTTATCTTTTAATTAATTAATTAATTAATACATTTTATTATTTTTCTTTATTTGTGTATTTATTTTTTTCATTTCGGGGCATGTGATTCATTTATTTACTCTTTGTTCTGACTTATAGTACCTGATGCTTGATCTAACATGAGTTGCATATCCTTTGATTCCCAGCAGATGTCAGTCTTCAAGTCTTTTGCACAACATTGACAAAATATTACTTTACAGCGAAGAACACTACACAATTTTACACTAACTATCCTCTTCTTTATGTCCTCCTTCTTTATATGTTTTATCGTGGGAATTGAGCACGTGGTTGCTTTGTAAGGTGACATAAATGCCATAACGCCACGCTGGCTGCGATGACAAGCCTAATGCCAGCGCTTTGTTGTGTAAAGTAAGTTCACTCAGTTGCAGCACATGACAGAAAGAAAGAGAGAGGGCCAATCGAAACGCGGCGCTGGTTTCGGTGCCGCCCTTTCGGTCTCTCTGGGTATAAAAGCTTCTCTTGCAACTCACAGGCAGAAACACATGCTGTCTAGTCTTCACTGCTCCACCGGGAATATAACTTTTCTCATTTTATCGAACATTTCTTGGATTGTTTACATTTTGCAAACATGATTCCCGAGGATAACTTTGGATCCGACGTGGTAGCGAACAGGTAAGATTACGCACGACTTCATAGCATGTGGGTGCACAGCTAGAAATGCCCTTTGACCTCTGCATACACTGTGCATAGAGTGGAATGCTGATTTGCAAAGTATGCATGGATAGTCTTTGGACATTAGGAATCCACACTAAATGAGCTCCAAATAGTAATGCAATAGGCTACTACAGAATTGTTTCTTGCACAACACAAGCTGGTTTACATCACAACTCACTATACTGTAAATGTCAGTGAATGCTAAGACACTTTTTATGTGGAAAACTGCATGCATTAGAAGTAAGATTGCAGATTGTAAGATGCAGTAAAATTCAAATCCCAGTTTCCTTTTTAGTGTCAATAGCCACTTACTTTCTTTGCAATGATGTAGAATATTAATAATGCATTTTAAAACTGCCTACCTTTTTTTTTTTTACTTTTCTGTTCATGTATTACTGTGGTCCTGAATTTCCCATTGCATGTTGTGTAACTGCTATAAACAGTTTCTTTCTCTTTTTTCAGAATGCTCTCAGCAGGTCTCGCCTTGGAGGAGCTCCTGGTCACAGCTCAAAAGCAGGATTGCCTCACAGTTGGCATCTACGAATCGGCTAAACTCCTTATTGCGTAAGTAATGGGCCTCCTCCTCTAACATGTGCTTCTCCTAAGACTTTACAACATCCCTGTGATAATGTGACCTAACCCAATTTGCCTTTTCTTTGCAGTGACCCTGACAGTGTGGTCCTGTGTGTCCTGGCGGTGGATAATGAGGAAGATGTTGCGTTACAAATTCACTTCACACTGCTCCAGGCCTTCTGCTGTGACAATGGCATCACCATCCTCCGAGTTTCCGGGGTTCGGCGGTTACAACAGCTGCTGCGGGGCGAGGAGACCAACAAGAACCTGGAAGAGCATGGAGATTTTCACTGCATGCTGGTCACTGTAAGTCCTTTTACTCTACTGCTAATTAGACCTATTATTCCACAATATATAGTACAAATCACTGCAATATCTGAATGCATATGACCTATAGTGCACACAATGGATAGTACTGCTGTTATTATTATTACTACAACTACTACTTACATTAATAATTGTCCTACTTTGCAAGGTTAACATGCCACAACTACTAAAACAACAATTATAATTACTATCACTACTACTTCTACTACTATTCTACATTCTATATATTGTACAAGACTGTTACTACTACATTTTGACTACTACAACTACTGCTACTACTGCTGCTATTATTAGACAATAATTTTATGGTTAACATGTTACCAATACTATGACTACTTTTCCACTACTGCTTCTAATGCACTACTACTAAAACCACTAGTTCTACTACTATTTACCTACTGCTATTGTTACTAATAGACAATACTTTTTATATGGTTGACATGTTACCAGTACTATGACTACTACTTTTCCACTAAAATGGCTATTTCGTCTACCATCTGCTATAATCCTCTCACTATACTGCAGAAACTACTACTACCATAACTAAAACTGCTACTACTACTGCTAGAACTACTTTTACATGTATTGCTGTCCAAAAAGCTAAATATTAATTCTTGCAATGTATTTTTCCATTTCAGAATCCCCAAGCTGACCACTGCAGACTACAGGAGGTGGGAACGTACTGCCAAGAAAGCCGAAAAATGAACCAGTGGATTCCCGAATTGGCCCTGCAAGAACGCTGACAACTTCAGTTCACAAAACCAGAGAAACCCCACAAATCTGCATCTAATACAGATAGATGATTAACTCAAGTCTTCAAAGAAAGCTGCAGTGATGGCCTTAGGTGGCACTGACTGTGATAAGGGCAAGCAAACGGGAAACAAGACTTACAGGAAATGTAAGTTGGAGATTCTCGTTCTGCAGAAATCGTTGGTGTTTTTGGGTGTGTGGCATTATTCAAAACATTGGAGTAATGCTGCAGGATTGGAGTCACACCCCGGACCAGGCCAGACTAGTGCAGCCAGCCAGCGGAGCACCCAGGAATGTCGGACATAGTTTCGCCATTGTAGAATTCCTTTGGGTTGAGTCGGGAAAGCTGTTTGGAAAGACGAGAAGAAAAAGAAGGTGTGTGTGTGTGAGTGTTAGTTAGTGAATGCGTGGTATGCATGTACAATTGTGTCTTTATTTAGCAAAGACTGGGCGTGCAGAGTGGACCTGTGCAAGGCTGCAAACTGAAATATAATGTTGAACAATGAGCATGAGACTGCAAGAATGACATGCAAAAAAGGACTTTTATTTAATAATGTTATTATAATGTGCCTCATTTGGAGAAGACTACCTACTGTAAAACACAACTTGAACTTAATTTATTGATTATTTGTAAAACATTTTCATAGTTATTTATTCTGTGCTTAAAAGTCAATAAATTATTCTTTTCTTAAATATCTAGTCTCAGTGTAGTCCATCTCTATTCTAAAACTAGAAAAGCACTCAGAGAGCGCAGACCTCCGCCAAGGACTACCCCCATTTTTTATATAAATTGCGATAAAATCAGTCTTCTGGATCAGATCCGGATCAGCCTTTGGAATATGAAAGAGGATCCCATTGTCCATCCCTGAGTCAAATTTCATGGGGTTTGGTCAATAATTAACCGAGATATTGAGAAACAAAATTTTTGGCCCCATTTACCACAATGTTAACTAAAATTTCAAAGTGATCCAGAATCCAGGATTTCTTCCGGATCACCCCCAAAATGAAATCAGAATCCTTTTCACATTTCCAACAAATTCTGAAAATTTCATCAAAATCGGTCCATAACTTTTTGAGTTATGTTGCTAACAGACAAACAAACAAACAAACAGACAAACGCCGGCAAAAACATAACCTCCTTGGCGGAGGTAAAAATACTGTTATGATAAAATGCTAGATATCTCAGTATATTTCAACTTGCAAATATGTATTCCCTGCTGCTAACTACTACTTTTACTACTACTACTACTGCTATTGTTTTTATATTCTGTGTCACTCTAAAAAAACAAACAAAAAAAACTTCTAAATGCTAAATATCTCAATATATTTCTGTTTGCAAATACTACTACTGCTGCTGCTACTACTACTACTACTACTACTGCTGCTGCTACTACTACTACTACTACTACTACTACTACTGCTATTATTGGTATTCCATGCCACATTAAAAAAAAAAAATACTGTTCTAATCTTGATGCTAAATATCTCAATATATTTCCGTTCACAAATACTACCCTACTACTACTACTACTACTACTACTACTACTACTACTACTACTACTACTACTACTACTGTTACTACTGCTACTACTGTTACTATTGTTGTTACTAGTAATACTACATACCCATACCTGGCTTAAGTCCTGGCTTACAATAATTGAATGCATTCTGTTCCCTCCCTTAGTTATTTTGCACTTAAAAATCAATAAATCATTTCTATTCATAAGTACTGTTCTCCTATTTCAAAACAAACGTAGGTGTATGCGTCATGGAGGGCCGATCTCAGCTGTGTCACGCCATAGCCGTTTACATTGTGGTCGGAAAGACACGTCCATGCCCTGTTATTGTAAATAGAGAGATAGATAGAGAGAGACAGACACAGACAGAGAGAGAGAGAGGATAGGGGTGGAGATAGTAACATATTTTGCTGGTACAACCAAACTGGCAGAACAAACTGAAATAGACATACTGTCCTTATCAATCATATGCAAGTACAATATGATTTTAATATCTTTTAATTGAGATATTTTTAACAAGGCATCATTATCCAGACCAGTGTTTCTCAAACTCTGGATTAATGATTTACATTTACAGCTTATCTGTAGTTTAGTCTCATTTTAGACCTGGTTTACTCTCTGTTTAGACCCTTACAAAGCCCTGATTTAAAGGTGCATTGTATAACTTTTTGGATAGGGGTCTGTCATGTTAATTCTGTGGAAATGTCATTGCTCTGCCTGGAATGTTCAACAGTGTGACATTAAACAGCAAAAAATATCTAGAAAAATGTGTATTCTGACAGTGGGTGGGATTGCTGGTTTGGCCTCCATGAAGATAGAAAGGTTTAATTAATACCATACTGTGAAACATTCCATCTCACTAGAACAAAGCATTTGACAGGCTCTCCACCAGAAAAGGTACACAATGCACCTTTAAATCTGGTGGTACCAAATGTTATCTTATGTGGTACTTGAGGCAAAAGGTCCGACCACTGATCTGGACAACATCTTTACTTTAGTTGTTAGCAGCTTGTTCCTAAACCAAAGAGCACAAGTGGTTCATTCTACCCCCAAGGCCTCCACCCTGCGTCTCACATGTCTAGTCATGGTTACAAGAAAGATAGGGAACATTCAAGCACATGGGTCCCCTGTTTGTTTATCATTAGTTGAAAAGGGGCGGGGTTTGGGAGGGGGTTTGGGTCGTGATTGGCTGTCACGCACCCGCCTTCATTTTCATTGGCTTGGACTTGCCTGAGGGTAGGAGGAGGTTTGAGTACCGAGAAGAGACTCGTGACCGCTAAGGTAGGGCAATACAATAGTCCCAAGACATGCAGTTTTTTTTTTGACAATGGCATTCTTAGGAAATGATAGTGAAGTGGGAGCATTACCTTGTCTCTTTGTATCAGAGAGTTGCATGTTTTCTTTCCCCTGCACATGCTGTACTTTATGGACAGAGTGTATGAGTCCGACTGTGCAGGAAAACAACATGTCCTTCTGCAAAGAGGGAACAAGTACGCAAAGTCTGTAGGGCAAAATAACATTATAGTGAACTGAAAACATGAGAAAAATGCTTTCTACTGCTGCACTGTAATCAGTTACTACTACTGTGTCTGCTACTACAACCATTGCTACTACTACTACTGCTACTACAACTACTAGTACTATTACTGCTGCTACTACCACAACTGCATACACTGTTCTTTTTGCAACCACTGGTAGTGGCTCTTGAACCTTGAACTTAACTGCTACTGCTACTACAAATACTACTACTACTACTACTACTACTATGGTTGCTCCTACCACAATTACTGCGAATATTACTTATTACGAGGACTGCTACTACTGTTCCTTCTGCAGCCACTGGTATTAGCACTGGAACCTTGAACAAGAGCAGTTACTGCTACTACTACTACTATTACTACTACTACTACTACTACTACTACTACTATTGCTGCTTCTGCTACTACTACTGGTGTTATGACGACAACTATAATGCATACACTGCTCCTTTTTCAACCACTAGTACTGGCTCTTCAACCTAAAACTACTACTACTAGTACTATTACTACTGCTACATCTACCACTGTTGCTACTGCTACTACTACTACTACTACTACTACTACTACTGTCAGTAGAAACCTACTGTATCTTCTGCAACCACTGGTACTGACCCTCGAACTATTACTACTACTATTACCGACGCTGCTATTACTACTACCACAGTTATCTTTGCAAGTACTGAATGTAATATTTGAACTGTATTACTAGTATTCAAATGTAAATTAATGTCTGTATATTTCTATATTCACCTTTTATTACTGCAGTTTCATGTGTTTTTAAAATATTTTTAGAGTAATATTAATTGTCAAAAGTCTTTTCTAGGGACAGATGTGTGAATTAACTATTAACTATTATCCAGTGTAATACATATGACTGGTTTCTTATAAATGCACAGATTAATAAACAAATATAAATAGATAAATAAATACAAATGACCACAATATATGTCATTATATCATCTTTTTATTAATGTTATCTACTTCTCAATATCTTTTTTTAACAGCAATATCCACAAAATATTAACAGTGTGCAAGAAAACATGAGTTATGGCACATCAGAGAACAGTTACAAAAAATAGATATATTTTCTTCATAATCAAGGCAAAAAGATACAGTATGCATACACAGGAGATCCGAACACAAAAACGCGGAGGGGCTCAGAGCCGATGCAGCCGATATGAAAAAGTCTGCTCTTATTTCTCTAGCAGATACCAAATAGTCTGGGGCTCGCTTTATGTCACAACCCCAATGGCATCCTCAAAACCAGCACGATATCTACGCCACTTTAAGGCAACAACCGTCCAATCAGGAAAGCATTTTGGAGGATATACTGTGCGTCTCTGATTGTAAGCCCAACCAGCAATGGAATGATTCGAATAGACAAAATTAAAGGTGCACCATGTTATTTTTTGGGTGGAGGTTCATCACCTGCTTGTTTCTATGGACATGTCATTGCTCCGCCTATGGAATATTCCACAGTATGACATTAAACAGCTCTGCTTTGCATTTATTAAATTACACGTGGTTTTATAGCAAAAAAATATCTAAAAAAACAGGCATTCTGACTGTAAGCAGGGTCGCCTCTCTGCAGATTTGACCTATAACTTGGTCTGGTTTGGTCTCCATGAAAGAAGGTAGGAAGGTTTAATACCATACTGTGACACATTCAAGGCAAAGCAAGAACATCTTCATGGAGAAAAGCATTTGACAGAGCCTCCACCTGAAAAGTTACACAATGCACCTTTAAAACAAACAAACAAACAAACAATACAAAAACAAAAAAACACATGATCAGGACAACTTGAGTGTTTGTAGAATTGTGCATTAAAATGTAGTTATGTCTGCAGTTGCAATCCTTCATATGTAAATACTATAAGTTTCCTGAATCCTACTGGAGTTTCATGTCCGGGGACCATGTTTAACACTCAGGTTTCACTGTGCATTGTTATGCTATTACATCAGCTGCCCTTTCGCTCACTCTTCCTCACAATGGAGAGAATGGCAAAGTCAAGCAACAAAAGCTTTGGCAATAAATAGCAGGTTTTTCAAAAGGACTCCAGCTACAATAAGCAGCATTTACTAACATTTATCAGTACATAAAGCATAGGTCTGTGTGCCACGCCTATGACTGTCTGAACTGTACCATTTGTTTACATGGGAGCAACAATTTAAGTATTAAGTTTCCCGCTTATGACACAACTTTAATCTATTTTATATTAAAAACATTATAAGGCCCTTTACCATACTGGAAATCTTGCATCTTGTCCCGTAAAGATTAATAAATAAGGCAGGGCATCTGGCATAAAATCACATGTTTAAATCACTACTAAATCAGTTCAGCGTTTGTGTACTATTTTGATATCATCGTTAATCCATGCATCCTATAGGTTACAAGCCACTTTATATTTTGCACCAGTCCCAAACCTGAATAATTGCACAAGGGAGGGCATCTGACATAAATCTATGCCAAATCAACATGCAACTCAATAGGCCTTAAAGGTGCACTATGTAACTTTTCTCGGAGAGGGCCCGCCAGTTGTTTGCTTCTGTGGAGATGTTACAGCTTTGCCTGCAGTGTTCCAAACTTATCATTCTCCATAGAGACAAGCAGGTGATGCCACCAGGCCAATTTACAGGCGAGATCTGTGAAGAGGCCCCACTCACAATAAGACTGAATGTTTTTAAAGCTATTTTTGAGCAATAAAAACACCCATAATTGAATAAATGCATCTTATGTAACTTTAATATCATGTTGTGGCACATTACAGGCAAACTAATAGCATCTCCATGACGGCTGACCCACAACCTGAAAAGTCACACAGTGTACCTTTAACATCTCGATCCATGGCAACCCAAAAAAGCAACAGAGTAGGAAATAAATCACACATGCCAAGCTATTTACGTTATCATGACAACTATTTTAAGCAATGATTAGCCCACATAGCATGTTCTACTCCAACTACTGTCTGTAAAAACATAACTGCTCCTGAATTCACTACGAGCTGCAGAGGTCAGGCATGCCTCTCTCGTAAACTGACTCATATGACCTCCTCATTCTGGTCAAGCTAACCGTGACCTGGCCTGTAGCATTACTATTCAAAACTAGATAAAGAACTTCACTGCCAAAAAATGAGTGTAAATCAGCTTTAGCTTCTGCCTACACTTGGGGACAGTGACTTTAGTGTTTGATTTTGTTGTAAAGTTCTACACACGGAATATGTTTTATTTTAATGGCATCCGATTGAAACTAATGTATGTAGACTGTAATGAGTTACTGACAAAATAAAAATAAATGAAAAAAAAATATAGATATGTAGTCACAATATATTGAAATAGTATATCATCTTAATTTGAGTTTGTTTTTGTTTTTTACATGTATTTTATTTTATTTTTATTTTGCATATTTGCCCTGTGACTGTTTTCAATAAATGTACTTAATAAAATCACTATTCTATATGCTAAAAAATACTTGAGCAGCATTTCAGTATCTAATAAACTTTCATTTGAAGAATATTTGCTTTTAATTTCAATTTCACTTACAATAAGAAATATTAGCATTGTTACCACGGTAAGATATACTGTATTTACTTACAACAAGGGCACAATATATCAAAACCCAAATCAAATAGGTACCTGGCAATAAACAAACAAGTGAAAATGAATAAAATACTTTTACAATTTAATGTTGGTTTCCCATTTTGCAGTGTTCACAGTTTTCTCTCAAAGCAACATAAAAATAACAAAGATTTACTTAAGTGTGTGTTTTTTGTCTTTTAATTCTGTTACCATCATGCCAACATGTAAGACCTTTCAAACTAGCTACTAATAGAGTTTTCTGTGTACTTTTCTTGCTCTTTCTACTCGAGTAACAATGGCAGGTAAAAGCTTGGCTTGAAATTTACATGGCATATTATTGCAATGTGTTGAGTAGGCCTTGTTCTCTATATTTTGCTAAGATAATGGCACTGTATTCGAGAGTTCAGATTCAAACAGTAATCCATGCACCCCCTATAGATCACACGCCACTTTACTTTTTGCACCAGTCCCAAACCTGAATAAATGCTTAAGGGAGGACATCTGACATAAATCTATGCCAAGTCAACATGCAACTCAGGAACGTTTTTGGTAGAAGGTTGCCAGTTGTTTGTTGGTTTGGAGATTTGAGGCATTGTAAACATGGAATTTTGTGGGGTTAGGGTTAGTAATAAATATCAAACGCTGTAACTTTTGGCACGTCTGTTTGATTTGGCCATACAATTGAATTATATCTTATTTTATGGCTACTTTTAGTTGTTTCATTGTATGCTTTAGCACAGGAATTGCAAAAACACATCCACTATATTCAACTTCCTGGAGCTCATTTACCAGCACTGCAACCTCATCTTATAACTGATCATTGTTATTGTGTTAATAGTGAATTTCACAAACGTTGGTAGTTGCTATCTAGATTTTTAAATTATGTTTATTTTCAAGTTATAGTCCTGTTTTTTGTGTAACAGTTTACATAGCTTAATACCTTAATAATCATTCAAACCTACTATATAACCACACTACACTGAGCAGTCATAACTTCACATTGTCATCATGTCAACACTGAATGAACACGGGTAGCTCTCAGTTACTTGAACTAGATACAAATTGCCTGTCTCCCAACCCGTACAAAGTGTAATGTCCCAAATCTTTCCGTGCTGCCATGGAGACTGACAGCCCTCGCCCCTTACATTGTGCCAAACAGAAGCAGGTAGGTCATGGTGCCCTGCTGATAAGAAAACAGGAGCCCAAAACACAGCGGGACAGGCCAATCCACTGTCCATCAACAACCCTTAACCTACAAAAACTAGCCCAGCCCTGCTCTCAAAACCTGCAAGGAAAAGCACACAAGATGACAAGATGGCCAAAACCTACGCATGTGTCACCAGTCATTCTCTGTCAATGCTTTAGCCTCATCATGACCTCAAAGCTATCAGGCGAACTGCAGGGGAGTGTATGTATAGTAGTTTTGTGTGGAAGTTGTCCTAGTTGTCCGATCACAAAAACAAAATGTGAAGGCTTTTCCAGGTGGGAGAAGGAGTAAAGGGGGGTTGTAGCAGCTTGGATGAAATACAATGATGGTGACGCTAAATTGCAAACAGACCAAGACAATACCAGCGTATATAGGTTATAGCAGATTTAAAAAGATAATAGCGAGTAGTTACGCTAATTGCTATGCTCTTCTCGCCACTTCTATGAAAGAAATGGACTTTGAGTAAACACCAAATTGAAAAGCCTATTTATGAATTCAATGTTTAGTGTCAGAGCTCACAAAATTCAGAATTAAAACAACCAATAAGAGTCTTCTTCAGTCGACAGTATCAACAAGAGTGTGTAATACCTAATATGAGGCAAGAGATTGATGAGCTTAGAGAAGTGAAGTCTAAGGACAGAAGGCGTTTGTCCTCTAGTGGTTCTTATACTACAGATTGAGAACCACGAAATAAGACAGATAAATATTTAGTTTTTTCTCTCTAAAATCCTATAAAACTGTTTCGACAAGAGAAATAAAAGTTACAAATTAGAAATGGCCTTAACGGAAGTCTTAAGTCAACCGAATGACTAGCGGAGACTCATCTTTCAACTGTATAATCTTTAACAAAACTAAATCTTGGCTTTCTATCCTTCATTACTTTCAGTGCTGCTACAACCAACCCCACTCAAAAGCCCCAATGACACAAATGGTCCAAAATAAGAGGTGACGAGAGACAGAAACTTGACCGACATGAAGATAAAGTAAAAGTAAAAAAATCGAACATCCACAGAGGGGACGTCGTGTTTAGATCTTGTATCTTACAAACACTGTACAGGGTAATACTCAACTGACCAGGATCCATGGACTCCATAGAAAGAAGAAACTCAAAATAAAATCCAATACGGCTACTCTCAACTGATCACTTCTGCACATCTCAAAGAAAGTTTATACATTTAGTTTGTTTGTCGCAACTTCATATTTTTTATCTTCTTTTTTTTTACAATCAAGTTTGGTTTTTCAGAAAGAAGTAAAGTTGTAGAGGAAAAAGAAGGGTGTAAAAAAGAAGACACGTTGTAGTTAGGGAAAGTCGGAAAATTTTCAAGAATCTAACCTCAAAAACAGGCTTCTTCATTATCAAAGCAAAACAAAAACACTAAGCACCTTCATATGTTGAAACATGAAATAAAGTCGCCTATTGCACCTCTAATTAGGAAAAAATGGACAAAAGGGTGCCTTCATTTTCTGATATAGCTTTTTTGGGATAGGTGTAAACTAATCTGGGCATGTCTAGTCTGAAATATCACCTTAATGTGTAAACTAAAGTAATAGGAGGCATGATATTTAGGAAAAAAACGCGGTGCCCCCCTGGGTCAATACTAAGACCAATGTAGTTTCGTTCTAGTTGGCTTGAAACCTGATCCACCAGGGGGTTACATCACCAAAAATACTGTAAAATAAATGTTAAAACTGTAAAATACTATAATAAGTCCAACAAAAATATAAAACCTACATGTATTCCACAAACTGCTAAGAAAAAAAATGTACATCGAAGATACAGAGGAAAGAGTGAAAGCAGACCTGCATCTAGTGGAGAATTTCTGTACAAGTTTGGCACAGCTGGAGATTTGGCCAAAGGCTGTAGGCGGCCATATTGGGTAGGTCACAGGCAGAACGACCCTGAGCTAGGCTTGAGTAGAATCATGCTAGCTCTAAAAAAAAGGCTTTAGCCACTTGCTCCAAAGTTAATCTTGTCTATCATAGTTTAATACAGACAGGTTTAAGGTTGTAAATGTCCTACTTGAATTTTAAACATTTTGAGGTGAGACTATAAATTCATTGGCTAAAACCTAAACACACGCTCTCACAGTCTATAACACAGTTATCCATCCTTCATCTAGTTTAATCAATTCAATACTCGTTACAGATTCCTTCAGTTGACCTGGTGTACTATTACTAGCAAACTCTGCCAAAGCACCTTTAATCAGTGATAAACAGCTTTGAAAAAGTGGGAGCATATGATACTTGCTGCCCCCTACCTGTAGCCAAACAGTATGGCGTGTTTGAGTTATTTTTGGAGCGTGTGTAATGCGAGAGAGTAGGACCTGTAAAGGAGGTGTGTTATTTTTTTTTTTTATGTGAGAACAAAAACAAGGGAGGTCAAATCAGGTTAATGTGCAAATATGTGTGTGTGTGCGTCTGTGTGTGTGTTACTGAGAGCACAGGTACAAAGAGGAGAGCTATAGGATGATGCAGGGCTTCTTGTCCTTGAAAGGGTTTTCAGAGGTGGGCACCCCGACGAGGAGAGGGTCACTACGGGCGTGCTGCTCACAGTAACTCATCAGGTCTGCGGCCGCTTTGGACACCTGAGGGAGAGAGAGAATGAGATAGCGAGAAAGAGGGGGTTGAGAGGGGATAGAAAGCGGTGGGGCAGAAAGAGAGAGGGGGTGGAAGAGAGCAAGAGACAGAGAGCGAGGGAAGAGTGGGGGGGCAGAGGCGTGAGAGAAAGAAAGAGAAAGAGAGGTGAGGGGGGGTCAGGGAGGGAGAGAGGTGATAAAGAGAAAAAATAGGAGGGCAGAAAGAGCAGAAAATCGGAGTGTTGAAAGAGAGAGAGAGAAAGAGAGAGAGAGAAGGATGGGAGGGTGAGAGAGAGCAGGAGAGAGATAGACAAGTCAAGATTTAGTTCATGGACTTGCCTTTAGTACAAAAAAGGTGTGCAAAAATATAAAAATACTGATTTAATGTGATAATAAAGTATTGATATTGTGGGCTGCTCTATCGATATATATCGCCAAGAGTATTGTCATATTTTACTATTTTGTTACATTGCTACAGTTTTGTTGCTTGTTTAGAGGAAGGAAACTTGTTGATACAACACATTTGACATATTCACTGTTCTGATGATTAAAATGGGTGTGATTCATATTAACTTTGTACACAAAGAGGTTTAACAAAAACAGCCATGAGTTAGGCTTTATTTTTTTATTGAACTATATTGAATTGATTTGAAATATATATATCATATTAAATCATATCAAATCGAAAGCTCACTGTATTGAGAGATGTATCGTATCTGGCCTGTGTATCGAGTTATGTATTGTATCAGCAGCTTCTTTATGATATCCAGCCGTAGTGTATATCAATACTACCACTGAGATTAGCAAATATAAAGATAATAATAATAAATATAGCATACAAAAAAATTTATTTCAGACCTGTAGGTGCTTACAAATGCATGCATTGTTAATGTTTATAATGATTACATGGGTACATCCCAGTGTTGAATACAGTAAAAATATCACTGACTTTGATGCGCTCAAACCCTGCCTCGATCCTTAGCTGTTCCACCAGTTTTCGGGCCTGGGCGATATTGTTAGTGGTAGACATACTGATCCATCAGAAGACACCAACACCTAAGAAAACTGTAGAAAGAGAGAAAAAAACATGCACATTTTACTTATAACTGAAAAATATAATGATGTAATATAATGAGCATAATACGATTAAATGTGAAAAATAAAGACAAAAGGAAGAGCATTTAGTGGAAGTGCATTGTCACGATTAGAGCCGGAAGTGACAAAGCAGCCTGACAGAAAGTATGTAATTAGACTGGCATGTTCATGTATTTAAGCCAATAAAATCTATGGCATAACTGACAAAACTGAAAAACATAGAAAGATAGAAATGCATTAAAAACTATTATAGTTATTGTGTTGAAAATGTGGAATTAACTTATCTATATACATTATAATTTGCCAGTATAAATCAGAAGTAGTTTGTATGGTGTAAAATTATTATATTTATGCATTATGTATGTATTTAGAGCAGCTACTGTGTAATTATTTTGCATCCAATGTTTATTGATTGACATTGACTGGTGTGGTCTATGGATCACAGAATCAGCAGTGCAGCAGTGTAGCAGAAGCAGGACACTTGCGCCACCTTGAGGTCAAAACATAGAAGTGAAAGTTTGGTTCAGTTTAGTTTTGACATGGTACAGTTTATAAAGTGAATTCTGGGTCACTGGTGATAATTTTGAGCCTGGAGTGGTGTACACTATGAGAAGTTAAGAAATGTGCTTCCTCTATTCCTCTTTAGAATGTCATTTTTTATCTCATTGTATTACCCAACTTGACAATTTGATGCATGATATTAAGCTGTATTGTTTTTCAAACTTGTCACACTTTTACTCCGACAAATCCGAGAATTAGTGCAATGCAGCCAAGATTATAAACACTGTGATACCAATAGGCCTGTCACAATGAAAACTATAGTGACTTATCTATATTTATATCAATGGAACATTAATTTGGGGGTTAGTACTTATGGGTGTGGGTACATTTTCTTTGCACTAGTGAGAAAAAGTTGGTTATTTTACTGTTCTACGATTAGATTTGAGCTGAGGAGTGTTGAATTATAAACTTCTATGACTCACCATATGCAAACTTACTTCTTAACTGTTGCATTCTGTTATTTTTTTTTTATTGCAGCTCTTATTTTCTAACAATCTTGTGCATTTAGAATGTTTTGGAGGGATAATTCTGCTTTATGGTTTGGTTTCAATATTGTTTCTCATCAATATTTACACTTCAAAATGTGTTATCATGACCTAGATACCAGTATCAGACTTGTACATGTTAATCTACATTTGTTGTATGTGTCTGTCTCTGAGCCTCTAATGCAGGCTGTTCCAGTGTGGGGCTGGTACCTGTCTGGTGGGGGGTGGACACAACCCTCTCCGAAGTGGACAAACCGTTGAAGTTATGTGTGCAGTTTCCAATGAAGAAAGATCTGAGACGATTTCACTCACATCAGTTTGATCCTGTAGAGACAAAATGAACAAATATGTGTTAATTAATGCCCGAGATCAGACCACGAAATTAGAACTGCACAATGTTTACGATAATATATGTTGACTATAACAAAAAAATGTATTCTCGATCTGTTATTGACTTAATTACACTATTAAAACATTGGATGGAACCAACAGAGACAATTGTGACAACCAAAACCACAAGCGTCCTGACACACACCATCTTATATATTGGGTAGGTTAAAGGTGCACTGTGTAACTTTTCTGCTAAAGGGTCCACCACCTGCTTGTCTCCATGGAAAAAGTTCTTGTTTTGTCTGGAATGTCCCGGTATGACATTAATCATCTTGCATTTACACAATAATATGTTTTTTTATTGGCTTAAAAGCTTGCATTCTTACTGTGAGTGGGCTTGCTTCTCCACAGATCTGACATGTGACTTGGCTGTGTAGTGTCAGCTGCTGTCTTCGTGAAGATAAATAAGTGTAATACTATAATGTGGAACATTTCAGCCATGGACAGAAGCAGATGACGGACCCTCCACCAGAAAAGTTACACAGTGCATTTTTAACAGTCTTATGGGCCCCTTAATATACGACAATTCTGTACATATTAGTTTTATCATACGTAGAGTTACATGATGTTTAAACCAGTCACTAAACTAAAATATTTTGTCAACAGTTCTTTGGAAGGCAATAGTGTAATAAAGTATATTCCAAAATACATTAAAGGTCCTATATTACACAAAATTGACTCTTGTGAGCTTTAGGACATGTTAAAGTGTTGTTATCTCATCAAAAACATACCTGGAGTTGTGTTTTGTTTCATTCACACATGCTTTATTATTAGTCTGTCTACATCTCCAAAGCTCAAAATGTTCTGTTCCAACTTGTGATGTCATGAAATGGTAGTTTTCCTAGTTACCTTTACCTTTCGTTAGGTAGAGATTGGCTGAAATTATCCAAATAATTCTACTGAAGGTGTATGGAGTTTAATAACACAGTGGAGCTCTTCCTGTATCACCACATGACATCACAAGGTGGAACAGAGTGTTTTCTGTTTGAGTGAAGAACTCTGCCTAAATATGCAGGGTTTGTGTGTTAAACATGTGTGAGTGAAAGAAAACAAAACTTTGCATATGTTTGTGATGAGGAAAACATTATAACATAGATCAGAAAATAGCGTGAGATTGGGCCGTTTAATAATTTCGAAACCTTCAGAGACGCCAGATTGTTTAGGGACCATTGTTTTTCATTATGTGCAGGCGTACAAGAATCCAATTACTGTTTTGGCTCTGGTCACATACAATGACATAAAGACTAAAGCAATTAAGGGTGATAAATCAAGCCTAGCCTACCACATATTTAAAGGAGAAAACTTAATACTACACATATGGCATCCTCAAGTCAACCATCTCTAACCTTCTGCCCCACCCACCTCCCACATGCAGAGTATAAAAGCCCCTTTATGCAACAGGACCAGAGTCTGTCCCTGTCTGTCCCTGCCTGCCCCTGTCGGCCTGTCCCTGTGCCTCCCAGGAGCAGTGTGGCTTTAATTACTCCTGCTGTGAGTAGCTCTGAGATTCATGTCTTTAATTAGGGCTTTTATGTATGTGTCTGCAAGTGTGAGAGCAGAATATACAAAGTTTTATCTTGACACTTGAAGCATCGCCATAAATATACAGTTTTCTATTGCTATGCTTATAATACAGTGTAGAAAAAAGTATACATAAATATTTAGTATGATTAAACATTTAGGCATTGTTCAATAGTAGAAATACCTGAATCATATAACAAAGAAAGCACTAGGCTGTGGTCCACTAAAGATAGCCTATTCTTGAATCGATTTTTAATTGACTAAAAGGGGACTTGGCATGGCACTGGCAAAAGTTCTCAAAACCATTAGGATCTTGCACAAAAAACTATATATACAGAGATGTACTTGAAAACACCATCTTATATTTGATTCTTAGAAGCTTTAAGACATGTTAGAATGTTGTTACCTCCTCACAAATGTACCTGGAGTTGAGTTTTGTTTCATTTACACTTGTCTAAGTATTTCTGTATTATTTGTCTACATCTCCAAAGCTCAAAATGCTTTGTTCTACCTTGTGAAGTCATGAAGCTGTAGTTTTCAAGTTACCGTTTAGAGATCAACAATCTTACAGCTGAAATCATCCAAATGATTCTAGAGTGAAGGTGTATGAAGTTTAAAATCACAGTGAAGCACTTCCTGTATTACTACCCAGTCTAAATAAACAGTGTTTGTGTGTTAAAAATGTAAGAATGAAACTAACACAACTCCAGATATGTTTGTGATGAGGAAACAACATTATAACAGATCAGAAAAGAGCGTAATTTGATAAAGGTTTATTCACACAAACATTGACTGGCCATACTGTAAGTGGATACACAACTACATAGTCACAGAAGCACCATGGCAACCACTTAATTGACTATTTGGCTTATTGACTTGATTATACTGTACCTGTCCTGCAGCCTACCTATTGACCAAAACCAGAACAGTCTGTTATTGTCATTTCCAGCCATTCACCATAAACACAGATACACCATTACAACTAATACAAGATAACATGCTATTTTAAAACTAAATATATACACTAGAGAGGCTTGAGCCAGGAGATAACCATACTAATAATATGCACATAGAGGCTACATTTTGCACGTCATACCATTCGTAATAGGCTAATAATTGGATGTATGGCCTAGTATAAGTAAGAAACAGTGCTATTGCCTGTTGATTTCCCTAACTCGCTTTGGCATACGCTACACTCAGATGATGGAGCCCTTAAAAGCAGTTAAACATCCTTCTTGTCTTTTGGGCATCTCCGTGCTCACGAGCCCTGAAATTACCCACAATTACGCGCAAAGGCAAAGGGAATGAACCAAAACTGTCTCCCGTTATCGGACTCGGCACATCCTACCAAGCGACCACAGGGAGTTGGTGGACGAGCCCCTCCAGCCGCAAGAGAAATATGCATGATTCCTTATCGATCCTCGCTGCTCCGCTCGGGCCTACTGTACCGACTAGAGGCCCTTGCTTGCTTGCTGCTGCTGAGAAAACACAATGCGGGCATTTTGATGGATAGAACAGCATGTCCTCTCCCTCTCCCGTGGCTATTCACTACACACACGTACAATCACGCTTTTACGCACACCACTACACCTTGGTCACATATGATATTTTTCCCAAGTGGAGCGCGCCGTAGCTGCCGTACAGTATGTCAACGCGAATAGGCCTTGGTGAGGGAGAGGTAGCGGGGTGGTGACATGTTCTGAGTCGAGCCAATGTAAAGGCAAAGAAAGCGGCGACAGTGCCTCTTATCTCCCGCTGTAATGCAAATGCTAAAGGGGCCTACTTGGTAAAAATCCAGCGGTTGGATTAAGACGCGCGGTTCAGTGGTCGAGCGGCAGGCGGATCTTCGCTGACCCCTCTCCGGTCCTTCCCACACCCTTCTTGCCGGTGAGAAAAGGGGCTGGGGGAAATCCGAAATCGTGACACGGTCTGCTACTGGAAAACACGGCCGACGCCTTGGTGGAAATGGACAGAAAACAGCATAGAAACTCACCTCTTGATGTGCGCCGTAGCAGTATTGGTGATTTAAAGGGCCAGATCCGCTGGTTTCTCACCCTCTCGCCGCTCGTTCGCTCCCCGAGCCAAACGCCTCCCCCTCGGATACCGCTGTCTGTCCACTCCTCAGCCCCCTCCCCTCGCCTCTCCGCTGCTTCCTTCGCTCCCTCAAGCAGCAGCAGCCACGGCACAAGCAAGCACTGCCTCACGCGTTACTATGTTCTTTCATTAGTGGATGGCCCCTCACCCTATAAACCAGGATTTTTTTTATGGTTTATATGGTTTAATATATGGCAAACTATGAATAGATGTGGTGATAGACAAGTTTCAATTAATAGTCTAGTAGTGTTTTGCTTCTTTTTTTGCATTTAATGTCAGTTGTGCTCAATAAGAACCACTGAGACAAATGATTTTCAGTAGCATCATTTTGCCATAAGAATAAGAGACCATAACCTAAATAAAAACGTGCACAAACTTGGGCTTGTTGTCATAGAAACGTGATCAAATAATCTAGTATTTGAATGTTATTTTTGGGATCATTAAGGGATATATTTGTAGTATTTCCATGCATTTCTAAATAGGTCTGCTATTCGGAGTCAATGGACAACGAAAAAAATAATTATCATTGTGTAACTTCATACAACAGGCCTCTTTTAAGACTGGAATAATAATTGGATGCAGGGAAATTATGTTTATTTTTGTGCGTAAATCTAAAAGTGCAGATTTTCCAGTTTACAGGCTAGTGTTTTGGGTCCTTTACCGTTTTGTTTTCAAACTATCAGAATCCACCAAAAATAAGCATGCTGTTGCCTCTTTTAGGTGCACATCTGGCTGTCCCTGCCGAAGTCTTCCCTGAGGACCTACAGTACCAGTTCGAGCACACGGTGGCGCCATTGGTCCGCCAGTGCGCATGTCTTCTCTGGGGAGGTGTGGGCCGCTCCTTCTATTCCTGTCAGACCCGGTACAAACAGGAGAGCTGCACACGCTGGAGACTAATGTGGACGGAGATAGAAACGGGGCAAGTCCACAGTATGAAGTGGGGGGGTTTAATTTTTGTTTCTTACCTGATTTATAAAACAACATGGTCACACGTACAGTCAAATATCATTTAGATTAGATTAGAATTAGATAGGGACAGAAGTCAGTGTTTCTAGCCTGTTATAGTTTCATAAGAAATATCTGAAATGAAAATCTTATTTTTTTTGCACTTTTCTATTTTGGGGCAGTGCAATAAAAGGTGTGACTTGGAAGTTTTCCGACAGAGGGTCCACCATCTGCTTGTCTTGTCTGCTCCTTAGTGCTCGGCATCCACAATATTAGACATACCTCTCTCCAAGGATACAAGGCAAGTTACAGGTCAGATCTGTAGGGATGCGAGTCGGCTCATTTTTGAGCAATGAAAACACTACTATAAATATTTGAATAAATGTCATATACGTTTCATTCTATGTGACAGAAAAGTTACACAGTGCACATTTACTGAACATATATGTGACATAGGCTAGTAAACATGACAAACCGCTATCATAAGTCAAAGGTGCATTGTGTAACTTTTCTGGTGGAGGGTCTGTCATCTGATTTTTTTCCCATGGAGATGTTACTGGTATGCCTGAAATGTTCCACAGTAGCACTAACCTTATTTTTCTTGCATTTATTTAATTACAGATGTTTTTATTGCTTAAAAAATCATGAGCGGAGTCTCTCCACAGATCTGACGTGTAACTGGGCTTGGTGGTGTCACTCTTTTGTGTCCATGTCTAATGCGATACTGTGGTGCATTCTGGACAAAACAACAACATATCCTTGGAGACGAGGAGGTAACGGACCCACGACCACGATTTTCTTAACAATATGTGTAATATAATGTTATGTATAATAGGATTTCCATGTTTGTTACTGTACCAAATTTGGATTCAAGCAGAAACAGTGAGGCCAGATGGCACCAAAACACCCCGTAATCCAACAAATACCCACCTTCCATTTCCCTCTTCATGAGACACATTTTCTTGCAAACCTTTTAAAATAACTGCACAATGTCTATTTATACCTACAGGGTGAGAGAGAGGACTGCACTGGCCTCATTTTCACTGATGTGTGAAATTATGCTGATGTCTATACATTTACTGTACTCACCTTCTTCTGCTCTGTCTCTCTCTACTTCCCTCTTTATTACTTAATTTATTTATTTTGCCTTTTATGTGTATTTTGAAGCTTTTCTTGTTACAGATTTGTGTCTCCTCTCCTCCTCAGAGTCAGCAGCTTGTAGTGAAGAGGCAGTTTGTTACAGTGGATTACAGACATTTTTGGTGGAAGCCCGTGAGTCACTGTTGTGCCCTTCTCTCTCTCCTTCTGTCTCTCTATCTCACTCTTTCTGCCCCCTCTCTTTCTCTCCTCTTCTTTATATCCATCTCTATTTTTCTCCTCCTCTCTTTCCCTGCTCTCTCTTGCTCTCTCCCCTTTTTTTACACATTCTGACCCCATGTTTCTCCCTGTCCCTCTCTCAGTTTCTCTTTCTCTCTTTCTATCGCTCTCTTTCTGCCCTGCTCTTCTTCTTCTTCTTCTTCTTCTTCTTTATATCATCTCTCTCTTTTTCTCTCTCTCTCTTTCTTCTTCTTTATATCATCTTTCTTTCCCTCTTTCTTATACTCTCTCTTCTTCTTCTTCTTCTTCTTCTTCATATCATCTCTCTCTTTCTCTCTCTCTCCCTATCTTTCTTCTTCTTTATATCATCTCTCTTTCTTTCTCTCTTATTCTCTCTTTCTTCTTCTTTATATCATCTCTCTCTTTCCCTTTCTCTTTCTGCCCTTTCTCTTCTCTTACTCCTCTTCTGTCCATCTCTCTACTTCTCCTTCTCTTTCTCCTTGTGTGTGTCTCAGTCTTTCTTTGTCTTTCTTTCTTTCTGCCCCTCTCTTCTTCCCTCACTCTTTTTTTATCCTTCTCTCTATCCTCTCACTCATTATTTCTTCCCCCCTCTTTTTCTTTCGTTCTCTCCTTCTCTCACTTGTAATATTTCACTCTATTTTAGTTGCTCTCTCTCTTTCTTTCTCTCTCTTTCATCCCTCCCTCTCTATCTCTCTCTCAAACATGAAAACCACCCACACACTTTCCTGTTTGAGAATATGACATGACCTTTGTCTTCAGTCTTCCTCAGGAGTCAATAATTGAACCATCAGCATCTGGGTGCCTGGATTTGCACAAAAGAATTATATTTTCTTCATCTCGTTATACATTAAAGGTACACTGTGTGACTTTTCTGGTAGAGGGTTCACCACCTGCTTGTCTCCATGGTGATGTGATTGTTAAACTTGTCTATTTTGCATTTATTCTATTACAGGTGTTTTTCTTGCTTACAAATACCATGAAAAACAGGCAGTGCACCTCTCCATAGATCTGACCTGTATCTAGGCCTAGTTTCTGATTATCTTTATGGAGATAGATAAGTTTAATGTTTTATTGCAGAACATTCCAGACAAAGCTAAAATGTGACTGACATGGAGACAAGCAGATGGTGGACTCTCCACAAGAAAAGTTACACAGTGAACCTTTAAATATCATTATTAATTTACTCCATAAGTAAGTTTGGGTAAGTTAAGCCTTGGGGTAGACTGATGGAAACCTGCCAATCTGCACCATTGGCCCCTCAACACTCACACGCCCCCGCATTCATACGAGCCAATATGGGTGAAGTGTCTTGCCTAAGGACACATCAACAGATACAGATACATTAGAGCCACTTCTGCCCCACTGTAGCGTTGGGTATTCTCAGCAGTCTTCCACTCAAGTACTAGCCAGGCTGGCGCCACCTAGGGCCTCCGCTCAATTTAATTTCTCTCCAGCGACTGGGTCAGGAATCAAAACACAATAGACGGTTCGCAAAAACCCTGGAAGTAAGAGTTCGGGCACCAGCCAATCAGCAAAGAGCCATATATTCAGTGTTGCCAATGATTCTCGAAATTGAGAATTTAAAACCGGAATAAAGAGAATGTTTGATGAATTTTCTTCTTCCTATGGGATTTGGGAAAAACTTAATATACCAGTTTGCCCCGTTAGTGGTGCATTACATATGTGACTACCAAATACCAGCGACTGGTTAAATGATAAAAAGTACCCGCCTACCGTTGAGCGAACACTGTGAGGTCAGACGGTTTGTGCGAAGTGAAACGAAGTAAACCTGGCTGATGAGGTATTCAAACCCGGCTGAGGTATACAATCTATTTGCAATAAAGAGTGACATAGATCTATAATAATAATCTAATAATTATTTTTTGAGGATCAGTATTTATTGTGTTTCCATTTTCTTTTCACTAGTGGGAATTTTTTTTTTTTTTTTTTTTTTTGGCTTTTTGATCAAATTTGAGCCAAAAAAGCTTGAATATGTCTCATTACAGATGAAGACTAAATACAGAAGTCTTTAATTATGCTGTTATCATTTATTTATTGCAGCTCATGATTTTTAATAGTATTGTAGGTTTAGAATAGTTTTTGTTTATAAATCTGCTCTTAGTTTTTTGTGTCAGTGGCATACATTTGTTTCAGTATTATCTGCTATTGTCTATAATTACTTCAGCAATTATCACACACACAAAATTTTTGTCTTATACAGCTCTATTTTATCCCTGGTTTAGTCCTTGTTTATTCATGGCTCCTTAAACCAGATTTAGATACCTGATGCACCTTTGCTTTAGTCCTGGTTTGGTTTCATTTGGGCCCTATAGGTGAAGTCTGTCTGGTCCTGGTCTGGTTTAGTCCAGTTTAAATCCCAGTTCATCCCTGTCCCCACTATAGGGTCACACCACTCTGAAGTGACACCACGGTAACGTCACTGCGTCTCCATGGAAACTGCTGCTCTGAGCTGCAGAAATGACAGGGTTAAAGGGAGACTCCTTTTGTGGCTAAAACCAAGCATTGCCTTTTGAACAATGGACATCATGATTAGAGCATTGATTGGTTTTATGTACTCTGGAAACACACAAAGGCAAAAGGCAATTTATATTTATAATCTTGTCTTAATTTATGTGGAACTGTAAACCCACACCCAAAGAGTCTGTCTCCAGTATTAAGTATAGAGCCCAGTCAAATACTGCAACAATATTTGGATACTCTCAGTCAAATGTGATGCAACTGTCACTCCACTAAGCTACTCCACCCCATGTGTATAAATAGATTGCAGACTTTATTTTATTTCATTTATACAGTATATGTGTATGGACCCCTTTACTTACACAATTTGCTGCTATCAAAAACTATTTTAATCATTTATGAGCTACTGTGTTCAAGTATTCCCTAAATCTAGGTCTACATACTCACACACGGACACACACACAATTTCGTAGTTAGTTAGGATGTTAACATTTGCTGTCTAACTATACAATTATAAGTCAAACTAATCTCACCACAAATGTCACTGAATCTTTGGGGAACTGGAGTCTTCCACTACTCCTGACAAGTTAGACTGTACTGAAATTTACTATGAAAATATGACGATAGAACAGTTATACATCTATAACAAATAACAATGAAAAGATCTCTGATGACATTTTTATATTTCTTTCTATCTTATCTTCAGAAATGCACTGACCGCGAATGTCTGTGTCATGCCTATATTGTGTATTGTCAGAGCTGGGTAGAGTAGCCAAAAAATTATACTGAAGTAAGAGTAAAGAGTAAATTTGGGAAAAGTAGTCATATAAGAGTAATTTAAAGACTAACCATTGGAATGTAGCATCTGATTTATAATTTATAATATAGTTTATGTAATTGTAAGGACAAAATCTGGTATTTTCAAAGGATAGACAAAAAAATTTAGAACAACTTCATGAACGTGGCAAGAAACAAATGTACACATCATTTCATATTTTCCACATAAAGCATTTGTCACTTGTCGTCTTATTTACAGTGGGAAGAGTAACCAAAACCTCTTACTTCAATAAAACATTTTCTCACCTAGGAGTAAAAGTATGAGGCTAGTTAAGTACTCAGAAAAGTACTATTTATCTGAAAAGTTTACTCAAGTAAATGTAACTGAGAACTACCCAACTCTGTATATTGTAGTATCAGAACCTTTATCGCGAGGCTCAGTTACATTTGGTTGAAAGTACTGTAAGTAAGGACAAACAACAAAAGTCCATTTACATTTTTATTAGGAAAATCATTTTGCAGATTTGATTATTATCATCTCTATATATACGTTATTTTCAGTTATTCAGAGGATGCATCAGCACAGTATATCTTATAGGAAGACTATTGCTAGAATAAATATCTATACATCATAATTAGTCAAATAAAAATAAAAATAAAAATCACCAAAAAGGAAAAAAAAAACAACATAATTTGTATATTTTACAAAACCAAAAGCTGGTAAAGAGTAAACAATTTGCAAGAAAAGGGCCTTAGTTGAAATTACAAAGATGATTCACAGTTTGCGTCCTTGTTCTCATGCTGGGGACCATGCAGGAATGGAGGGGCCAGAGCCACAGGATAGAACCAAACTACATTACCCACAATGCAACCTGCTGTCAGATGCTCCTGTCCCACTGCAAAGATAGGCTATAAGGGGATTTACATAGACTTTCAAATGGTTTACACATCAAAGCTCGGGGTTCAAACGTGTCCTCGGTGTTAGTGAGTGATCAATGGAAAATGCCTCAGTGTGGACTATAATGTTAATCCAGTGCACTTTTTACATGTGAGAGATCCAATAGAGAAAGCATAAAGCATTTATTGTGAAAATATATGAGACAATTAGAGCAAAAATGACCAATATCCTTTTTACAAAATATGAAATACAAAGTAGACCATTCCTCAAAATCTTATGCAGTATCTTATCTCATTAAAATTACAATTATATGAAACGTTTTAACAGCAGTTTGATGGACCAAGGACCAGATCAGATTATAAGAAATCGAACTAGCAACCTGTACCGCTCTTACAAGTCCAAACAAGCAAAAACCAAAGCATGTGAATGTATCTTTAGAGACTTAATCAGTGTTGCTTTAATGTGTGTGTAAAAGTAAGTCAAAATTGTAAAAAGATTCATAAACCTGTATTCAGTTTGACAGGAAATGGACTAAATCAGTATATCAGGGAACTAGAAACTTACTGCTTCTATTGCAAGTTCAAACAAGCAAAACTAAAGCATGAGAATAGCTTTTTAGAAACTTACATAGTGTTGCTTTAAATGTATTCGTCCATTTCATACCCTTTGTTGTCGAGATTTAAAGGTCCTATATTACACAAAATGTACATTTGATGTGAGCTTTTAGCCATGTTAGAACATTGTTAACACCTCAAAAACATACCTGAAGTTGTTTTGTTTCACACGTGTTTGAGTAATTCTTTATTTTTAGTTTGTTTACATCTCCAAAGCTCAAAATGCCCTGTTCCACCTTGTGATGTCATGAAACAGTGAAGGGTCTGTGCGAATGAAACAAAACACAACTCCAGGTCTGTTTTTGGATGTGGAAACAACATTATAACATCGATCTGGAAATAGCGTATGGGCCCTTTAACAACTGAAATTTCTACCCATCAAAACCTTACAAAAGCCATAACAAAATCAGTTGCTGTAAATTGTAAAAATACAGTTAAAAACTATAACTTTTTCATCAGTGCAACCACTCTGTAAGCTCCTTATCTCATCAACATGAAGATTTAAAACACTATGTTCAATAATCCTCCTCCAGACGTGAGCAGGGAGGGCCTTCGATGCTAAATGACTGCGCAAAGTGAATGCCAGTGGAGTGGGCGGACAGCAGATTTATGGAGAATTAGCGCTACTCTGGCTAAATAGCTAGAGTTGGGTTACACAGTTAGGCTAGGATTGGATGCCAGTATTCCCGTATCCGGTATTTTCACATGATAGGATTCAGAATTAATAACATTTACAGTATGTTACTCTAAAAGTGAAGTATCTTGCTAATATGGCTGTGTTGACATGTGTTCAGGTTTAGTCTTAGTTTGATCCCAGTTTAGCCTGTTGTAGATTTTAGACCAGTGGTTTATTGATACTTTGCATCTGTCATCAAAATTTCCTGGGAGTGTGAATCTAACTTAAAGCACTGCTCTGTCTGAAGTGCTGTTACTAAAGTTAGGCTTAATGTGAGATTTATTGCAACCTCATCTGACCAGAAAGAGCTTATTTGGGTGGAACTATAAGTCGCCTAAAAGTAAAATTGCAGTCACAAACAAGCCAACAGTTTTTTAGTTACTCACTCTTATTTTTGTAGTTGAAAATCAAACACCAAAACAGGGCCATGAACTCTCAACCCTAACCCTAACTTTAACCCTAAACCCTAACCTTAACTCTAACCCTAACCTAACCCTAACTCTAACCCCAACTCTAACCCCAACTCTAACCCTAACCCTAAACTTAAACCCTAACTCTAACGCTAACCCCAACTCTAACTCTAACCCTAACCCTAACTCTAACTCTAACCCTAACTCTAACCCTTTCATATTGATCATGGGCTCCTGAAAATGCCCTGTTTAAATCAGTTGTGTGTTTTTTCTTGAGTTTTCATCAGTCTATACTAAAACATTTTTTCCTTTTTTTTTTTTTTTTGATAATGTGTGCATTGTGTCACCATGGTAACTAATGAACGTTTCACCAATAGAAATACATGTACAACACCTCCAGCATGACATCACTGCAAAGTATCAATAGTCCAGGTTTAATTCCAGGTTTAGTCCCAATTTTGATTTGACGTGAACAGTGTGAACACAGCCAAATCTACCAAACCACAATACATATTCACAAGTATTAGTAATTTCTCTGTGCATATAACAGTTAATTACTATGTCCTATACAATGTACTCTCACAATAGCATGAAGTTGGTCTGTTTTTCCATTGCTTTTGTCCCCCGTGTATCTGTGTGTGACTACGATGACTAATCCTGTCTCTCTGTGTGTAAGAATTCTCCACAGGAAAAGCTTTGATGATTTCACATTGACATGCAACAACACTCCCACATGCAAGCCCCAACCGACCATGAACACAATCTGGTCTCATTATATTTGACAAGAGGGAACATATGAGGTGAATGTATGGAGTGTGAATACATAACAAAATAACATGGCATATTGAGGCTTCATTAACTTTACATTTCTTTATATTTGATCGCTAGAGGTTTTAGGTCTGTTTTTGTTTACTCCAAAGCCTTGGTAAATTGGGAGTAAGATTTAATCCGATGAAAATGCGAATTAGGCCTACACGGTTAATAAAAAGTGCAATTTGGATGATTGTAACATATATCCATTGGGCTATATTAACCCTGTAGTTGTGAAATGCATGGAATTCTTGTATTAGTTTATAAATTCATATACCTGTCCTCTCTCAGCTCCTTGACAAGTTAAAAATATGCACTGTGAACTTAATCCTGATTTTAAAATGTAAATTATGGCACACGAGAAGCCAGTTGATGTAAAAAAAGGTGGTCGAAAAGTATACAAATTAGCATTATCTAACCTTATTCAGGCACATGGGGGTACAAGTTCATGCATTCTTGCCACTCCCAAGTCCGGATAATGGAATATGTAAGGAATGGCAACTATTTTTCCAAATGGATATGCAAATCACTCCAGTAAAAGCAGGCTGGTGAGTGGTAACTGTGGATTCCGAAGCCTGGATAATGCAATATGTTAGGAAGGGCATCTGACGTGAAATGTATTTGCCAAATGGATATGCAAATAACTACAAATGGAGCGCTAGTAATATGTTTTGTCAGTTCTGAAGACAGAGTACATCAGATAAATCCTATATTGAGTATTGCAGTCTCAACACAGCCTCAGAACACTCCTTTTTCTCTGTGTTGCTATTTTTAGAAACGCAGCCTCTTCGCTCTACCCCACCCTCCCTCTTCCTCCCTCTCTCTCTCTTTCCATCCCTCCCTCATCATTTTTCCTCCGTATATCATTTCCATCATGTTACGCATTTGCTTTATGGACGTCACCGTGGCGACGACAACAGCAGATTGCACCAACATGCGCGTCCGATCTGGCACCCTCTCGCCGTGGAGCCAACTGATCTTTATGCAGACTGCGTTCGGCCACTGCAGTAGATAAGCTTCACAGCGTAAACCCTTCAAGCTAGAAGTCCTTTATCAACCCAGGTAAAGCAGAACCACAACCCGGAAAAAGAAGTGGGGATGCTGTGTAAAATGTGAATAAATACGATCTGATAATCTATATAAAACAAGATAGGATTCTCTCACTTAAAGGGCCCATATTACGCTGTTTTCTGATCTGTTATAATGTTTTTTCCTCATCGCAAACATTTCATGAAGAGGTAGTTTTCAAGTTAACAGCTACCTTTTACTTTTAGTTCAGTAGAGATTGGCAGTTCCAGGGCTGAAATTATCCAAATGACTTTAGTGAAAGTGTATGGAGTTTAAAAACACAGTTGAACACTTTCTGTCTTAACACAAAGCGGACAGAGTCTGAGAAAAGAACTCGGATTTGTGTTAAACGTGCAAATGAAACTCCAGGTAAGTTTTTGATGAGAAAATAACATTACAACATAAATTAGAAAATAGTAATATGGGCCCTTGAAATGATAAACACCCCAAAATAGTGTGAGTGAAGGTTTTTTATAACGTATATACAAAAATTACATCTCACACAGCATCCCAACTGTTTTTGAGCCAGCGTTGATCATGACAGAACAGCAATCAACCTCAAAGATCAACCCAGTATTGTAGTATAAAGTATAGTACACACAAAGTAATGAATATCCCTGGCATCTATAGTAGTAAAGGGTACTGTTACAATGTGATTTTTTGAGTTTTACAGGACCTCACAGTAGTGCAAAGAACAACACACTGAGAATCATTCGGGTTTTCAAAATAAAAGTTGGGTCGTTACATGGTTCACATTTTGCTAGTATTGTCTGTGAATATAGTTTCAGTAATATATTACAGTTAATAGCAACACCAAAACCCCCTAGATTCTTGTTAACAAATGACAATGTATTTTTACATGGGGTAACATCTTAATTGAAGGTATAAACATTGGACTATAATATGTGTATTTACAGTATAAGTACATGGGTGGGGAGGAGGAAAGGGGCATTTCACGTGGTGCTTATTAGCAGCATAGTTCTACACTGCAAAAAATACTACATTATTTATGAATAGGTCCTACATTATGATATTTCTGATTTGAAATAAGTAAAATAAATCAATAAGGTAAGTTCCATTTACATATTACACAACATTTGGGTACATTTTAATCTTAATTTCTCAGATTTTGAAGTAAAATCTCAACTCATTCATGAAATTTCTGTCCAGGATATTAGATTTTGGGGTGTAGCTGTAAATTGGAAATGTGAAATTAACTGAAATTAATCAAATAATCTATGTTCATCAAGTAAACAAACCCAAACTCAAAATATTTTAAAGGTAACTTTTCTGGTAACTTCTTTGAGATGTTATAACTTTGCCTTGAATATTCCAAAGTATGTCATTAAACTTATCTTTTTCCATGGAGATAAGCAGGTCAGAATGTCACACAAGTCCAAGTTACAGGTCAGATCTGTCGAGAGGCGACCCCACTTAGCATAAGAATTTTTCCCGGCTATTTTGTGTCAATAAAAACAACTGAATAATGCAAGATAGGAAAGTCCACAGGCATACACTGTGGAGCATTTCAGACATTAAATGAACAAAACATTAACATCTCCATGGATACACCAGAGAAGTTACATAGTACACCTTTAAGTCTTTCAGTGTATATTTTTGCAGTGTAAAAATGAGGCGTTGCTGGTAAATAAGACCTCAGATAAAATGTCCCCCTAAAGTGCCAGTTGTAGATTCTGCTGCACATGATTTAAACAGAGAAACAAGGAAGAGTCTTTACTGTGCTTCTTTAGTTTTCCAGAGATAGACAGTTAAAAGGGGCTTCACTTTGTCTTTGGGCTTATCTGTACAGGACTGGATGATCCGCTTTGAAACTATGGTTAAAAAAGCCTGAGGGATGGAGAGGGAATTCATCAAAAACAGTTTTCATCAAATAGACCTTTTCTGTTTAAAACTGCGTGCACACTTTGATGAAAATTGTAGTCTTTTTCCTTCATTTTGAGAACGAAAACAAAATCATAGGTTTCAGACTACGGAATTGGTGGTTGTTTTGGATGTGACTAAATGAAGTGAGTTAAAAATAACACTTGTAGTTGTTAAGGCAAAGTACTTACTATTACTGTAATGTATGCTATCTGATTAAGAGATTGTCTATTTCTGTTGAGAAACCTGGTAATTTTGGAGCAATTTAACCTTTAGTTTAATAATAGGCCACTGTAGAAAGTTTGGTGGCTCATTTGGTATTCTATGGATTTATATTTAACATTTTGTGGCTGATTTACACAAAATTCACTATTGCTTTCTATACTTAACATTGCATTTCTGATGCCAAAACCAACTCATTCACACATGTTTTGATTTCTAACTTATTCACCTAACCAAATTTGCAGTTTGGTTATATAATTTCCTTAAATGTGCATGCAGCTTACGTTGTTAAAAGGTCCTGTACCAGATTTTGTCCCATGTCTTTGAGCAAAATGTATTTTTCCCCAGCTATATTGCATTTAAGCAGCTCTTGGGGTCAAAATATGATAGCTGTGTGCTGTCTAATTGTAATATGTTGTCAGAAAATCAGGAAGTGCACTTTAGCATGCTAGTTGTTGTTAGGTTGTGCGAGTCTGCTCCGGTGTCTGGGATCTACGAAAAGTGCTAAACTCATACAATTAAAGTGCATGATGGTTTTGATGATTCTCATTTTTTAATTTTTTATTAAAAGAATTTATTTTTTTGGTGGGATGAAACCTGTTGTAAATATAAATTATAGTTTTACACCAATCAAGAAGCAGTTGGTGAAGAAAAGTTGAGAAAGTTATTGAAAAATATAGGAAGTAGAAAGTATTTTACAGATTCCTATACGGCCTCGCACTGGGGAGAATTCTATCCAAACGTTGCACAAATTACACTTAAGAAACAACTTTTTTCTGATATTTTAAACATGATTTCAACAAAATAAAGGTGCTTTCTTATCATTTTAATTGCCTAATAATAATTTCTGTGTATATCAGGGGTGTTTTGGCCCAGTATACTAATGGTTGCTAGGAAACTGTTATAGAATTCCCTCGTAACTGAAAAGAAATAGTAAAATTTTTGTGAACTCTTAAGTATAATCTGTGTTTTAGTACAACAAGTGGTCTAATGTGTCATAGGCAATTTATAATAATAATTAGGATGCATAAGATAAGTGAGTTATAACTATGGACCACTACAAACACATTAAAACTCTTCTATTTGTCACATTTTTAAGACAGTAAATCAGGTACAGCGCCTTTAATTCAGGTCTATAATCAGGGCAATTGAAAGACGTCAATTCGCGATCATTTTGCAAAACCACAGCTACCGGTCACAATACCCTGTTGTTCAGCAGAACCACAACCTTATTGTGCCATTTAGCAACAAAAAAAACATTGAAATTGGACACTGTAAAACTACCAACAATTCTACATCTATAATTGCCGTGTGATTGGTTCCTCTGTGTTTGAGGACATAATGGCGAAACGTGGAAAAACAAATTTACCAGGAAGACAGAACTCAAAGCTAACAAAACATTAGATATGTCTGTAAAAGTATTGTGCTTTTGGCTGTCCTGTACAAAAGCTTCAAACAATAGATTTATGTAAGCACTTCGGATGAATGCTCCAGGTGGACTTGTTTATAGTGTTAGAAGCGGAGACCATTAAAACACAATATATAGGCAAACAACATGGCGAATTGCAATGATGCGTGTTACGTGTTTGTTTAAATAGTATTAAAGTGCAATGTGAGGGCATTTTGTGAAGAGGCCGCGTTAGCCAGTAAGTCGATTTGTGGATTTTTGCATGAATTCTCGTGTGCATTTGAGTATCAGTGCACTGCAAAAAATATTATCTAGATGAATTAAATGACGTGATTTTGATTTTTGAAACTGAATTTGCGTAGTCTCGACTTGTCAAGCGAGATGTTTTTCAGTGGTTACAATACATAGCTTCTTATTTCACACTAAATTATCTTGAAACTGGGATAAATGATAAGAAACAAATAATGTAAGTAAAATATTACTCAGTCAAAACTATTAAAATCAAGTTCAAAGGTGCACTGTTTAACTTTTCTGGTAGAAGTTACCAGTTACTTGTCTCCATAGAGATGCTCTTGCTTTTCCTCAAATATTCCAAAGTATGGCATAAAACTTTTAAAACTCTCCATAGAAACAAGCAGGAGACACCACCAGGCCAATTTACGCATGAGATCTGTGAAGAGGTGACCTCACTCACAATAAGAATGCAGGTTTTTAAAGGTATTTTTAAACAATAAAAACACCCATAATTGAATAGTATACTGTGGAACATTACAGACAAAGCAATAACATCTCCATGGTAACAGACCCCCAGCCTGTAAAGTTACATAATGCACCTTTAAGATTCAAAATTCAAGTCATTTCAACCCATGATAGATATTATTTCCGCAGTGTGATTGACATTTTCCTGAAAATCAAATACAAAAACATTGAGTAAAAGCAACAAAATCGTAGTATTTATACCGTCCATGCTCGTGTGCTTCTCAGTAGGATTATTTTCTGTCTTTAAAACGTAAAAAATAATTAAAAAGGCAAAAATAAAACACCTTCAAAGTGCCAAATGACATTCTCAGCTTTCGTCCCTGGTTCTTGGTAATGATTATCCAAGTACAGTACAATTTCAAGGCAGGCGGAAATCCCACAATGTTACATATTCTACATCTATTGAGTCTTAAAAGGATTGTTGCGTTGTGTGTGTGTACACGCCCTGCCGCGGAATATTTCTCCACTTTTAAATAAGATTTCTATGAAGCAGAGATACAAGTTAAACAAAGATGGATGAGTCTCTTGTAGTAGTAGTAGTTGGAGCATATGGGTGTTGTATGAAGAACTATGCCTTGTTATGTATACTGTAGATACTTCTATTTACAACGCCATCCAGTTGACTTGCGGGTCCAGCTTGGCCTTCTCAAAGCAGTGAGTTCAAAAGCATTCTAGCGTGACCGATTCGACAGTTTTCTTTTTAAACTTCGATCGTGAATGCGTCGGTGTACTTAGCTGGTTAGCCTGGCTTTTGTTTACGTAGATGAAGACTAAAAATATGTTAATGACTGAATTTCTTCCGCTTGCTTCAGCCTTCTAGCTCTGAAATGTCAAATTAAAGTTCTTTATAATGGTTGAGTGATGATATCCAATGCTTTGAGGACAAATTTCTACTTTTCTGAGCTAATTTGTCAGCTCAAAATAGGTAAGTGGGTGTCTGGAGAAAAAAGTAGACATTTTGAAAGGCTGATCCTCCTCCAGTTCTTCCTCCAGTCAAATTACAATTATTCGTGATTGATAGATTGGTTGAGCAAAATTACCAACTTTCCCTTTTGGAGGCAATGTTTTAAAATATATATATGAAAAAAATAAGATGACAGATGTTTTTGAATTTCCAGAGAAGTCCTACTTATGTCAAATTAAAATGCTTTATAATCTTTGACTGATGCTTTCTTGTGATTTTCCAGCTAAAATTTCCTCTTCGTTGAGCTCATTTGTCAACCCCAAAGTACGTAGATGGATGGTGAAAAACATCAGTTCTAAATATATTACATTTACATCTAGACAGCTCCTTCTTTTGTCAAATTAAAATGCTTTATAATGCTTGTCTTATGTTATCCATTGGTTGTCCGAAATGTTGTGTAACTTTTCTGGTGGAGGGTCAAATTCTTTTCTCTGTGACGTTATTGCTTTGTCTGGAGTTTCACAGTATGGCATTAAACCTTTCTATTGTCATGGAGACCAAACCAGACCAAGTTACAGGTCAGATCTGTGGAGAGGCAATCCCGCTTACAGTCAGAATGCCTGTTTTTCTCAGTATTTTTTAGCTAAAAAAACACCTGTAATGTAATAAATGTAAAGTAGAGCTATTTAATGTCATACTGCGGAACATTCCAGGCAAAGGAGTGACATATCCATAGAAACAAGCAGGTAATGGACCCCCAGCCAAAAAAATTACACGAAGCAGCTTTAAAACAAGTTAGGTAGGCGACAAACAAAATTGCAATGTCAAATTAAAATGCTTTGGAGTTGATGGTTTCCCATGTTTTTCCACACAAATTTTCTCTTTCCGCGGCTAATTTGTCAGTTAAAGTAGATAGGTGGGTGGATGAAAGAGATTAATTTTGAATGGCTAAATATCAACCAGACAGCCCCTTCTTATAAATCTAATTAAAAAGGTTTATAATGACTGGCTTGTGCGAGATGTTAGAGACTATTTCGAATTTAAATACGTTATAATGTTTGACGGTTTTCCATGGTTGTTAACAGTGATTTCCTTTTAATTTGTCAGCTCAAAGTACGTAGGTGGATGGAAAATTTTGGTTCTGGATGGCTAAATATCTTCCATTTACTTCAAACAGACAGCTAGCTCCTTCTTGAGTCAAATGAAAACGCTTGCGGTGATGCTATCCCGTGGCCATCTTGGTAAACTTCTCACTGACTTTTACATAACGCTGCATTTCCCCTTCAGTCTCTCGGCACGGGACTGCTTTCCGGACCTCTTCCCATCGATGTTGAGGCTCATATTCCTCTTCTTGTCCAGGTTGAGGAGCTCCTGGAACAATTCGGTGACGTTGTGGTTGGTTTTGGCCGAGGTTTCCATGAACGCGCACTTCCACTGTTTGGACTGGGCTTCTCCATCTTTGGTCTCCACTTCTCGCTGGGTTTCGTCACTCTTGTTGCCCACCAGCATGATCGGGATGGCCTCCACATTCCCCTTGATGGCCAAGATCTGTAATTAGACAATGAGAGGTGTTGTAAATTGGTTAACCTGACCAGCCAGAACCACAAAACTTTACAAATACGAGTGGATCTGGAGCTGTATCCTGTCTCCCTTAATTCAGGCGTGATTGACAGGTGGATTAATTAACATTTGCATCAGAAAGAAACATGGTGGTTTACACATGAAAAAGGAGAAAAAAGGAACAGAGAAACAACAAGGATTTTTACAGAATCATCAATCGAAGCACCAAACTACTTCTCATGGGTAAAAGAAGTTATATTTTTTGTTCTGAGATGTTACGAGAATTTTTGAGAGGACATATCTTTCAAGGCGAGATAAGTTTGGACAATTTTTTTACATTATGGTCCGATTCTAGTCCCTTCTGGATTCAAACAGAATATAGAAGGGACTAGCTGTTAGGCAAGTAAATTAGTTGGTTGTAATTTTTTTGGAGGTAATTGTACAATAATCACAATAGAGCTCAACAGTGACTACCCACCCTCTGGTTCTGGAAGTAAATTTTACATTTTTTTTTTTTTTCATTTTCCCAAAGTTTAAAGGCATTGCGGACTTTGTAGACTGTTGAACTCCACAGATTTCAACTTATTCATATATTTTTGTGCTACAATAGGATTGTTCGATTGTTTTGTGTGTGGGTGTCATAGTCGTGTCTGTTACAGTAATTACTATATCGGTACTTTTGGAGAGCATGACTATAATCTACATTAAACCAGTTTCCAATCTCATTCAGAACTCATTCAGTGGATTCTGAACATAAACAAGGCCATGATAACTCACCTGCTTAAGGAAAAAGCAACTCACAGAGCATTTATCTGCCCACCTCTTCAGTGTGAGACAGCCGCTGAGTAGTCAAGTCTCCGTCAGTCCAAGTGTGATTTCCCAAGGGGTAGAACAAATGGACACACTACAACTAATCTGAATGCAAAAACAGTGTACTACTATGAGCAGAGAATACTGACTGTGCACTGATTTGATTGAAAAAGGTGATCGTTGTAACACTGTTTGGTTGTAGTTGTTGGATTTTAGACACAGACATTTTTCCTACAAAACCTCACCCTTATGTTATAGTTAAACCTCTGTCAAACAAAATTCATAATCATTCAGTTTTAAGGTTTATAGCTGTTGCAAATCATACCTTGAACCCATACTGTGAAGTACAACAACAGTATGCCCAATTTACCCAAAGAAATTGAAATTCCCACCCCATATTTTCACCACTGGACATTATTTAGTGTTGCAGACCTGTTGGTAGATGGGCTTGAGCTCCTCCAAAGACTGCCTGCTGGTGATGGAGTAGACCAGGATGAACGCATGGCCCTTGGAGATGGAGAGGCGCTGCATGGCTGGAAACTGGTGGCTCCCGGTGGTGTCTGTGATCTGCAGAGTGCACACGCTCTTATCACAGCTGATCACCTGACGATATGTGTCCTCCACCGTGGGGATGTACGTGTCTCTGAATGTGCCTTTGACAAAGCGAAGCACCAGGGAGCTCTTCCCCACTCCCCCTGCCCCAAACACCACCACGCGGTAGTCATTGCTCTGCTCCGGCATCCTGCCCCGATCAGGGTCTGCACTGGGTTACACCTGCGGAGAGAAGACAATAGAATACATGTTTATTTATTCCAACATAGAAAAGAAATTTATTTTCAACACAGCTTATTCCAAACGTCATCTACAACCTGTCCAAACAAAATCTACAATATATCAGTAATATAGACATAGATTCAGGTCAGTATTGTATCTTGTCATTGTATTTTTAAGCAATACATACCCGTAATGGAATAAATGCAAAATAGACAAGTTTAACACAGCACTGTGGAACATTCCACCCAAAACAATCACATCTCCATGGACCCTCTACCAGAAAAGTTAGAGAGTGCATTTTTAACAATGCAGTGGATTTTCAGAGTGACTTTAAAGACACACAAAGCACATTCACTCACTCTACACCTGGTCGTGATAAGGTGCTACTGTTTGCAGACTGATACAAGCAAGGCTGCCAATTTTAATCCCCTCCATAAATTCACACACCATATTTATAGGCAATGTGGGTGAAGTGTTTTGCCAAAGGACACAATGATAGTATACATTAGATCTCTTTTTGGATACACTCCGATTCTTTAGCAGTAGCAGTAACAGTAAAGCAGGCCAGAATACAAATTAAAGGAGATGAGTTTGGTAAAGCTCCAGGATTTTCACCTGACACACACTTTTTCTGTAATCAATAGCATTAAGGCACAGTTTACACAGCACAGGAGCTTCAAGCCAAAAATAGAAGACAGGATATCAAGGCTAGAGACGAAAGACAGAATACAGTTCCCTTTTCTGATGTAAGTGGATGTCATTATTTTGCCTGCCCTGGAATGCTCCACAGTATGGCATTAAACTTATCTACCTTTGAACACAAGAAGGTCATTCCATTAGGTAAGGTTATAAAGGCAGGTTTTTCAAGATATTTTTTGAGTAAGACTACATGTTTTAAAAGTGATCACGATATGTAATGCGCTATGTAACCTTTGTGATGGAGGGTCCACCACCTGCTTCTCTCCATGGAGATGTTATAGTTTTGTCTGGAATGTCCTGGTGTGGCATGCAACATATCCATCTTGCATTTAATCAGTAATATGGGTTTTTGTTGACCTAAAAACCGGCTCATCTCTCCACAGATCTGACATGTAACCCTATGGTGTCTGTAGAGATAAATAAGCATATTGCCATACACTTTGGAACGTCTCTTTATGGAGAAAAGCAGGTGACAGACACACCACCAGAAAAGTTACACAGTGCGTCTTTAAGGAGAGACACTCAAACATGTCCTTCTGCTGACACAGTAAAAAATCGAGTTCAAATGTATTTTCATTATAGGCTCTTTCTCTTTACGTTTGCACATTTGAAATAGGCAGACAGTAAAAATGTGCCGACTCATGCACAGTGAACACATATAGAATATCTGAACATGTAAATGGATCCCATTCAAAAGTGCTGTGACAGTCCCTCAGGCTAAATTACATGAATGTGTGAGGGGAATAGTTTAGACACACTCCTGCTTTCCTCAGAGCTACTATCACTGCTCTACACTTTTGCCATATTTGTAAATATTATATAATAATATAGGGGATAAATAGATCTTTATTGTGACTGTGTGTGTGTAAAATCTCTTAGTCCCTTACAGTAACTGTATACATCTGTGTGTTGTGCAGTTACCAAAACAAAATTATAAACATCTTTGCAATAAAATGTTGAGGTGCTCTTAAGGGCTTCTGCTGTTTTTTCATATTACACTGTTTTCTGATCTATGTTACAATATGTTAACTCATCACAAACATACCTGGACTTGTGTTTCATTCATACATGTTTCACACATTAAACCTGCATATTTAGGCAGAGTTCTTATCTCAGTCTGAAAACACACATGTTCCGCCTTGTGATGTTATGGGACGGCAACCCTTGTTCCGACATACCGTCCCTCCGACAGATCCCCACCCCGACATACCATCATTCCAACAACCCTCCACCCCGACAGGCCCCCATTCCGACACTTTTTGATGCCCCCATTCCGGCAATAACACATCAGTGTCGGAGTGATGGTATGTCTGAATGGCAGTGTGTAACCGATGTCATGTGGTAATACAGGAAGTGCTCCACTGTGTTTTAAACTCTATACACCTTCACTAAAATCATTTGGATTATTTCAGGCCTGGAATTACCCATCTCTACTGAACTAAAGGTAAAACGCAGCTGTTACCTTGAAAATTACCACTAAATGACGTCACAAGTTGGAACAGAACATTTTGAGCTTTGGAGATGTAGACAGACTAATAAAAAAGGGATTATTCAAAGATTTATGACCTAGTATAGAACCTTTAAAGTATAATCTTTCAGAGGGGAGCGATTACAGGCTTGTATTCTGAATTATATAACCTCTGCAGTTCTCAGTTCGCTCCTTTAGGACTTTTAGATCTCCATAACAAGAAACTCACTATGATAGTTCCCTGCTTGTCTCTTAAGTGTAAATTGGCATCAATACTGGATGGAATAAGTGGATTTCTGTCACACTCCCTCTGCACTGTCGTCAAGTATCGATGGCGTGGGATGTTGTAATTGCATTGGTCACTCTGAGGTACTGTCGAGAAGAGGGAGTAAATGGAAACTCAGGAAGTGCTTCTGTGTTTTATCTTGAATCTATGGTTGAAACATGTAATTCTGTTTTTTTCTGACAATTATTATGATTCAATCCAAAGTGCACTTTAATGGTGGAGGGTCCATCAAATGCTTTTCCATGGAGAAGTTGTTGCTTTGTTTGGAATGTTTCACAGTATAGAATTAGAGCTTTCTATCTTCATGGAGACCAATCAGACCAAGTTACAGGTCAGATCTCTATTTCTAGGAATTTTCAGGCTATAACACCACCTGTAATTGAATAAATGTAAGGTAAGAGCTGTTTAATGCCATCCTGTGGAACATTTAAGACAGGGCAATGACATATCCATAGAAATAAGGCGGTGACAGATGATACAAGAATCCAGTGCTTTTCAGAACATGTATATTTTGAAACTTCAGGATTAGCACAGTTTTATCCATGGGTTTCAGCGAAGAAAAGTATTCAGTCTTTTCAATGGTCAGAAGACTTCAAAATGTCACCTATATACAACAATACCAGTAGCGAGAGGCTTTTCCTATGATGAAAGTGAAAAGTGGAGAAACAGCAGTGGCTCTTATGGCTTTGAGCTACCGGAGAGGGATATGTTTGTACTTTACATCAATACAGACTGTGAAAAAATAACAATGATTCACACAAGCAAATATTCTCCATAGGCTGTCTAAAAATACAATACGAGCACATTCATAATAGTGATTTATGGGACTGCATTGGTCCATTGTTGAAACAAAAGAGAATAGGCACATTGTGTGGATTCTGTCTTTCACTATTTATGTCAGTTTAAAGTTCCTGCATACTGTAATGAAATTCAACTTTGTCAATTCAATCTAATCATGATATAATGTCCAAGGAGCATTTTAATGGAGCGCAACTTTTCTGTTGTCTACTTGTGTCCATGGAGATGTTATTGCTTTGTCTAGTGTTACACAGGAAGGCAATAAAAGAAAGCAGTTAAACTTTTATCATCTCTATATGAGGACAATCAGGTGGCAACATTAAGCCATATTACAGGCCAGACCTGTGGAGAGGTGAGCACGCTTGCATGTTTTTCAAGGTATTTCTTCAGCAATACAATTGTTGCAATAAAATAAAAAGAAGACAGGTATGCTTAATGCCATACTATGGAACTTTCTAAGAACATGTCACAAAAAATTCTACCATCCACTGAAAAAATAAAACTATTACCTATCTTTTACCAGTACCATTTACTTTTATGCATTCTTATGGGGAACTGGGTCAGGTTTAGTGTGAATTGATTTGACCCATATGCTCACATGGGATCAATATATCTCAAGTAAAGTAATTACTGGTGTATATAATTACATTAGTCAGAATGTGTTGGCTAGGCATCTTATCGCTCAATATGTAAAAGCTGAAACAATATGTTTTGGGCTCAGTATTTACCATTTGTTCTATTTCCTTGCAAAAATGGGGAGAATCGGGGTATTTTGTTGTAATACAATACAATTTGTCTTACCCACTCCACAAAGCACCCAAAGCAAATCTATTATTACCCCAGACTGTCGATGTAAATGTCTGTGTTTATAGAATAATGTTTGAAATAAAACTAACCTTGCATTGCATGAATTGTCGCATGTTGAGGGACTATTTTTTCAGCAGCAGCAGAATTTTACTTTGCCGGTAATATAGGTGCTAGGTGATATCAGTCCGCCGCTGCCAAGCTTTCTATCAGAAAGTACAACTCGCTGCTGCTGCTCAGACATAAATCCTTCAAATGCAAGGTTGTTTTTTATCGAAACAGACATTCACATCGACAGTCTGGCATAATAGATTTGCTTCAGGTGTTTTGTGCAGTGGGTAAGACTGGTTTTAGTGGCAGGATAACTATGGCCATTGACATGCACTAGCCTAGCACCAGCAACCTCTGCAAATACAAGGACTGGATGGAATATTTAAAAAAGTGTCTCCACACATCTCCAACACTCTGGCAAACTAGGAAATGAGGTCGTATGTTGAAAATTCTGGACTGTCCCTTTAATGATACTGTCTGTCTGGGATTATTTTGCATTATTGCTATTGTATCAGTGGCATAAAGTTGTTTCCCTTTTATTGTTTATCACAGTATTTCTCTGTTTCAATATATCATGCTTTAAAATTTGTTATCATGACTAAGGGTTAGGCTTAGTGTTAGGTGAAAAAAAGTGTGTGAGCCTTGAATGTTTGAATTCCTTCTTGTCACTGTAATCAATGGGGTATCTTACAATATTCAAGTGGAGAACATGACAGTAAATCATTGTTAAACATATCTGAGTTTACCATAGATCCCCATATAGCTGTCCCCCTCTCCTCTGCAGTGCTCTGGTCTCTCTGGTCTCACACTGCGCTGCCAATAAACTAATCCTCTGGTTCTGATCGATTGGCTTGTCCGTCTGGCCCCTGTCATCTCTCCTTCATCCTGACATGT